AGGGAGGTGCACCGCTAGCTAGGGTTTGAGAAGGAAGCCAGGAGGTGGGTTAAAGGAGAAAACGCGAAATCTTAGTTTTTCATTTACAGTTAGCAGTAAAGGTCTCTTCGAAATAGATGTCTTGTGAAGCCTTCAAAGCTGAATGTACTTGGCCAAAATTCTAACATGTTTCATAGTTTCTAGTCAGAGCTTGGTATTATAAAGCAGGACAGATAAAAGGCGCTTTCATCAAAACTTCCACTTGTTCTACTCCCTTTTTTAAATTATTATTACGTTTTTGTTTGGAAGTGGGTATTTGGTGTTGCTGTTAGGCAGGAAGTTAGGTATGAGCCTATGTGTGTGTGACAAAGGCCTCCAGAGAAGACTTCTACATCCAGCATATGCATCTACATCTCAAAGTCATCCCGATAATGTTTCAGGGGCAGCCCAGTGTTCGCATCCTGCCCTGCCCCCTTCTGCCTGATAACCTGCCAGGTGGGGGTCCCCGCCCCTTCTGCCTGACAAATCTTCCACAATCTCCCAAATGCAGCCCAGTATCTGCATTTCAAACACCCTGCCCCGGATCCCCATTCTCTAGGGGGTCCTGCTCACCCTTCCTCTAAACTCAGGATGGCAGGATGGCGCCAGCTAGGTTTCCTCCTGTCTGATACCTTCAAGGAAAAACTCAGATAGGAGCTTCTTAGTATTTACAGCCATAAAATCCTTTGTTTCAGGAGGAAATGTGTGAAGACAGAGACCCATCTCCTTAAAAACCCCCTGCCTCAACCGGACTGGACTGCGCGCTCAGCCCTCTGCCTCTCTGCTGAGCCGCCTGCCTGGCCTGGTCAGGTGTAATCTCTCTACTCAATCATGTAACCTCGCTCCTTCCCCCCCACCCCCAGTCTCTCAGGCTCTGTCTGGAGGGGTGCACATCCATCCTTACGGATGTCCCTTCCCTAATAAACCTTGCTATTTTACCTCCCACTACTCTCTGTCTCACGCCTGAATTCTTTCTTGCGCGAAGACAAGAACCCTGCAATTTCTCCGGTAACATTGCGATTGAGACACCTGCATCCCACACTGGAGTGACCGGCTCAGAGTCCTACCTCTGCTTCTGTCACTAGAGGGAAGGCTGTGGAAGCCATGGGGTTCTTGTCTTCACGCAAGAAAGAATTCAGGCGCGAGACAGAGCTGGACTGGAAGAGGAGCAACCAGGACTAGAACCTGGTGCCCATATGGGATGCCAGTGCTGCAGGCGGAGGATTAACCAAGTGAGCCATGGCCTGGCCCCTGGACTCCCTAGGTTTTTAAGGGAATCTGTTTACCCACCTCCCCCCTCTCATCCAGGACAAAGGATGGAGAGTCCTAGCTGGAAGGGTTTGTTGGGTGAAAATTAGCAAATTCTTCCCTAGATTTTCTGGCACAGGGCAGAGCAGAGGGGCTTCCCTTAGGGCCTCTGTGAAGGTTTTATTGCCCCTTGTTATCAGGTAACCCATTTGGTCCTGAGGAGAGAATTCTCCTGGGAGGTTGTGGGGGAGGGGAGGGCTGGGACCACCTGGGAGGTTATCAGGGTCTGAGCAGGACTTTGAAGTGCAAGATGCTGGGCTTCTAGAGCTTCCCGCAGTGGGTGCTGGTCTTCAGGCCTGTCTCATACACACATAGGCTCAACTTCTGACTTCATACCTAACACTTCCAATTCAGCTTCCTGCTAGTGCACACCCTGGGAGGCAGCAAGTGATGGCTTGAATACTTGGGGCCCTGCCAACCATGTGGGAGACCCAGACTGAGCTCCCAGGTCCTTGCTTTGGCTGCTGTGGGCATTTGAGGGAGGTGTGAATCAATGTCTGGGAGACCTCTCTCCATCTCTCTCTGTTTCTCTGCCTTCCAAATAAAAAAAATTTTAGTAGTGAAATTTGTATTCACATTTTTTGTATTATTTCAAAGACAAGCAGACAGAAACAGACAAAGCTGCCACCTACTGGTTCACTTCCCAAATGGACTGGGCTGGACTGGACTGGGCTGAAGCCAGGAGCCAGGTCCTCCCTATGGGTAGCTAGAACCCAGTTACTTGAGTCATCACCATCACCACTACCCGCAACGGTCTGCATTAGCAGTAAGCTGGAGCCAGGAGGGAGGAGCTAGAGCACTGCGACCGGGGACAGAGCATCCAATCGCTAAGCTAACTGCTTGCGCCATGTTCTGTCTTTCACTGTGCTCTTTCATGCTCTGGAACAAACTGACACTTCTCTGGAACCCTCTATTTCCTTGCAAAACAAGGCTCATTTCCCTACCTTGCAGTGTCTGTTATTCTTGCCCCTTGCATGGTCTCAACAAACTATATAAAATATAACTTCTAACCAATTTAATAGTTTCTATTTCATAGATGAATTGGAAGTAGCCAATTGAACATTGTCATGGGCAAGGGTTTATCAGAGTAATAAAGCTCATAAATATACACATTCTTTTATACCTTCTGAAAATGACAAAAATGAACACAAGACCAAAAGAATACTCAGGGGCCGGTGCTGTGTCATAGTGGGTTAAGCGGCTGCCTGCAGTGCCGGCATCCCATATAGGCACTGATTTTTGTCCTGGCTGCTCTGAAGTAGGCAGGCATAGAGGTTAAAATTAATTAGGTTTGTGAGCTGGAAGACCACGCCTTCATCATGCCCCTGTGTGACCTCATGCCCTACCTGATACCTTCACCACGCCCCTGTGTGACCTCATCCCCCTACCTGGCCTCACCTGGGTGCCCACCAGCCAATCAGGTTAATTAACCACTTCCCTTTGGAAGTGGGTTAAAGGCCTGGGACACGGTGTGTCTGGCTCTCTCTTCTTCCCTGGCCTCTTGCCAGCAGGGGGCTGGCTGTAGCCCTGTGCCTCTAGGGTGCGTGGCCTTCGGGCCACCCACCCTGGGCTTCCTGGCCTAGATGCTCCTCCACGTGGCTGGTTCCTGGTGCTCGGTACGAACCCATATTTACCTCTCTCTCTTAAATAAAGCTCTCACTCTCCTATGTATCATTCACACTAAATAAAAGCTTAAAATGTGCCATGCTGCCTCGTTTATCTGTGCTGGTATTTAGAATTCTGTAAATATTAGGCAAGAACCCTCTTGGGCTTATTAATATTGCGGATTTATTAATAAGCATATGGTGAAATCGTATGGCACCCCAAATTCCGGTAGCACATGTGGCACCCCAGATAGCACTTCCGGGGAACTTTAAAGGGCTACATTTTTGTGTAGATTTTAGGGGGTCATGTCCGATTTCAGCTCCACTTCCAATCCAGCTCTCTGCTATGGCCTGGAAGACAGTAGAAGATGGCCCAAGTCCTTGGGCCCCTGCACCCGCATGGGCGACCTAGAAGAAGCTCCTGGCTCCTGCCTTCAGATCGGCACAGCTATGTCTGTCGCAGTCATGTCATGTAGGGAGTGAACCAGCGGGTGGAAGACCTCTCTCTCGCTCTCTCTCATTCTCTCCCCCCCCTGCCTCTCTGTAATTCTGCCTTTCAAATAAATAAATAAATCTTTATAAAAAATACCCATTCTATGGCAAATAAAAACAGGGGCCTGCGCCGTGGCTCACTTGGTTAATCCTCTGCCTCGCAGCGCCGGCATCCCATATGGGCACCAGATTCTGTCCCAGTTGCTCCTCTTCCAGTCCAGCTCTCTGCTGTGGCCTGGGAGGGCAGTGGAGGATGGCCCAAGTGCTTGGGCTCCTGCACCCTCATGGGAGACCAGGAAGAAGGCTCCTGGCTTCGGATTGGCACACCACCGGCCATGGTGGCCATTTGGGGAGTTAACCAACAGAAGAAGGACCTTTTCTCTGTCTCTCTCACTGTCTATAATTCTACCTGTCAAAGAAATTAAAAAAAAATAAAGAAGCCTGTTCTAAATTTCAGATAGACAGATACATGGAGAAACATAAAAATTTACCAGTCCAGACCTCATATAACTTTTCTTACTAGAAGACCCGATGAAAGATATGCTAGGGCTTAAAAAAAGCCACCAAGTACATCTATTAAGTCACACAATTTGTCTACATCTCATAAGTGCACTTAAGCATCTCCATAGAACATCGTGATTCCCAACACTGGAATATAATTTTCAAATATGTGGTCTCATATGCAAATATAAAATAAACACATATCATGGTTTTATTTAACTCATTAGTAAATGAGGAAACCAGTCAGATATGAAAATCAATTCAAAGAGCATTTGAAAAGCAAGGAATTTATCAGTCAAGAAATGTCAGACAGGACCTCAGTGTTACATACATAACTGATTAATGTCTTCCAGATAATAAATCATAACCTTGGAAGTATCTTATTGACCTAGTAGAAATTATTAGCATTTTTACCAGTCAAAAATCCACACGTTTGCCTCTGCTTTTGTCCCCTGCCTGCACCAGGTTGTAAAACAGTTCAGTTCATTGAAAGTCAATCCTAGAACAGCACTGAAAGAACATCAGGTAATCTCTTGCCTATTTCCAACTTTTGGTCATTTTTTTTTTGCAAGAATGAGACATTACAAATATTGCATAGGATGTACACTAATAAAAGTATTCATTCACCTGAAATTCGTATAAAATTGTATTTAGCTGAAAACCCTAGTTACAAATTAACAAAAACTTTTCCAATTCTGTAGGGTTCGGTTGCCAACATTGTGTCTATGAAATCTGTGCTTTAGTTCAGGATCTGACTGGTTAATAACTAATTGGTGTTTCTACTGCGCGTCTGTTCTTTATTTGCACCAATAGGGGGCGCGTGTAACTTGTAGTCCAAGAGCCCACAAAAGTGTTTCTACCTCCGATCCGCTGGGGGTCGGCGTATGAATTGCTTAGATTTCGCAACCGGGCTCGAAACACTGGCGCTCTAGGCATTTGTGCGCATGCGTAGAACCGCTCTTGGCGAGGGGGCGGGGGCGTCAGGCCCGGACTGCGCAGGCGTTGGAGTGAGCGCGCGGAGGAGGTTGGTGAGACCTCTGCAAGGCAGGTGACGCTGCCGGCGCTGTGGCTGGGGCGGTCGGTGGTGGGACTCTCGGGAGCTCTGGTGAATCCTGCGTGTCTGCGGCTGGTTGGAGATGCCCGGCCGGGGCGTGCACCCGGAGGACAGCGCTGTGCCGGTCCCCGCCGGCGGCCGGACCTTACACAAGGAGGATCTTTGCAACAAGGTGGGCGTGGGACGCAGCGAGCAGGCCTCCCGGGCTTAGGACCCGGCGCCTGGGGCAACCCAGAGAGGGCCGGCCGCGAGCAGCGCGGGGCTTCGCTGGAGCCGGCCTCGGCTTGCGCTGCTCTGCTGTTGGTAGCAGTCGGCGCTTCCCCTTCCCTGGAAGTAGTCGCGCTAAGCGTCTTGTGGGCTGAGTTTCCGCGGCCCTTCCAGATCTGTAGCTCACCCCTTCCGTTACCCCTGCCAGCGGCATGGGCTCATCCTTGACGTCGGTCTACACCTGAAACCCACTTCCGGTACGAGTGTGACTTTAGTCCCGAGGACGCACGCTCCTGCGTCCCTGAACGAGCCGCCCTCATCGGCTGCCCCGGACCCCCGCAAAGGGCTCCCTAGCCCACCTGCTGCCTTCTCTGTTCCCCGCTGTAGCCGCAGTGGCCGCCCTAAACCTCGCACATCTGATTGTCACTCATCTGCGGAGAAAGAGGGGGAGGGGAGCCACTCTGATACTGACCTGAACTGCCGGAAACAGGTGCAACCTTTAAACGTGTGGAGGAGGGAGTTCAATGTCCTGCATTCTTCACTGGTTCTGCTCCAAGCTAGTAGTGGTGTCTTGGACAGACCTCTCTGTTCTCTCTGCATCACAGCTTCCTTCTTTGGTGGGAAGTGAAATACAGACCTGACATCCCTAAACTGCACAAGAAAGCACTGTGGTACAAGCGTTAAGTCTCAAAGAGGGGGAGGGTATAGTTTCAACCTTGGAAGTCAGCCTTATCCTGTCCCTTCTGCAGCTGTGTCAGCTCTGGAGACAACAAGGGGGAGACTCATGGGGCAGGGAGTGAATTTGCAAAATACAGCCCACTCTGCTGCCGACCTATGGCAGATCCCTCAAGTGTGTGGTGCAGTGTAAAAATCTTACATCTGGTTTTAGAGGCGCTGGTGATGTTAGGTAATAGATCGTGTTCATAAAATAGCCAGTTACTAGAAAGTATCAGAAAGTTTGCACTTACTTGAGTTCTCTCCTGAAATTGAAAAGTGAAGCCAGCACTGTGCAAAGAAGATTGATGCCAAGACAGGGGGATTTAGAACTACTTGGTTAAAAGGACTGTCTAGCCGCACCATTTAGTACACAAATCGTCAGAGACTGGTATTACTTCTGGTGCATATCGTCTGTTTGTATAGGCCTTGTTCAGTAACTGTGGCCACAGGCATGAAGGCCGGTTGCCAACATCAAACCCACTGGCTGGGCTCCGTGGGTTGTGTGACATTTAGATGTCTAATGCCCATTTCCCCCTCCACCTGTGCACACATAGACTGGAAAGAATCTTCTCAGACTGCCCATTTGGACAATCAGCGCATGATACCTTCTTACGCCATCTGCCTAATTTTAAAGCCGTCATCTAATTGAACATGTTTTTAAGAGTTAAAATTCTGTTTTAAGCGTTTCTCTTTATTTCAGTAGATTAAAGAACAAAAAGTCGTTGTGGATGAACTTTCTAACCTGAAGAAGAACAGGGTGAGTTATAGAAATTCTGAATAGTATGTGGGAAGCTTGGTTATATTTATATTATATAAAATCATAAAAGTTGTATGGAAGGTTTATATAAAGGTTGACAAGTTTTCGGCATCTCTTTAAATTGCAAAAGCCCAGTGCCTACGTTTATTTTAAACTGTACGTACATAGATCTCATAAAGCTGAAGATGTCTCTTCCTTTTCATATGCCATTTACACGACCTTTAAAGCTAATGACGCAGATTGGATTTTGGTATCTTCAAGCTGTACCACTAATGTAACTATTTTATGCTTGAATTTGGTGTTTATTTTTGAAATAAATGAACTTAAAGTTTATTGAGAAGAAACTATCCCTTAAAGTAAATGTTGAACAAAAAATTACTTCTCTCACCGCCCCCCCAAAATCTTCTCAGTGCTTAGCATTATTTTTAAATGCAATTTCTGTGTATATATTCATAAGCAAGCCATCTTTGTTGCTTCATGTGTAGTTATACATTAAACTACATTAAAATTACATTTTAATGTTCAGGAGTAAATGACTTTGAGCTCTTTCAAGCGCCTAAAGATTATAACTGACAGATTAGACATTTCTGATATTGTTGCCAGCTACAAAGATGTCCATCACAACACTGATCTATAATACTTGAGGGACAGTAATACCTTAAATGTCTAACATTTGAGGATTGAGCAAATAAATGTAGTATGTCATACGATGATATTATAAAGGAATACATATTGATAAGAAAAAGTGTTCTTGATATAGTCATTGTAAAACTATAGATGATAGTAGAAGCCTTTTTTATTAAAATAACAGTGGTATTATGGTTTACAAGGGAAAAAAACAAGTTTCACCTCACTGGTAATGATAATAGTGTCTGGGTGGCAGGATGGTTGGTAACTTTTATTTGTCTCTTTGTTATCTGTATTTACTAAAGTAAATTCCCAAAGTTTACAAGTATGTAGTAGTAGGATTCAAAGATTTGACATCTTTTTAGATCATATCTTGAGTTTGGCCTAAATTCTGTTTTGCAGAGAGTATACAGGCAACAGCAGAACAGCAATATATTCTTCCTGGCAGACCGCACAGAGATGCTCTCTGAAAGCAAGAGTAAGTTGGGTTCCTCTTTGTTTTCAGACTTTACATGAGGGGTGGGGAACATCAGCCCCTTGGCTGCATAAGGCCCACCAACTCATTTGGTCTGGTCCTGCCAAGGCAACTGTAAGTGAACTCGAAATCTGATAAATCTATAGCAGGCTGATTTTTAAGATGATGGTTTTGTGTGGCCCACAAATGAAGTTATAAATGTCCAAATGGCCCTTGGCAGAATAAAAGTTCCCCGGCCATGTCTTACATGGGAAGACACAAAAAGTCCTTTTTTGACTCATAGTTGTGCCTCAGTTGTACTGTCTATATCTGAATGTTTAAATATTTCTAAATACTAGTGCAGTGATTCAGTTTTCTTCTAGTTAGTCTTCCAATGATGAAGCTACAGTAAAAATAAATAAAAAAATAAAAAATCTTTAGGATGTGTTAGAAAGCAGTCATCACTAACATGTACTTTAGATCTGAAAACCATTCTACCACTTTTTACCAGTGTGTCTTTGGGTGAAATACCTTGAGCCTCCAAAGTCCTTTGGGATTTAAGTAAGAGTGTGCATGAGTAGCCCTTATCTAAGTGCCTGGGCCAAAATAAACACTCAGTAAACAGAAAGTAGTTTTCTAAAAGCTAAACATTCTTTGCTCATGGCCTATTGTGTGTTACTATTGGTGCTAGCACAGTAGATATACTCTTGATAGTCTTATCCTGGTAAATATCTTGTATTTACCCTATGACTTACTAGGTAAAAGTCCAAGGGTAGTTTTGTAAAAAATTCTTTTCTTAAAAAATTCTTTTCTTAAAAAAAAACTTTGTTTTATATATTTGAAAAGGACAGGCTGGTGTCATGGCATCCCAGGTTCTAGTCCCGGTAGGGGTGCCGGATTCTGTCCCAATTGCTCCTCTTCCAGCTCTGCTGTGGCTCGGAAGGGCAGTGGAGGATGGCCCAGGTCCTTGGGCCCTGCACCCGCATGGGAGACCAGGAGGAAGCTCCTGGCTCCTGGCTTCAGATCGGCGCAGCAGGCCAGCCGTAGCGGCCATTTAGGGGGTGAACCAATGGAAAAAGGAAGACCTTTTCTCTCTGTCTCTCTCGCACTGTCTAACTCTGCCTGTCAAAATAAATAAATAAATAAATAAATAAATAAATAAATGGGACAGAATTAGAAATCTGCCATCTGCTGGTTCACCTCCCAGATGCCTGCCACAGCCAGGGATGGACTAAGTCAGGGCTGGGAACCCACTCCTGATCTCCCAAGTAGGTGACAGAGACCTAGCTACTTGACCTGCTGCATCCTACATTACTAGGGACTTAAACCCAGGGACTCCACTGTGGGCAGGCACCCAAGTGGATTTTTTTTTTTTTAAAGATTTATTTATTTGAAAGGCAGGTTACCTTTCGGGACCAGCGCTGTGGCTCAGCCGGTTAATGCCCTAGCCTGAGGCGCCGGCATCCCATATGGGCGTTGGTTCGAGTCCCAGCTGCTCTGCTTCCCATCCAGCTCTCTGCTATGGCCTGGGAAAGCAGTGGAAGATGGCCCAAATCCTTGGACCCCTGCACCCACGTGGGGGACCCAGAAGAAGCTCCTGGCTTTGGATCGGCATAGCTCTGGCCATTGCGTCCAATTGGGGAGTGAACCATCGGATGGAAGACCTCTCTCTCTCTCTCTCTCTCTCTCTGCCCCTGCTCTTTCTGTGTAACTCTGACTTCAGAAAAAAGAAAGTTATCTTTCATCTACTAGTTCACTCCCCAAATGCCCACAATAGTCAGGGCTGGGGCAGGCAAAGTCAGGAACCCAGAAACCAAGTCTGCTGCCTGAGTGGCAGGCACCCAGGTACTGAACCACCACCTGCTGCCTTCCAGGCACATTAACAGGAAGAAATTAGATTAGAAATTCGTATCAGTGGATTAGAAACAGAGACAGGACCTGATTCCATGCCCTCCAGCACGGGATGAAGGTGTCGGAAGCAGCAGTTTAACCTGCTATATCACAATGCCTACCCCTCAAGCGTCATCTTAACAGCTACAACAAACACTTCCCCCCAAGAATTTTTATTTTACTTAATATTTCTTTGGTCTCCCTTTCACAGATATATTGGATGAATTGAAAAAAGAATACCAAGAAATAGAAAATTCTGAGAAGAGCAGTATCAAGAAATAGTCGACCTGACTTCACATCATCATGTGTGGCATTTGCTGTTTTGTAAGCTTTTCTGTTGAACACTGTAGAAAAGATTTGAAAGAAGATTTACTATGTAATCTTAAACGCCGGGGTCCTGACAGCAGTAAACAGTTGTTAAAATGTGATATGAACTACCAGTGTGTGTTTTCCGGCCATGTCCTTCACTTGAGGGGTGTTTTGACTGCCCAGCCTGTGGAAGATGAACGAGGCAATGTGTTCCTATGGAATGGAGAAGTCTTTAGTGGAATAAAGGTTGAAGAAATAGAGAATGATACTCAAATTATGTTTAATTATCTTTCCTCTTGTAAGAGTGAATCTGATATTATGTCCCTCTTCTCAGAAGTCCAAGGTCCTTGGTCTTTTATATATTATCAAGCGTCTAGTCACAGTTTATGGTTTGGTAGGGATTTTTTTGGTCGCCGTAGTTTGCTTTGGCATTTTAATGATGTGGACAAGAGTGTCTGCCTCTCTTCAGTTGGCCCCCAGACACCTGGCGTGGCAAATCAGTGGCAAGAAGTTCCGGCATCCGGAATTTTCAGAATCGATCTCCAGTCTGCTGCCATGGCCAAACATGTGAGGTTGCAGTTGTATCCTTGGGAATGTATTTCTAGGGAGAACGCTACTGAAGAGTGCGATAAGAGCCTGACTCACGCTTCAGCAGACTTGCCGATGTTTGTATCAGTGGTGGCAAATGAAGCCAAGCTACATCTTGGAACGCCTGTTTCTCCTTTAAATATGACGTTGCCGCAAGCTCCATTGGCGACTCATTGCAGTAACATTTCCAGTGTCCCACCCTCAAGAGAGACCCTTCAGGTCTGCCTTACTGATGGACACATGAAAGAAGTAGTTGAGAAGTTCATTGATGTCCTTAGTGTCGCAGTCAAGAGACGTGTCTTGTGTTTACAGAGGGACGAAAACCCGGTACCAAATGGAGTTTTGAAGACGGGTGATAGGAAAGCAAATGTTGCGATCCTGTTTTCTGGAGGCATCGATTCCATGGTTATTGCTACCCTTGCTGATCGTCATATTCCTTTAGGCGAACCAATTGATCTCCTAAATGTAGCTTTCGTGACTAAAGAAAAGACCGTTCCAAGTAGCCGTAACAAAAGAACGAGGAAACAGAAAAATCATGAAATGCCTCCTGAGGAGTTCTCTGAAGGTACTGCTGCCCGTGGTGCTGGCAGTCCTGATGAGAACTACAGTGTACCAGATAGAGTCACAGGAAAGGCAGGACTCAAGGAACTGCAAGCTGTTAACCCTTCGCGAATGTGGAATTTTGTTGAAATTAATGTTTCTCTGGAAGAACTGCAACAATTAAGAAGAACTCAAATAAGTCACTTAGTTCAGCCCCTGGATACGGTTTTGGACGATAGCATTGGCTGTGCAGTCTGGTTTGCTTCCAGAGGAACTGGCTGGCTGGTGACTCAGGGTGAAGTGAAGCCCTATCAGAGCAGTGCAAAGGTATGGCCCGGTCGTTCCGCTTGTAAGAATTTCCGAGACTGAATTTTGACCCTGAAAGGTTTTAGCAGTATAGCATATTCTAGCTGCATGTAAGTTCTAGTACAACGTATGTGGGTACTTCAATTACATTTGTGGAAAAGTGGAATTAAAACAGAAACTTAACTTTGGCACAAAGAAACTTAAATCCATGCCTAGTTATTTCATAATATGCATGTTCCATGAACTTTTTGAATACCCTTCACCAGTGACTTCTTAAAAACTGGGCATAGTTTACTAGTCTATGACTTGTGGTTTTTCTCCAAAAGTAGGGTTGTAATTTTTTTTAATCATCTCTTTTTCTGCAGTATAATAGATGGTATTCTTACGTGGATTTCTTGAAACCTGTGTAGGTAGTTCTCACTGGAATTGGTGCAGATGAGCAGCTTGCAGGTTATTCGCGTCATCGCGTTCGCTTCCAGACGCGCGGGCCGGAAGCACTGAATAGGGAAATAGCGATGGAACTGGGTCGAATTTCTTCCAGAAATCTCGGTCGTGATGACAGAGTAATTGGTGATCATGGAAAAGAAGCAAGGTAATTCTAGCTGTGTGTTAACTTATTTTTGTAAAAATAGTAGACTGAAAAAGGAGACTGAAGTTCCTTTTTGGAAACTGAATGAGTGGCAGAAGCAGCAATAGTATTTCGGCTTTATGTCACAAACACAGCAAAGCTAGGAAGAGCCGCAGGAGCCATGGTTTTCCAAAACTCATTCTCCAAAACCTTTCTCTCAGTGACGTCAAAGGCAGCAGGATGGGGTGAGCGCTGTGGCATGGCAGGTGAAGCCTCTGCTAGCAGTGCCAGCATCCCACACGAGCACTAGTTTGTGTCTCGCTGCTCCCTGCTAATGGCCTGGGAACAGCAGTGGAGGATGGCCCAAGCACTTGGGCTCCTGTTGTCCACATTTGAGACTTGGAAAAAGCTCCTGGCTCCTGGCTTTGTCCTGGCCCAGCCCCAGTCATTGTGGCCATCTGGGGAGTGAACCATGAAATTGCGTAACTCTCTTCTTTCTCTGCAATTCTGACTTTCACGTAAATAAAAAATCTTAAAAAACAAAAGTATGATGACATGACTGTGTTTAAAACTATTATGAAAAAAAGACTAAAAGTCCAACTGAGATAAGAGAAGGTTCTTAAAGGGTTTTGCTTTGCTTTAAATGTTTGTTTTCTTTCCTATACGGATATAAGCCTCATCCCCAAGCTTTCTCCTGCAGTGCTGTTGAGCCTGCTTTGTCTCTGTCTATGTACACCTCAGGGATTTATTTTTGCCTACAGCATACTTCTGATGCTAGCAGACAAGTACTTGAATAAAATGTTTTGAAATGTTAAGGATAAAGGAAGACAGTTGTTAGTCCTGACACTTGTAAAATTTTGACTGTTACATCATTATTCTCTCATAATCTGATATTTCATTATAAAGAGATAACTTAATACCACAATCCAAAGTCTATAAACCACTTTACGTTTGAAGAGTGAGAGAGAGGGGATAGAGGGAAGGAAGGAAGAGAAAGAATTAGGAATGCAGTCTGTTATTTTAGCTAGGACTAAGAGGATCTGTTTTTCTAGTAAAAGCAGTTAATTCCTTAATTCCAAAGGTCAAATATGAAGTGTTGTGTTATACTAAGATAAACAGGCACATGAAGAATGTTTAAAACAGCTCGTATACAGAGGGAACATTGTGGTAGAGCAGGTTAGGATGCCTACAGCCCACAGTAGAATTCATGGCTCATGGCTTCAGTCTGGCCCAGCCTCAGCTGTCCCAAGCAGCTGGGGAATGAACCAGCAGATGAAAGAACTCTCCGTCCACCTCTCTGTTGCTCTGCCTTTAAAATAAAAATAAACTTTTTTAAAAAGAACTTAATTTTTAAAAAAGCCAGTATAGAATTGTGATATTAAAAACTATAGTGGTTAGCTCTAAACAATTTATTATGTAGGTATATGTAGTAACAGATTTATCTATCTATTTTTGCTTTTACAATGCTGTTTTTATATGTAAAATATCCCTGTAACAAATGTCTTTATCCTTTCCAGTCTTTCTACTCAAGCCAGAATAAAATGTAATGAAATGGAAACACTAGTGTAACTATCTTGCATTTTGAGAAATTGCTAGGAAGGAGATGTTAACATATTTAAAAAGGAACAGATTTTAAATTTTTGTTCAGTTATACCAGTTTGTCCACATTGGAATGATTAAATGTAAACATTTTGGTGTTTTATAAATTCAGGACTATGGAGCCCTTCTGTATTGGTTTCATATCCCTAAAGTTCAGTTTCTTTAGACATGATAAAAACCAGACACAGATGAGATTAAATGGTTAACTAATATGCTTGTTTTCAAATTTGGAATTACTGAAAACCATACACCTCATTTATTTGAGACTTAAATTTAAAATGCCATAGGTATGAAACACTTTTTTAATATAATTTTGTCATGTTATCTTTAATAGATTGATTTTATTTTTATGTAGTGATATTGTCTGTCTCTTTTAGATTTCCCTTCCTGGATGAAAATGTTGTCTCCTTTCTAAATTCCCTACCCATCTGGGAAAAAGCAAACCTGACTCTACCCCGAGGAATTGGTGAGAAACTAATTTTACGTCTGGCAGCTGTAGAACTCGGCCTTACAGCCTCTGCCCTCCTGCCAAAGCGGGCCATGCAGTTTGGATCCAGAATTGCAAAGATGGAAAACAGTAATGAAAAGGCTTCTGATAAGTGTGGAAGGCTCCGGATTATTTCCTTAGAAAACCTTTCTTTGGAAAAGGAAGTTAAATCGTAATGTGATTTAAGAATGTTAACAGTATTTACTGAATGACAGTTATGTAAAAATAAAATATCCAGCTGCTTTATTGTTGTGTAAAATAGTGGTTTTCAAGTTCATTAGGTTAAGTTTTCACCTTTCAGGTCACAGAGCTCCTAAAACTTAAATTTCCTGGGTAGTAGCAATGTCTTTTATTATTCCCAGGGAGCCCCCTTTGATTCACCTTGGTTTATGCCGATCATGTGACTTACCATGGGGTCCCTAGATAGCCTCAAGATGGGTTTGGTCATCAGAAAGACCAAATGAGTATAGGGTTGGAACTTTCCACCCCACTCATGGACCTCTAGGAAGGGGGAAGGGGGGGCTACAAATCGACCTCTGTAGAAACTCTGGAACAAGACTTGCTAAGCTTCCCATTTGCCGCACACTTGGAAGTACTGGGAGAATGACATGCCCAGAGAGGGTGTGGACACTCCCTGCACAACCCCACCCCCACTAATACCTAGCCTTGTGCATCTGTTCCCTCTGGCTGTTCCTGAATTGTATACTTCACAGGTAAATGTAGGTGCAGTGTTTCCTTGAGTTTTGTAAGCTGTTCTAGCAAATTACTGAATCTGAGGATGGAGTCACTGTAACCCTTTTTTTTTTTTTAAGATTTATTTATTTACTTGAAAGGCAGAGTTACACATAGAGAGAAGGAGAGGCAGAGAGAGAAGTCTTCCATCTCTTGGTTCACTCCCCAACGGCTGGAGCTGCGCTGATCTGAAGCCAGGAGCCAGGAGCTTCCTCCAGGTCTCCCACATAGGGGCAGGGGCCCAAAGACTTGGACCATCTTCCACTGCTTTCCCAGGCCATAGATCAGAAGTGGAGCAGCCGGGAGTCGAACCGGTGCTCATTTGGGATGCTGGCACTGCAAGCGGCAGCTTTACCCGCTACGCCACAGTGCCAGCCCCCACTGTAACCCTTTTTATAGCTGGTTGATCAGAAGAACTAGAGGTAACAAACCAGCAGTTGGCATCTAAAGTGAGAGCAACCTTGTGGGACTGAACTCTTTAACTTGGGTGATGTTAACAGTAACTCCAGGTAGATGGTTAGAATTTAATTAAGTCATAGGATATTTGTTTTCCCAGACTAACACTCTTCATGGTAGCTGCATCTAGAAATAACTCAGTTTGCTGGTGTTATCAGAGACCATGGTTTAGACAGGGCTCCCATTTGACAGATGAGAGAACTAAGGTCTTGAGAAGCTAAACAGTTTGCCTGAAGTTCACACTCCTGAGCAATACTTACTTTTATTACATCTTTTTAGGCAGCTCATTCCCCACTCAGAGAACTTTAATAACTATTTGAATGCTGTCCTATCCACAAATCGCCACCTTTCTCTTTACCTCATAGCTCATGACCTGAGCTTTTCACAGAAAGATCAAAGTTGTCAGGCCAAGAACACCAGATTTTTTTTTTCTTTAAACAATAGAAATTTGCAGCCCGGTTTTATGATTCCACTTTTATGTGATCCTTGATGACAGTGACTAACAATATGCATTCCTCCTAAATAAAAGAGAAAAGAATCTAATTGTTAGGAAAAAAAATAGAAATTTATTGCTCAAAGTTCTGGGAACTGGAAATCCAATATCAAGGTGTCAGGTTTGTTTCTCCTGAGATTTCTGTCTTTGGCTTGCATGTGGGCACCTTTTCTGTGTTCTCACATGAGTTTTGTGTGTCTGTTTATGTGCAACACCCAATACCCAGTCTTCTAAGTCACCTGTAGCTACACCAATCCTTTTCTTTCCTGCCATAAGAAAAGGAAGAGGGTCTTCACCCATTAGAAGGCTATGTCTCTGCCTGTTCTCTATCCCAGCCCATCGTGCTTTTCAGGAAGCTTACACTCCTCTCTCCAGTATCTTCAGACTCTAATGAAACCTTCCCGTAGTCATTGTTGAGTTATAGTCAATGCCAAGTTCAAATGTGCTTTCCTGGTCTTTTCTTCCATCTTCTCTATACCTCTTGGCTCTCATGTACCTTTTTGTCTATTAGTTTCACTCAGTCCTTGGGGCCAGCACCGTGGCTCACTTGGTTAATCCTCCACCTGTGGTGCCGGCATCCCATATGAGCGCCGGTTCTAGTCCCAGCTGCTCCTCTTCCGTCCGGCTCTCTGCTATGGCCCAGGAAGGCAGTGGAGGACGGCCCAAGTGTTTGGTCCCTGCACCTGCATGGGAGTCTGGGAGGAAGCACCTGGCTCCTGGCTTTGAATCAGCACAGCGCCGGCCATAGCGGCCATCTGGGGAGTGAACCAGCGGAAGGAAGACCCGACACCCCCCTCCCCCCAGCTGTCTAACTCTGTCAAATAAATAAATTAAAAAAAATTAAAAAGATTTCCACTCAGTCCTGACATCCACCCACATTACTGGACCATTAATCACCATACCAATAACACTGTTTGAGGTTTATCACTAATTAGGCTTATCCTTTCTGAATCTGGCCACACTCTGATTTTTAAAATCATAGTAAGAAATTTTATGGTAATAATATGGCTTGGATATGATCTCCCTCCCCAAACTTTATTCAGGACTTTAATCCCTAATGTCAAATGTTAATGATTTTGAGAGGATGGAGACTTCTTACGGTGTTAGAGAGGTGGGGCCTTTGAGAAGCGATTGAAGTTAGTGGGCTAAGGCCCTATGATTGAATCCTTGTGGTTTTGTAGAGGGAGAGATACCAGACACACATGTTCTGCTGTCTCTTGATGTGTGAAGCTGTGCACTACCTCAGGACTCTGTCATATGAGGTTTCTAGATCCTGCACCTCCAGAACCCTGAGCAAGAATAACCTTTCTTCTTTATAAGGTAACCTGCCTCAGGTATTTCATTATGGTACCTAAAAGCTGATTAACACAGATAGCAACCACAGAACCTTTTATACACCTTTGATTTATTTCCTAATAAATGCAATGTTCAAGCCAGACTTAAGATATTACTTGCATAGCTTTTATCTCTTTATCTGAAAGCAAATAAATTCAAGTGTCCATGTGGTCCTGACCACTAAATTGACTTCACTTACATTGGGAGTAGATGCACTTAAGTGGTTTGCCCCATGGCCTACAGTTGGGTATAATTATCATTACTCTAACAATAGAGGTAAATACAAAAAACACGTCATTTATATACTACCATATAATGTAGGCACTATTCTGTGAGCTTGATATGCATGTGTCAGTTTAGTCCATCGATCCTCAATGGAATTTCAAGGTCATCTGTTCCCATGGTATACTGTGAGTTTGTGTGTGCCTGCACAAACAAGCACTTAACACACAAAGGGCCTGATTACGTACAGCCTTCTTGCTACTTAATCCCATAAACTCTGGGATGAAGTTCTATGTTAATCATTAAGCAAAGGGACAACAAAAAATACCTTTTAAGTAGAAAGGTCTGCATATAGGGTTCCACTTCTTAGGTGCAAGCATTCACATTTCTGGGATGGTCTGACATCCCTTGCCCTAGAATGACAATCATATATTTATTAATATTCACTAATTCCATAGTAGCTAAAACAATGACAAGGCTGTTGTGACAAATTCTGCCCCAAACATTCACCAAGAACTGCCACACTGCCAGATTCCATGGGAGTCTCAGTTCCCAAATCCTTTGAGCTGGCAGCAGCAGCAATGACACTGGCCACACCCTTACTCTTGAAACACATTTTATGGCTTCTGGGGCCCATCTTGGTTTCCCTCCTGCCTTCCCAGCTGTTCTCTCATTGTCACCCTCTCTTACCTGACCTTTAGGTGTTGAATTTCTCAGGTATCCATCTGGGGTGCTCAGTCGTTCTTTCTCGATGCTCTCACTTGATGATTTCAACCACTGTCCAGCTTCAATTTCCATAACCCCACCCAAATGTATATGCATACTTCCTGCCTCATCTGCCATTCTTAGGCATAACCTAACACATACCTGACAATTCCTAAGGTCAACTATGTCCACAGGGGAACTCTTAACCTTGCTCTGACAGAAGTCTGAGTGTCTCCTTGCACCCCCTTCTTTGCCAGTACCTCCCTACTCCATCTATCATACAGGCTACGCCTTGACTTCTCATATCATTCCCCTCATCTCCATTAGGATAAAGTTCAAAATCACTTAACTCAGGAGTCTGCATGACCTGTCTCTCACCTACTCGCACAGCCTCTTTTTGTGCCCACATCTCCCTTGGCTTCTAGAAATAACCACTTTCTTCAATTCCTTCTCACCTGCTGTTCCCTGTCCCTGCAAAGCTGCTTTGATTCTTTGTGTGTGGGGAGAGCCCTTTCTCATCTTCGCAGCTCAGTGTAAAAAGCTCACTTTCTAGGGCAGGCCCTAGTGGTTAAGATGCCACTTGAGGGCGCTGGCCTGGTGGTGCAGCGGGTTAATGCCCTGGCCTGAAGCACCGGCATCCCATAAGGGCCCCCGCTCCACTTCCGATCCAGCTCGCTGCTATGGCCTGGGAAAGCAGTAGAAGATGGCCCAAGTCCTTGGGCCCCTGCACCCACGTGGGAAACCCAGGAGAAGCTCCTGGCTCCCAGTTTTTGATCGGCACAGCTCTGGCTGTTGCAGCCATATGGGAAGTGAACCAGTGGGTGGAAGACTCTCTCTCTCTCTCTCTCTCTCTGCCTGTCCTCTCTCTGTGTAACTCTGACTTTCAAATAAATAAATCTTAAAAAAGAAGAAAAAAAAAAAAGATGCCACTTGGATTTGCCAGAGTACCTCGGTTCAAATCCCAGTTCCGCTCCGGATTCCAGCGTCCTGCTCTTGCGCACTCTGGGAGGAGCAGGTGAAGACTCAAGTACTTGGATTCCTGCCACCCACGTGGGAGACCGGGATTGGATCTCCACCCTCCTCACGCGCCGTGTCCCTTTCACATCATTATTTTTTAACGCACTTTCTCAGAACAGCCTTTCCCACCCCCTCGTCTAGATTAATATACCTTCGTGTCCTGTCATTACATCTCACGTGTATCACATTGCTAAATATACCTGTCTGGCCCTCTGTTGGACTGTAAGCTCCTGGGGGTTTTGTGTGGGTCCTGCTTTCCCGGGCCTCCAGCCCCTAGCACGGAGTTCGGCTCACAATGGGTGTCCCATACACGTCTGTGGGATGAAAGAATGACTACGGAGCCGGAGTTGCAATCCTGACCGCCTCAACCCCGGGCTTCCGCTCTGCCACCCTCCACGCTGGGCAGAGAGAGTAGCGGGAGGCCAGACGGAGCTCTAAAGCAGGGCTGGGAGGGGAGGTCAGGGTGCGAGGAACCCGAGCACTGGAGAGACCGCAACGCCGGCCACGCGCTGGGCTCCCGCTGACCTCGGCCCGGCCCGGCAGAACCCCAGCACCAACGGCCCCGGAGCGCGCGTCAGCAGGCCACAGCCAGGGTCCCCCGGGGCCCGAGCGGTCAGCCCGGCAGTCAGGCCTCCCGCGGCCCCGGCCCGCAGCCTCTCAGAGCTCCACCCTTCACGCTCGCCCACGCAGGGAGCCCGGAGGCCGGGTCCAGGCCCAGCGAGAAGCTAAGGAGCCACTGGAGACGGCAGCTGCCCCAGGCTCCTGGGAACACGCAGCGTCCCTCTTCCTGACCAAAAACCGACCGTTCTGGAGTAGGTAACCCCCCTTCCTTGTTCTTGTTCTTGTTCTTTCCCTTTCCCGTGAGGCCAGAGCTCCTGGGCTCGAGTGTGGACAGATTCTGGAAGGTGTGAAGCCTCAGGTGTGTCGGGCCCCCGGGCTCCGTTCCTGCATCAGTAAAATGGGCCCGGCCCTCCCAGCAGCTGTCCCGAGAACTGCACAGAAATGCAAGCTCTGGGCCCCACCCCACCAGACTGGAGAGAAAGGCGGTGGGATTTAGCTCTCTGTATTTTAGCGAACCCCAGGAGAGACTGACGCCGCTTACATTTTGAGACCCACTGTATAATTGTGGCCAATGACATGAAATAAAAATAGTTTGTAGAAAGAGCTTGCCAGATACTAGATGCTCCGTCGATAGTAGTTGTGGCCATTATTACTCCAGAAAAAGAAAGGTATTTGGTTGCAGAGAAATTGAAGGTTGAGCAGGTGTTTCCTGTCTTTGAAGTATATCTTTAGTTTCTTGCTTAGAGAAAAGGAAAACCTGCAACAAGTCTCTCCAACAGAACACACACCCAACAGCTACTTCTAATGTATGTAGAAGTTAACGCTTCTTTTGGACTTTGACTTTTTTTTTTTTTTGAAAAGCAGACTATGATTAATATTAGAAGTTTTACAATTTAAACTTTTTTTAAGATTTTATTTATTTATTCAACAGGCTGAGTTACAGACAGAGAAAGGGAGGGACAGAGAGAGGTCTTTCATCTTCTATTCCACTCCCTAAATGGCCCCACTGGCCAGAGCTGAGCCTATCTGAAGCAAGGAGCTTCCTCCTGGTCTCTCATGTGGATGCAGGGGCCCAGGCATTTGGGCCATCTTTAACTGCTTTCCCAGGCCATAAGCAGCTGGATTGAAAGAGGAGCAGCCAGGACACAAACTGGCACCCATATGGGACTCTGGTGTGGCAGGCAGAGGCTTAGCCCACTCTGCCACAGTGCTGCCCCCAATTTAAACTATTTTAATTCAAATTTCAACTTCCTTATGCTGCAGTTACTTTGAAATTGAAAAATGTGGGCTAGGCTTACAGCAAGCAGGTTAAACTGCTGCTTGAGATGCCTGCAGCTGGGATCACGGTGTCTGGGGTCAATTCCCGCCTGTGCTGCTGACCCAACTTCCTGCACCCTGGAAGGCAGCAGATGATGGCCCAAGTGCTTGGGTCTGTACCGCCCATGTGGGAGACCCAGCTGGAATTCTGGGCTCCTGGCTTTCAGCTTGGCCGAGACCCAACTGTTGCAGGCATTTGGGGACTGAACCAGTAGATCAAAGATTGATCTCTCTCTCTCTCTCTCTCTCTCCCTTTCAAATTCACATAATAAATAAACTTTTTTAAAATTTGACAGTTAGAGAGAGAGAGAGAGAGACAAGGAGAAAGGTCTTCCTTTGCCGTTGGTTCACCCCTCCTCCCAGTGGCCGCTGAGGCCAGTGCACTGCAGCCGGCGCACCGCGCTGATCCGAAGCCAGGAGCCAGGTGCTTCTCCTGGTCTCCTATGCGGGTGCAGGGGCCCAAGCACTTGGGCCATCCTCCACTGCCCTCCCGGGCCACAGCAGAGAGCTGGACTGGAAGAGGAGCGACTGGGACTAGAACCCAGCACCCATATGGGATGCTAGTGCCACAGGCAGAGGATTAACCAAGTGAGCCACGGCACCGGCTCCCAATAAATAAACTTTTAAGAAGATTAAGAATATAATGGTTGACCATGAAAAAATAAAAGGCACAGATTTATTTCTAGGGAAACCAAGTTTCATGTGCCACAGAAATTGTATTGCTTATCTTTTCCTTTTTCTTCATTGCAGAACCTTCAGAAAAGGGCACTGATTTAATTGGAAATGTTAAGGTTGCCCAAAAAAGTATTAACTAGATTGGATCAAATTCAAGATGATGAAACCTACCTGGAAAATTTAGCAGTTCAGAGAAATGCTTCTGCCTTTTTTGAAAAATATGATCGGAGTGAAGTACAAGAACTACTGACCACGGCACTGGTTAGCTGGTTGTCCACCAAAGAGGACGTTCGCTCTCAACTAGACATCCCGTGTGGAATTATGACTCAGATGAACAACTTTGCCTTCTCCACTGCGATCCTGCTGACTCCGGTGGACTCAGATGCCCTCTTAGACTACAGGGAGGTCCATCAGATCATAAGGGAGTTGGCCGTTGGAATTTATTGCTTAAATCAGATCCCGTCGATCAGTTTAGAAGCTAATTATGATCAGAGTTCATCTTGTCATTTACCTCCAGCCTATTATGATACCAGAATCGGACAGATTCTGATCGATATTGATTACATGCTCAAAGCGCTGTGGCATGGAATCTACATGCCCAAGGAGAAACGGGCCCGCTTCTCGGAGCTGTGGCGCACCATCATGGACATTGACCCAGATGGGAAGCCGCAGACAAGCAAAGATATTTTTGCAGAGTTTAATGCGGCAGGTAAGATAACCTAACCATGTAAAAGTAATATATCTGTTGCTCAGTTTGTATGGCTATCATTTCTGGACATAAATTTCTAGGTATAATCATGATTGTTCAACGTTTTCTAAACTCCAAAGAATCTTTTTAATAAAATTTCTGCTTTTTAAATTGTCACCAAAAAGTATGTTTTGTGTCAGGCATCTGTCTTCTTTTGTCTTTTTACTTTTTTAAGATTTATTTATTTATTTGTTTACTTGAAAGGCAGAGCAACAGCAAGAGAGAGAAACAGAGACAGAACTCTTCTGTTTGCTGGTTCACTGCCTTAATGGTAGCCAGGCCAAAGCCAGGAGCCAGGAACTCCATCTGCCACGTGGGTGCAGGGGCCCAAGCACTTGGGCCATCATCTACTGTTTCTGACTTCTGGTTTTGGCCTGGCCCAGCACTGGCCATTGCAATTATGTGAGGAATGAACCAGTGGATGGAAGATTTCTCTTGATTACCCTCTCTCTCTTTAACTGAGTTTCAAAATTAATAAATAAATCTTTAAAAAAAATTGTGCTCTGGGGCCGACACTGTGGTGTAGCAGATAAAGCCACCAACTTCAGTGCAAGGATCCCATTTGGGTGCCGGTTCTGTCCCAGCAGCTCCACTTCTGATCCAGCTCCCCGCTAACGCACCTGGCAAAGCAGTGGAAGATGGTCAAGTGCTTGGGTCCTTGCACCCATATGGGAGACTTGGGTGAAGCCCCTGACTCATTGCAGACATTTGGAGAGTGAACCAACAGATGAAAGTGCTCTCTCTCTCTCTCTCGCTCTTTCTCTCTTTCTTGCTCTTTCTCTCTGCTTCTCCTTCAATGTAATTCTGAATTTCAAATAAATAAATATTTTTAATGTGGCCTGAAAGGATGTGAGGTAGGGAACAAAAGGTGTCTGGTACACAGTGTGACACATGGGAGCTTGGCTGGCTGCAACCCTTGCTCCAAACTCAGCATTTGAGGTGGAGGGAGTGTATCCTCTCTTCGCTGGGATGATCAGGGAGCTGGCATCCTGGGTTTGTAATTGCAGATAGATAGTAGCAAACTAGCAACATGAATTGCTACACCCTCATTCATGCCATGAAAATTCATGTCTGGGAAAACAGCATCCTCCCTCCTGACATGACTGGGAAACTGGCTTGAAACCCCATGTGATTGCCTTAAACAGGCTACAGTGAATAACCCAGGAAGTGTGCAGGAAGCCAACCCTTTATCTGGAAGAGTGGACTCCTAGAAATCAGTCTTGACTCTCAGATAGCTTCGTACTCTACCAAACCACCGGCAATAGTAGGAGAGAATAGAGTACACCAAAAACATAGTCATCCTATCTAGATTTCTCAGAAAGGATTTTAATTGAGGTGGATTTTTTGATCTCAATAATTTTTGGATTCTTTGCCTCTTTATAGTAGGTTCTAGGACTGGTAGGAAAGAAGAAAAAGTTGTTATAGCAAAATAGTGGAGGGGAATTTTACTTTTGTTCTTTCACAAAGGTGCTAAGGGAATTGCTTGTTGTTTTAGTAGTTGAGAGGCAGAGTGCCTCTACTGGTTTCACTCCCTAAATGCCCACACAGCCCCTAGGAGCTGAGAATTCAATCCACGTCTCACATGTAAATTGCAGAAACCCAGTTGAGCGCTCACAACTGGCTCCCAGGGTCTTATCAGCAGGAAGTAGAAGTCAGGAGGCGGAGCTGTAAGTCAAACCCATGTACTCCAATGTGGGACACAGATGTCGAAATTGAAGTAGTAAAAATAAATAAAGATGAAACCTATTAAATATCAGCAGCTGGTAACATGAAATGGTTATTATTTTTAATGCTTCTGTTCACTTACTTGTCCTCGATCTGAAATGCCATTCTTTTTTTATTTATTTAAAAAGAACTTTTTAATTTAATGAATGCATTTTTACATAGATACAACTTTAGGAATATAGTGGTTCTTTTCCCCATACCCCGGACCCCGCTCCCATCCCACCTCCCGTTTCCTCTCCCATCTCCCTCTTCGTTATGGATCATTTTTAGTATGTCTTTATATACAGAGGACCTACTCTATGCTAATCATAGACTTCAACAATTTGCCCCCACGCTCCCACACAACATATAGAGTACAGTTTGGGGAGAGAATTTGCAGTTGAGTCTCATATAACAATTCAATAGGGATAGAGGTCCTACCTGGGGAGCAAGTGCACAGTGACTACTGTTGTTCCTTTAACAACTAACACTCTTTTTTTATGAAGTCAGTGATCATCTGGGGCTTTTGCCATGGGCTACCAAGTTATGGAAGCCTTTTGTGACCATAGACTCCGTTGGTATTTGGACACGGCCATAAGCAAAGTGGATGTTCTCCTCTCCCTTCAGAGAAGAGTGTCTCCTTCTTTGATGGCCCTTTCATTCCACTGAGGTCTCACAGAGATCCTCCGTGTAGGATTTTTTTCCTTTCTGTCACGGAGCCTTGTCTTTCCATGCCTGAGATGCTCTCGCAGGCCTCTCAGCCCGACCAGGAAGCCTTATGGGTGGATTCTGAGGTCAGAGTGTTATTTACTGCGAAAGTCATTCTAGGAGTCTGCTGTGTGGACCGCTTCCCATGTTGGTCCTTCCTTCCTTTTTAATTCTATTATTTTTACCGGATATTTGATGCTATTTATATCATCCCTTTTAAACTTAGGCCGGTCTATCTGTTGCCTTTAACATTTAATATGATCATTGTAACAATGAAGATGGTGTTTATACCACCGATTCTTATGGGTTTGGAGCCCCATGATTAGTTCTTAGGCTGTACCCTGAGAGGTAAGTCTATATATAAGTCTGTATGCCTGTATGCAGAACTAGACTGTTTTACAGTTTTAGACTCCCTCCTCCATCTCTTGTTCCCTTCCTTATTTTTAACTGGGATCTTTTTCCAATTGCCTTAAAATACATATAATTAACTCTGTGTTACATAGTGAGTTTAGTGAAATGCTCTCCTTATACGCATCTCACTCCCCTCTAACCCTTTTCCCCTGGGTATCTCTACTCATTTTTTGAGACTTGATTCAGTCTCTATCAGAACTCCTATCTGCACATACTATAATCTGCACAGAAAATATTCTCTGTTTTGTATTGGAAATACTGTTTTCAGCCCTGTCTTCCTCATTAGACTTTAAGCTCCTTGTTGCAAGCACAGAAAATTGTGTCTTTTCTGTTTTTAAGTTCCCAGCACCTTACCCAGTGCTTGCCAAGTAGTAACTTTTCAATATATGTAGAAAAATTAAATGGCTGATAATAAACAAAGTAAGAGACAGAATTAAAGGAGACTCTTGGGTTTCTGGTTTGACAGACTGAAAGATAAATAGTGCCATCAACTAAGATAGGGAATAAAAGAAAGACATGGGGGAAGGAGAAAGATGAATAAGTTCATCTTGGAATGCTCCTCTGACATTTAGATTTATTTATTTATTTATTTTTAAATATTTATTTATTTATTTATAAAGATTTATTTATTTACCCAAAAGGCAGAGTTACAGAGAGCCAGAAGCAGAGAGAAAGAGAGATCTTCTATCTGCTGGTTCACTCCCCACATGACTGCAACAGCTGGAGCCGAGCTGATCCGAAGCCAGGAGCTTCTTCCATGTCTCCCACGAGGGTGCAGGGGTCCAAGGACTTGGACCATCTTCTACTGCCTTCCCAGGCCATAGAGAGCTGGATTGAAAGAGGAGCAGCCGGGACTGGAACCGGTGCCCATATGGGATGCCGGCGCTTCCGGCTAGGACGTTAACCCTCTGCGCCACAGCACCAGCCCCACAACTTAATTTCATTCAGTTTTTGGTTCAATCCTGTTTTATTCCTTACTTCATTATGGCTTTGTACATATTCTTCCCTGGTGACTTAACACAATGTGCTGTGATCACATTTCCTTTCTTTAATAACTTTTTTTTTTCATGACATGAGCAATCATGTTACTTTTTTAAGTAGCTGAGTTTTCCATGTATGTTTTACTAACCCAGTGCCAGACTTCGGAAGAGAAATGCTGACCTCTCAGCGAGGCTAAGCATCAGGCAGTGCCCCTCTTCCAGTTCTTCCTTAGAGATGTTTCTCCTGACACCTTAATCCTCCTACCCCATCCACAGCTGACTGCTTGCCAGCACCCGTGCACCCCACTGCCACTCCCAGCACATGGCCGGTTCTTCCCATCCCTGCCTTACCTGAGAGGCTTTCCTCACCTGCTGGGCAGTCCTTGCCGTTGGCTCCCCTCTAGGCCTGGGGAGGAGCAGGACTGTGTGGTCGAGGATCAGGAGGGAGCTCTGACATTTCAGCTGGGTGGGGGACTCCCCAGACGTGGTCTCTCTGGGTCTTCTCTCTATGGTCTGGTTTCCTCCCGTCGCCTGCTTGGAGCGAGGGCAGTGACTTTGGGACCAAAGAAGGCGAAAACGCCTGTCCTGGCCCTCACTTGCTCTGCAGCCCTTTTAGTGAGGAAGTGGGAAGGGACTGTGGTATCTGGGGAGGCAGTTTAGGGGTCTAATTGCACCTCAATCAGACCTTGAGCCAATCATCCTTCCTTCTTTGTCGTCATCTTAAAGCTCACTCTGTTCTTCCAAGCCTCCTTGTGGTACTTCCAGTTTCCAACCCTTCCTGTGTTGGGCACTGATTTGCTCCATATTGGCTCCCACCCACCCCCAAGCCACAAGTTTTAGTGGCATTAACAGTCCTCTGGCCTAACATTAGTTCTGTTTTATTTAACTGTTAGGATCCCTTTAATTTTTATATCATCTCTTTATAATTTAGCATACTCTTTTGAAAAAAGCAGATGAATTATAGTGGCTATTAAAAAAGTTTCCAAACATATTCCTCCTTTTGTATAGATGTGATGAAGAGAAAAGGAAAACAAATGGGTGTGTGTAGGGGGTTGGACATTGATGTATCATATATACTTTATAGCACATATGTTACAAACCACATTTTCTTTTTTTATTTAGTAAATATACATTTCCAAAGTACAGTTTATGGATTACATTGGCTCCCCCCCCATAATTTCCCTCCCACTCGCACCCCTCCCATCTCCCGTTCCCTCTCCCATTCCATTCACATCAAGATTCATTTCAATTATCTTTATATACAGAAGATCGATTCAGTATATATTAAGTAAAGATTTCATCAGTTTGCACCCACACAGAAACACAAAGTGTAAAAATACTGTTTCAGTACTAGTTATAGCATTACTTCACATTGGACAACACATTAAGGACAGATCCCACATGAGAAGTAAGTACACAGTGACTCCTGTTGTTGACTTAACAATTTGACACTCTTGTTTATGGCATCAGTAATCTCCCTAGGCTCTTGTCATGAGTTGCCAAGGCTATGGAAGCCTTTTGAGTTCGCCAACTTCGATCTTATTCCGACAGGGTCATAGTCAAAGTGGAAGTTCTCTCCTCCCTTCAGAGAAAGGTACCTCCTTCTTTGATGGCCCATTCTTTCCACTGGGATCTCACTCACAGAGATCTTTCATTTAGGTCTCTTTTTTTTTTTTTTTCCCAGAGTGTCTTTGCTTTCCATGCCTAAAATACTCTCATGGGCTCTTCAGCCAGATCCAAATGCCTTAAGGGCTGATTCTGAGGCCAGAGTGCTATTTAGGACATCTGCCATTCTATGAGTCTGCTGTGTATCCCACTTCCCATGTTGGATCATTCTCTCCCTTTTTGATTCTATCAGTTAGTATTAGCAGGAACTAGTCTTGACAAACCACATTTTCTCCAAAGACTTATTTTATTTGGCTCCAAGCAATTTTCTCAAGCCTAGGTTAATGGTACCATTGTAGAGATTATTATGTTAAAAAGAAAATTTGACAAGAAAGTCCTTGATTTCACCATTAATGACAAGTAAATGTAGCATGGGAAGTTTGTCATTTTTTAATTGAGTAAAATCATGTTTTAATATTTGCTTGTTTCAACTAAGACACTCTGTCAAAAAAAAAATGACCTAAATGAAAGATCTCCACAAGTGAGATCCCAGTGGAAAGAACAGATCATCAAAGAAGGAGGTACCTTTCTCTGAAGGGAGGAGAGAACTTCCACTCTGACTACGACCTTGTCTAAATAAGATCAGAGTCGGAGAACTCAAAAGGCTTCCATAGCCTTGGCAACTCGTGACAAGAGCCTAGGGTGATTACTGATGCCATAAACAAGAGTGTCAATTTGTAAAGTCAACAACAGGAGTCACTGTGCACTTACTCCTCATGTAGGATCTCTGTCCTTAATGTGCTGTACATTGTGATTTAATGCTATAACTAGTATTCAAACAGTATTTTTCACTTTGTGTTTCTATGTGTTCTATTGTTGAAATCTTTACTTAATGTATGCTAAACTGATCTTCTGTATATAAAGAGAATTGAAAATGAATCTTGATGTGAATGGAAGGGGAGAGGGAGCGGGAAAGGGGAGGGTTGCGGGTGGGAGGGAAGTTATGGGTCGGGGGGAAGCCATTGTAATCCATAAGCTGTACTTTGGAAATTTATATTCATTAAATAAAAGTTAAAAAAATTTGCTTGTTTAATCTTGGTTAGCAGGCAGGTTCTTTGCTTATTTGATCAAGTTAGGTTTTTTTTTTTTTTTAGACAAAAGTAATTTAAAGTTTCGAGCCTGAGAAAGCAAGTTACCCTTTTCACCCACACGAGATTCTTTGCTTAAAAAGCTATACCGTTTTCTTGTTATTCTTCCATATTTTCGTTGATTAAAGATAGGACTCATGTTATTGTGTTTCCATGGCATTGTGAGTGATTCCTCCAAAGAGAATGGAACTCTTTTCTTTTTAATTCCACAAATGTCTATTTTTCTTCAGTCTTCTCAGTAACCCACTCATCCATCTACCTTTCATCTACAGAATCTTATTGGCACCTTCTTGTTCCTTTACTGTCTTGTTAGTAGGAATTCAGGATGAAACCTTGTGTTCAATATGCTGTATTTATCCAGAAGCCAAGTATAAAGCTTTCACTATCTAAATTTTTTCTTTTTTAACTGGAAAGGTTTGGTTGATATTACAAAGGATCCAGACTTTGATGGAATCTATGATGAAGACATGAATGAAGATCCAACATATAATCCCAACAGCCCTGAAGAAAAAGCTGTGTTCATGAAATATGCTGAAAATATTATGCTAAAGTTGACATTCAGTACCATACAAGTTCAACAATATGAAAATGTCTTTATATTTGAAACAGCTTACTGGCTTACCAATGCCATAAAATATAATCAGGATTATCTTGATATTTGTACCTACCAGAGACTACAGCAAAGATTGTATCTTCAAAAAAAGATTATTCAGAAACATTTTGAGAAGAAAAAAGAAATCAGAGGAGGGCTAGGATACCTAAAGTTAATATGTTTTCTGATTCCATTTCTACTGAGTTTAAAAAAGAAGATGAAAGTCCCATATTTAAGTAGTCTGCTTCAGCCCTTTTCTGGTAAGAGTGTGACTAGAAGTCAAATATAAAATATAAGTATATAGTAAATATATTTTTATATTCAGTGTTTTCTAGTTTGTGGGTCCAGGCATCTAACCTATCTATAACCTGTTATAGGAAAAGCAAAAACAAAAACAAAAAAACTTAACACTGATGCAGTTAAAAACTACTTGGTGTATGTATCCTGCACTTCGTATGTGTTTATACCAATCGTATGGGCTAGAGAAAGATTTTTTTAAAAAATTCTGAGTAAACAGAGAAATAAGTCATATTCAGGAAGGGAAAATATAGTAGAGTCATTAATTCTTTGACTATTAATGTAAATTTAAAATGTTATCCCCCCAAAAAATAAAATATAAATTAAAAAAACATGAGGCCAGCGCTGCAGCTCAATAGGCTAATTCTACGCCTGAGGTGCCGGCACCCTGGGTTCTAGTCCCGGTTGCTCCTCTTCCAGTCCAGCTCTCTGCTGTGGCCCAGGAGTGCAGTGGAGGATGGCCCAAGGCCTTGGGCCCTGCACCCGCATGGGAGACCAGGAGAAGCACCTGGATCCTGGCTTCGGATCAGCGCGGTGCGCCAGCCGCAGCGGCCATTGGAGGGTGAACCAACAGAAAAAAGGAAGACCTTTCTCTCTTTCTCTCTCTCTCTCATACTGTCCACTCTGCCTGTCCAAAAAAAAAAAAAAACATGAAAGGACAATATGGATATATCTTATCCAATCTTCTCTATAAATTCAATGCAGTTGTTTTTAAAGATTTATTTATTTATTTGAGAGGCAGAATTAGAGAGAGAGAAGGAGAGACAGAAAGATCTTCCATCCGTTGGTTCACTTCCCAAATGGCCTTAATGACCAAATCTGAGCCAGGCTGAAGACAGGAACCAGGAGCTTCTTCTGGGTCTCCCACATGGGTGCAGGGCCCCAAGCACTTGGGCCATCCTCCACTGCTTTCCCTGGTGCATTGGCAGGGAGCTGAATTGGAAGTGGAGCAGCCAGGACTTGAACCATTGCCCATATGGGATACCAGTGCTTCAGGACAGGGCTTTAACCTGCTGTATCACAGCACCAGCCCAATTCAATGCATTTCTATTTCAAATCCTTACGATGCTTTTCATTAAAGTTTACAAAGTGACTCTACAATTAATATGAAACTGCAAAGGCTCGTGAGTGATCTTGCATTTCTGGAAAAGAGATAGAAATATATTAGCAAGTATAGTATTTAGGGGCAGGCACTATGGTACGGAAGGGTAAGCCTCTCATATGGGTGCCAGTATGTGTCCCAGCTGCTCCTCTTCCAATCCAGCTCTGCTATGGCTTGGGAAAGCAGTAGAAGATGGGCCAGAAGCTTGGGTCCCTGCACCCATTTGGGAGATCTGGAAGAAGCTCCTGGCTCCTAGCCTCAGATCAGCTTATCTCTGGCCATTTCAGCCATTTGGGGAGTGAACCAGCGAATATAAGACTTTTATCTCTGTCTCTCCCTGTTTCTTTGTACCTCTACCTCTGAAATAAATAAATAAAATCTTTTTAAAAAGTATAACAATTAGATGAGGAAATTTGACATTGCAATAAGCAAAAAGAACAGTATATGAGAGAGCTGAAATAGAGCTATGCTTGTATGGAATTTGACAGGACTTCAGTGCAAACTCTTGTTCCTCCCAGATTAGTGCACAATTTGTGCCTTTTCTTTGGGGTCCAAGCATGTAGGCTTAATGTGAGCTCTCTATTCAGATGGAAGATTTTCGGTAGAAATTTTGCAGATCATTTTTTGAGATTTTGTATCATCAGAATTCACATGGTGAAGATTATTTCTATAAACTGCTTTTAAATGGAATCACTGGTTTATACTCCGCATGTGTGTTGAAATACAGCACTGTGCCTCCAGGTGTGTACAAATATAACATGTGAACATTTTTTAAATAAAAGAAGCAAAATAAAATCCAGTCCTGACAATGCTTGTTCCTTGAATGTGGAGCAGCATGTATAGAACTGGGAGCGCCTTGCTTAAGGGGACATTAACCGTGTCTATAAGGTTTTGTTCCTTGAATCATGAGCAGCCAGTATGTCTAAATACTCCAGTATGTCTAAATTTTAATAGTGCTGGGTGTTGATATCAGTGTGTTATATCATTGCACGTTTTACCTTCCTCAAAATATGTTTCTTATATTGATTGAATGGTCAAAATACTAGACGACCCTGATTCTGAGATTTTAGAAAATTATTTTTAAAATAAGTTATATATTTGGTTCATTACTTTCCAGAAATATGGACTGGTTCTTTTCATCAAATGAGAAGTGCCCGTCTTTTTTTTTTTTTTTTTTTTTTTAATAGAGTCTTTTAACCTAAACTGGTTCAGGTAAGTTTTGATATTTAATCAAAGATTCTCTAAGCATAGAATTTCAAGTCTTTTCTGATACGTAGAATAGTGTTTTGACTATAGTTTTTGAAATATCTATAAAATGCAGCTAGAGAAGATGCTCAAATATATGATACATATTACATTTCAGTGTTCACTATATATACATTAAGAACACAACTAATTCAGACATTTTAATTCCATGTAGAATTTTTTTTACTTTATTTATATCAGTGAAAATTTAGATATCCGAAACATGGTTGTATGCTGTTCACTTTTTAAACAACTATTTGTTTTTCATTCTTGGAGATGACAAGGTCAAGACAGAAAGAGAATTGCCTCCATTTATTTATGGACAAGACTTTAAATGCCAGAATTTTTACTACAAAGAGAACCAATATTTTCACATGCATGGAGGAATTGAATTTGATATCAGCACCCCTTCAATTGAGAATGCTCTGGAAGATTTTAAGGTTTAAGTTACTATCATTCGTAAGATAGCTTGTCATTTCACAACTCTGCTACTCTGTTCTCCAACCAGAAAGAGCCTCTGTTGGTACAGGTGCCATGCAACTCTTCAAGTGATTTTTCTTGCATCTCACTAATTTTTTCACACATTATCTTCACATACATAAATTAAAGGCAACTGTTTGTAAGACACTGTGTTGGATGTCAAGGGTTATGTGATCAGTAAGCTAGGCACAGCCATTGTCCTCACAGAATTTACAGACTTCTAATGGATCATATTTGCCCTAGAATTGTTATCCAAAGAGTACAGTAGAAATTCCTGACCATCCACTACATATTCTTCCCTTTTCCTCAAAGATTAGTATTAGAAAGGTGAGCCTGGGGCTGGTATTATAGTATAGTGAGTAAAACTGCCATCCCATATAGGTGCCAGTTCTAATCCCATCTGCTCCACTTCTGATCCATCTCCCTGCTAGTGCTTCAGGGAAAGCAGTGGAAGATGTCCCAAGTGCTTGGGCACCTGCATCCGCATGGGAGACAGGGAAGAAGCTCCTGGCTTCAGTCTGGTCCAGCCCTGGCTATTGTGGCCATTTGGGCAGTGAACCAGCAGATGGAAGATCTCTTGATATCCTCTCTCCATCTCTCTTTCTCTCTCTCCCCCACCCCTATCCCATAACTGTGCCTTTCAAATAATTAAAATAAATCTTAAAAAAAATAAAAAGAATACAAATCCTTTAGAGTTTGGGAACAGTAATTCTTCACCTGGAATTTAGTATAACCATGATACATTTCAGTTGTCATTATGTATTACGTATTATGTATTTTTCCCACATTCTCAAAGTAGGGATGGGGATACATAAAATTCCTATCAAGGTCTTCTGGAGTTTTATATAATTTTTAAAATTTAGTGTATATAATTACATAGAGAAGTCTTATAATTGTTGATATTTGTTTAAAGATAAGTTTTTTAACATAACTCATATTTTAGAACAACTTGGAAAAAATACGAGACTGTGCTGCTAATACATTTGCAGAAGATTCAGGATATAAAGAATATTACTCAATACCAGTCATGGAATTTTATGGAAGAAGGTAAGGACTTTCAGTAATTATTCACACCCACCATTTGTTGGAAGTTAGAGAATAAGAAAAAGGCCAAAATGCATGGGCTCACTTCAAACCTTAGGAGATGGAGATCCTAGACCAGTAAGTGATGACACTGACTCAACAAAGTAATTAAGTGTTTTGGTTATAACTTCATGCTCTTTGATGCATTCTGTAACTGTATAGTAATCCTCCAAACTTGTAATCAGTGCACAGTGGTTAAGTAGGGGTGGAGATGGGGAATGAATCGTACCAGTGGACTGAAGGCAATAGACTCTGCACACAACCCTTTACAACAATTTAAAATCTCTTCCTGCCAGCTGTTAGTGTGTCTGCAATGTTGTGGGGGTGGCATGTTTCCTTGGTATTTCTAGAGTCTTTTACATGCTGCATTGTTGGATTTTCACATCGTGAAAACTGTTGGAAATTTAGGAAATAGAGAAAACCTTTGAATTGCAAATGAATTAAAAGCATGTAGGAAGGTTTTATTTGGGGTTTGTTGTTGTTGTTGTTTTTTAAGGCATGGAAGTAGTTGAGAGGATAAGACTGAGTCTGTAACCCTGGTGAATGGTAACTTTCAAAGGGGGCTAGAAAGGAGCAAGGGAAAGAAAGCAAAGGAAACTGGATGGGAATGATGGAGGTGGAAGAGAACCAAGCGTGTGAGAGATCATAGAAACCAAATGGGGAAAATCTTCAGAATATGCAAATAGCAAAGAGCATCAAATGCAACCGAGAAGCCTCATCAGTTTGACTGAAGGGAGCCCTCTATGTTTGGCTAAGGCTTGGTAATCAAACTAGAGGAGAGTTGTGGTTGAAAGAGGCTAGTGGCAGAGAGTTGGAGGATGCAATAGAGAGAGTCAATGAGATGTGAAGAAGTAAAGGCAACGATTATAAATTTTTTTCAAGATGTGTGGCAGTGAGAACAATAAGAGAAATGAGGCTGCGGGGGTAGCAGGATAAGGGACCAAAAGGAATCTTTGAACACTGCCTAGCTGTACATGTAGTGCTAGAGCTGAGGTCAAAGGCCATTTGGCTAATGACTCTCATGATTTCAAAGAGAACCAAGTAGCAGGCACAGGATGTGTGTCTTCCTGGAGGGGGGCCTCTCACTCAGGGACCCAGCACCTGTTGGCACTCTCCATGAACCATCCTTGCCAAACCAAATAGTGTCCCGGCGGCACTCGCACACACGCCTTTGTGCTCCGAGTTCTGTCAAGCTTCCGGAGCGCAAGTGATCCTGAGAATGCAGAGAAGCAGCTGGGGTAAAAGCTGTTCTTGGTGAGAGGTGATTGTGGCTGAAGGAGTATGGTTATGCCGGCATACTGTTGTTGCATCGAAGGAGATCCAGACACGAGGCTGTAGTGGAACTGTTGCTCTAGTGTCTGACTAATGCACAGCGTTTGGTCATGAGTGTTGCTGAATGGTAGATAGCTAGACATGAATTTGTTGGTTTCCCAACAAATGTACACTGGTTTCCCAGACCTAACCAAGACAAAGTAAAAGTAACAGCTTCAGGTACAGTAACAATCAGTACTTTCCTGGCTTCCTCCTAGAGAACCTTCAGTCGCTTATGAAATCCAATCTCTACCAGTTACTCCTAGGATCTCATATGCTAATGAACCAGCATTGTCAGCTACCATGACGTATCTTCAGTTTCTTCCCTTCCTGTCCAGCTCCCTGTGATGACACACCACTATGCACACAGAGCCAAAAAAACCTCATGAAGACAACTGAGCACTAGTGTCATGGTTGTCTCTGACATTGCTGCTCCTGGTTGTGGACCTTCTGCCACCGCAGGGGCTGGCTCCTTCCCATGCGTGGTCATGTGCATCAACCCCGAGACAACGTTGAAGTCAATGCCAGTGAAGTAGGGAGAATTCTTTCTGCAATTTTATTGGTTTAAAGGAGGTACTGCCTTGAGTCCCTAATAATCTTTTGGGAAAACAGCTCTCTCAGTCATTTTGCTTGCAGTTGTTCTTTTCTGTGATACGGGATCCATACTCTGTGGGAGCTGGACTAGAGACCTACAAACATGCCGTCTCAAAATCCCATCTTCAATTTTAGGGGCATTGTCACTAGAGCAAGCTCATGGGTCTTTATAGTCTCTTTCTTTGGGCTAACTTATTTTATAGGAAATTCTTGGCCCCTTATGAAAATAAAACCTGTTCCATTGTTCCTCCAGTCATGCCCAGAGTCACCTAAATCTTTGTTTTGGTATAGGCTCAGCTTGCAGTCTTCCACCATACCAGAATTTAAAAAAGATAAGGGCACCAGTCAGATACCCAGTGATTTGACAGTCCAGAAATGCAGAGCTCATGAATTATTAAGATGGCAGTTATTGGAACGTGGGTGGATTGACAATGGTACAAAATGTCCTGTTTTTGGAAGAACATTACTAGCATCATGAGACTGCTGTGGACGTACAGATGCATCAGAAATCAACTGTGATAGATAATGTGGCGGGTGCACCAGGGAGGTGTGGCAGTGGAAGCTCCTCACCATGCTCAGTGCAGGTTCCCAGGGAGAAGAATGTGGTGGGAGTTATTTTACAAGTCATTTTAAGGTTCTCTTAAAGTCCTTACTCATGACCACACGTAGGGTTTTCAGTAAGAACAGAAGTATGTCACAATACAGGACTTGAATGAGGGCGCCACGGCTGAGATACAGTCACTTACCCTTGGAATGTTGAATCTAGGCTTTCTGCGCTTGTGGTAAACATCTGTGTGGGGGCCAGTGTTGCCTACATGCAGGACAATGAATCTCACCCTGAGAGTTATCAAATTCTCTGGTCAGAAACTCTGAGTAGAATGACCTTCAGCATCACTTGTTTTTCCAGTTTCTAGAGTAGGAGGACCCTCTGTAGGAAGATTGATTTGTATTGGATGGCTGAACTGAATTGCTAGGAGAAAACAGCCCACCTACCTTGGTGTGTCTTCAATTTGTAAGTCTGCTGCATTACTTGAGCAGTGGTCTAAAAGTGCATCACTGAGTACCAATGTTACCAAAGTTACAAATGTAGCAGTGAAGCCAGAGATGACTCCCTGGAGAGCACACTAAACACAGAGGTGCTGGCCCTGGGATTCTCTTGGAGCAGGATAATGTAGAGCTGAGACAGCCTAAGATATCCAGTGTGAGCCACAATGCCTATACTTATGGAGGCAGTCTTTCGGAACTTGGTATATCCCTATTGAGGTTTGTGGTATTCACTCTTATCAGTGTGTACATTATCAAAAAAAAAAAAAAAAGACAAGCTGTCTTTTTCTAAAAATTAGTCATCCAATAAAAATCAAGCATCCAAGTCTGATCCACACATCTCCTAAAGGGCCTAGAGCCTATGGCCACTGTGGTTGGAAGAGCACATCAGCCCCCAGATCTCTGTAGGATTCAGAATATCTGCCTCTTCGTTTTCGAGGCTGGGATCTAGTAAGCTAGCAAAGTCCCCATTGATGAAGGTGGCATCTCCTAAGCCAGGACCTACAGACAAGTGACAAGCCCTACTGTAGTCTAATACTATAGCTGTGATGCATGGGTAAAGACAGCCTGTAGTTAATATCCTTGTGGTCTGTTTTCCTTTCAAAGGGGAGAGGATGAAGTATGGGAAGAATAACACCCTGGAATACAGGTGATCATATCTTCAAACATCTCCATCCATGCACTGAGAAAATTGCACTTAGAAATGGAGGCGAAGTAGAGTTCAGGGAAGAGACAGTGTTAATCTTTGGGTAACTCGTAACAGTTTTCCTAATTCATAACAGCCTTCCTATCACTGGCCCACAGAAACCAGCGATTTTCCCTCAGCTAATGGGCAAGGAGTTTCCTTAGCAGAGAGTCACTAACTCCTTTCTCCAGAAATTAGTATGAAGAACAAATCTCTCAGCATTATCTGGAAAACTTACACTTCCTAAGCAGCAGAGTGAAGAGCTCTGGGGGAGAGGGGAGGACCATTGTCAATCATTCTAAATTTATAGCAATAAACAGTTGTATCTAAAGAAGAAACCCAGCAAACAGTAACAGGATTCCCACTGACAGAGGTAGGGTCAGCAGCTAAATTATTCTCTGATGGAATGTGAGGTGGGGATCGTTCCTTGTGGAGGGAACTGGAGGAAGGCTGTCATTTGTTATTTGTGATGGTAGGCCACTCCAGGGAACAGTAACTCAAAATGTTGTCACTTTTCCATTCCAGTGTGAGGGACCCAGGGTTACAAACCCCACCTAGGCACACAGGAAGCTGGTGGTGGTGTGGGGGGTGTTCTCTAGTTTAATGCTACAACAAATAAAACCCAAGGAGCCAGTGATGCCAAAAAGCATCATTGCAGGTCAGATTCAAGGTAAACCCCCGGAAAAAAAAATACATATATAATTGAATCAAAAGAGTAGGAGGAAAGTCAGCTGCAGGTTAGAAGATGAGCTCAGACCTCCTTCAGCCAGAGTTTGAGCCTCCAGTAACTTTTAGGCACTACCCTGATCACTGATATGGGAAGGACAAGTCAATCCAAAATGCTAGAGTAATGACTGGATTATTAAGAGTTGAGGGTCTGGCGTTGAGATACAGAGGGCTAAGCTGTGACTTGGGACACCTGTATCCCATATCAGAGTCTGGGATCCAGTCCTGCTTTCACCTCTGCTTCCTGTTCAGCTTCCTCCTCATGCACCTGGCAGGCAACAGATGATGGTTCAAGTACTGAGTTCCTGCAACACACACATGGGAGACCCAGTTGGAATTCCTGGCACCTGGATTCAGCATGGCCCAGCCCCAGGTGTTGTGGGCAGTTAGTGAATGGACCAGCAGATGAATGATATCTCTAGCTCTCTGTCACTCTACCTTTCAAATAAAGATGAATAAATATTTTAATAATAGCTGATAACCATGTTAATATATTTATTATCAACTAGAATTTAAGCTACATTTTTTTTGTGTTTGTTATAGGAAGATTGCCAGCACAGAAGAAAAATCACAAGGCACCTCAAAGTTAGAAAAACATCTTTTTTTCTTTCTTTTTCATAGCTATTATGTGATTTGTTTTGAACTTGAAGCTTTCTATCAGCAGCTGTATAAGACACAGTGGTGGGGAGCCATAAATGAAATTGTGAACAGTCTGAGAGTGAAAAGACTTCCACTGACAGATGCTCAATTGCATGACCAATTTAAGAAAAAATTTGGTTTCAAAAAAGCTATGAAATGCAAGGTATTTCTGTGACTACCATATACTTTAGTATTTGAAGTTATCTATTATTCATATATGTCTCAAATGTTTATCTTAGGCATAAATAGTAGGTTAAAGTCCTTAACTTGAAATAAAAATTATGCATTTTTAGTAGCTGAAAGGCTATAAAATCATGGGTTATAAATGTCTGGCAGAGTATAAAACCTGTTAATTAATGGGCTTGTGATTAATGTTAATAGCGGCAAATATTTGTTGATTGCTTATTTTGTGTGCTGGTCACTATCGTAAATCAACAAACTCTTCTGGAGAGCTAGTTCTTTTATCATTTCTCTCACACGGTGGAGAAATTTGAGGTTCAGAGAGTTAAGGATCTCATCCAAGTCACACAGTTAGTAAAAAGCAGAGCCAGACTTCAGGTCCAGGGAATTAAACCTAGAGAACAAACCCAACTCCTATGACTGTTCCAACAAGCCTTGAATTATAGTTCTGAAACCAGTCAATTAAGATCACCAACTTCAAAGGTTAGACTAGCATTTACTTTCTGTTTATCTCTTAATGTCCATAAGTCTAAAATTTTGTAAAGTTACCTTAATTTTAAAATATTCACAACTCAGAATGTCTAAAAGATGACAGACTTTTTTACCTCTCTGTATTGAGACCTAAAGCACAGAAAGCAAACTATTTCCACAACTATATATTTTAAGTTTCCAGATTTACAGGTTAAGAGATGTTTAAGAAAGAGAAGGAGTCCATCTCTGTTTGTAAAATATTTCAGAAAGCTAGTTATCTACCCTGTTTTGGTTTGCTGGTGTAGTGACACAACATGTTAAGCCACTGCCTGCAATTCTGGCATCCCATATGGGTACCCATTCAAGTCCTGGCTGCTCCACTTCTGATCCAGCCCCCTGTTGATACACCTTAAAAAGCAGCAGAAGATATGACTCAAATGCTTGGGGACCTGATTGGAGTTCCAGGCTCCTGGCTTTGATCTGACCCAGTCCTGGCTGTTGCAGCCATTTGGGAAGTCAACCAACAGATAGAATTCTCTCTCTCTTGCCCTCTCTAACTCTTCCCATTAAAAAAAAAAAAGTCTTTTAGAAGGAAAAAAAATTTACAGTTTCCACTTAAAGTGGCAGAGAAGCAGGATAAAAAATAGGAGACAACAATGACTTTCCAAAAATGCTTTATAGTTCTTGACATTTCTTTACAGCCCTACAACTTCAGTCATTTTCCAATGAGAAGCTTTTCACTGGACTCTTATCAAAGTGATAAGCAATGAGCAGTGAGCAGCAATTATTTGATTCTGTTAGTACATTTAATGTGCCTTTTTACTCCTTAAACCAAACTTCAGGTGCATTGTGAAAAATCTGATTGTGACCTTCTTAATAATTTTAGAGTATCCCATATGGTTTGAAGTCTGCTGTAGAAAGAGGATTATCTGCTATTTTCCATACATTCAGTCGTAAAACCTCAAGCTCGACAATCAATGTGTCTGATGAAGCAGGTTTTGCAATTTTCCACCATGCTGCTCTGTACAACAGAGTTCCTATTATATGTCAGTTGTGCAACGCTAACTTCAATGTCAACCAGAGACGCTTTATCATGTTCAGCCAAGGTATCATTCAATTTTTAAATCTGAGCTATTTTTCTTTGACTTACCCTTTATTCACTGTTAAGTTTGAAGGTGGAACCTACTGCAAAATTAAAATGGAATTGATGGGGCCAACATTGTGGCCCAGTGGGTTAAGTCACCACTTGTGACAGTAACATCCTATATGGGTGCCAGTTTGAGTTCCAGCTGCTCGGCTTCTGATCCAGCTCTCTGCTAATGTGCCTGAGAAAACAGCAGAGGATGGCCTAAATACTTGAGCTTCTTCTACTTCTACTTATGTGGGAAACTCAGAAGAAGCTCCTGGCTCTTGGCTATAACCTGGCCCAGCCCTGGCCATTGCGACCGTTTGTGGAGTGGGCCAGAGGATGGAGAGTCTTTCTCTTTGTCTCTCCCTCCCTCTCTCTGTAACTCTGCTTTTCAAAAACATAAAATAAATATTTAAAAAAAAATTTAGGATTGATAACTAGAGAAAATGAGGTTTTGTTTCATTTATCTAAGAAAGGCTCCTTTTAGTTTTCTAAGTATCATGTATTACTAGTTTATATAGTATTATATTTGTTTGTTGTATCTTTCTCACTTGAATGTAAGCTCTATAAAGAGCAAGGATCTAGTCTACATTGTCTGTCATGTATCCTAGTGTTCAACAGAAAGCCTAGCATTAGAGTTGCTCAGGAAATATTTGTTGAATGCAGGGATGGATGCAGGATAATATTTAGTAAGCACAGACATAATTAATATATACCAATGTGCCATAGAAATTCAGAGAAAAGGAAGATAAATATGACCACTAGGTCTCAGTGGGACATCTGTTCTTTATCCCAGGTGCTATTATTTCAACCTAATTTGGCTCCTGAGCTTAGGCAGGGTGCTAAACTTCAAAGTCATAAGTTGATTGTCCCATGTCGGGGGAGACTTAATCCAATTATGGTGTTCAGGAAGTGATCCTGGTGGAAGGTCCTTGGATCATGAGGACTGTACTCTCAGGAGCTGGTTCTTTTGAGAGGGTTGGTTATGGAAGCCCGGTTGGGCCCAGTCACTCCCTCTGCTTCCTGGCTCACCATGTGATCCTTCTGGTCTCACCTAACAGCCAAACAGAGGAGGCTGCCCGATCTTAGTCTGTGAACCTCCAAACCTGTGAGCTAAATTAACCTTATAGTGATGAAAAGCTAACTAATATATCAGGATTCTCAATCAGAGAACAGTTCCTGCAAATTACATGTACTTACATTATATTCAGTAGAAAATCCCTTTATAATAATAAAGTTTAAAATTAATAGCCCCTTCAAGGCTAGCCTGGTTTAAATTTTAAAAGTATATATTTCCCAATTATTAATTATGAGTATATGTACATATTTTGTACTGGAATAAATTTAACTAGTACAAAAATAATGAAAATGAAAGTGATGGTTTTCTATAACTGAAATGGAAAATAGAATTAAATTGTCACAAATGGCCAATGCAATACTACTGGCATTAAGAAGAGTGATTTAATATTTTAACACAATCAACTATCATAATAAACTGTGTTAAATTTTTACACTTAGCAAAAATAGTGTTATGCTTTAATCCTATTAATGGCTAAATTTGGTACTCTATCACAATAATTAGAATTTCTTAATTAAAAAATATTTATTTATTTGCTTGAAAGGCAGAATTACAGAGAGACAGAGGGAGATTCAGAGAGGTCCTCCATCCACTAATTCACTCCTCAAATGGCCAAAACAACTGGAGCTGTCTCAGTCCGAAACCAGGAGCTTCTTCCATGTTTCCCACATGGATGGCATGGACCCAAGCACTTGGGCCATTTTCTGCTTTTCCAGGCACATTTGCATGGAGCAGGATCAGAAGTGGAGCAGTCAGGACTTGAACCAGTGCTCAAATGCAATGTCAATGCTACAGGTGGCAGCTTCACCTACAACACCACAGCGCTGGCCCCAAAATGTGTTAGTATTAAGATTCTCTACTTGGGGCCAGCATAATGGCTCACTTGGCTAGACCCATATGAGCGCTGGGTTCTAGTCCCAGCTGCTCCTCTTCCAGTCCAGCTCTCTGCTGTGGTCCAGGAAGGCAGTGGAGGATGGCCCAAGTGCTTGGATGCCTGCACCCCCACGGGAGACCAGGAGGAAGCACCTGGCTCCTGGCTTTGGATCAGTGCAGCGCCGGCCGTGGTGGCCATTGGGGGGTGGGCCAACAGAGGGAGGACCTTTCTGTCTTTCTCACTGTCTAACTCTCTGTCAGATAAAAAAAAAAAAGACTCTGTTCAATACAAAATGAGCATAATTGAGGTATATTTCAGCCAAATTGAAGTGCAGTGGTTAGACTATTGTTTAAAGATGTGTTATCTTGAAGTCCTTTTTAGTATGAAAAAATGTTAAATTGAAGTCTCTCATTCATCCTCTTACATCTTAGATTTTCATTAGCTGAGAATTGGATAGATTTTGAAGTATGGAAAATATATGTGACTCTACTTGCAATATTGTCATTTAATCAACACAAAATTGTCCCAACTATGAGTTTCACCATCCACTTGGGAGCTAGTTTCCAAGTCTGCTTTAATGTGTTGTGAGGTGCAAGTGACATGATTGGATGCTTTGATCAATAGCTGTGCTTAATCCTATTTGATATGATCCTGACATTTATCTAAACAGTGATTTCATTCTTAGACATAAAAGCCTTTTTTTTTCTTATTAAAGTAGGAAACTGCTATATGTTTATAATCATTCTTCTATGTTCATTCTCTTCTAAAACAGACTCATCCAAAGTGGACATGAAGAAAGAAAGAACTGGTAAGACATAAGTAAAATATTCAGTGCATTTTAAAAAGTTATGCATTTACTAAAACTTTTTTAGACTATGTGATCTCCAAAGTGTTCTGTTGCAGAAAAATTTAGTGTGATGAAGTTTTATATTCAATTTGAAGTCTAAATTTTTTTCTACCCATGCTTACTTGTTGATATTCCTTGTAAAATTTTGTTTTATTTGTTTTCTTATTTAAAGCTGTGGTATCATCTATTGCTTCTAAAAAATTCAGGCCCCAAAGTTGTTTTTATGCCTTAAACAAAGCAGTTACTATGCAGTAATTTAGATACACTGCTTTCTAGTGGCATTAACATTTTATGAGGATTAAGTCTTTTTAAAAATTTTTATTTGAAAGGCAGAGAGAGAAAGAGAGAGAGAGAGAGAGAGAGAGAGAGAGTCTGAAATCTCCCAACTGCTGGCTTACTAATCATATGCTGGCATCAGTCAGGGCTGGACTAGGCCAGACCCACGAGCCTAGAATTCAATCTGGGTCTCCATGTGGGTGACAGGGACCTAACTACTTGAGCCATCAACTTGTGCTTCCCAGTGTGTGCATTAGCAGGAAGCTGGAATGAAGAGTGTAGCTAGCTCCAATATGGGATGTGAGCATCTCACGTGGTGGCTTAACCCACTGCACAAAAACCTCGCTTGATAAGTCATTGCTGACTGAGGTAATATACTTGATCTAAGAATTGGGTATGGAGAAAAGCAGAAAATTTTCAAAGATTATATCTTCTGTGTGTATATTTAAGAGTCTGTACCCATATCCTCTATATAAGATGATTCAAGAGGGTCTTGATTTTAAAGATACTACTTACAAAGGCCTGAAGTAGCAAGGGGAGGGGATAGTAGTAACTGGAACTGGGCCACCTGCCATTGGTGGAGGATCTCAGCAAATGTGAAGTGGCCTCTTTGTCCTTTCTCCTCCAATTTCCCACCAGGGATCTCCATTGGCAGGACAGAGAGCAGACTGGTAAATGGAAGTGAGTGGCCCTAGAGAAGAAAGAGGAAGCTTACCTGGCCCACCTACCCTGTGGCTTTCTCAGTGCAGTTTGAAGAGTATAGCTTCTGCATTATCACTCTTTTCCCCCCTTATTTTCTAAGTATCACCTGTGCCTTCCTTATATAATGTAATTTCTTTACTGTATCTCCCTCACTTGAATTAAGACCAATAAGTGATGAGGATTTGGCCTCTTTTGTTTGCTGTGGTTTTCTAGCTCCCAGAGTAATGTCTGGCCTTAGCAGATGCTCAGGAAATCCATGTAGACTGAGCACATGGTTGTTGAATGCAGCGTACCATTTCATAGTCACGGGAATAATTAGTAAATAGTAGCATACCGTGGAAATACAGAGAAGGGGAAGTCAGCATGGCTTTCAGATCCTAGTAATGCATCCCCAGGGTTTTCAAAGAATAATTTCTTCAAGCTATATGAGTATAATGATTTCCTGACTCTAGATTATGTTCAGCAGCATTTTTTTCTTTTTTTTCTTTTCTTTTTGACAGGCAGAGTGGACAGTGAGAAAGAGAGAGACAGAGAGAAAGGTCTTCCTTTACCATTGGTTCACCCTCCAATGGCCGCTGTGGCCGGCGTGCTACAGCTGGAGCACCGCGCTGATCTGAAGCCAGGAGCCAGGTGCCTTTCCTGGTCTCCCATGGGGTGCAGGGCCCAAGCGCTTGGGCCATCCTCCACTGCATCCCCGGGCCACAGCAGAGAGCTGGACTGGAAGAGGGGCAACCAGGACAGAATCTGGCACCCCGACTGGTACTAGAACCTGGGGTGCCAGTGCCGCAGGCAGAGGATTAGCCTAGTGAGCCGTGGCGCCGGCCAGCAGCATTTCTTAAATCTCACAACTATTGATGTTGTGGACTAACTAGTTCTTTCTTATAAGTATGAATGACCCAAGGATCTTGTTAAAATCTGAATTGTGATTTAGAAGAACAAGGGTGGGAGCCAAGATTCTGCGTTTCCATTAAGCACATTGTAAAGGAATAAAGGATAGGGTGGCATGTAAGAATTGTATTACTACTCCTAGGTTGTGTTGAAATAACTTTTGGAGGTGGGTGAGCTGTAGAGGTGGAGGGATCAGTGGGGAACTCTGTGTGTATGTGTGTGTGTGGTGTTGTTGTTATTGTTGTTGCTGCTGTTGTTTCTGGTGTGGTTTTTGAAAATGCCGCTTTAGGTCATTTTGATATGTTTCTCCTGAGAACAGTTAACTGCTTTCCACTGACGGAGATGAACAAGCACTGGTTGGAGCAACTTAAAAATGTCACTAACAAGCTGCACGTTGCAGACCTTGGCCATTCAGCTTGCCTAATTGAATGAAATTTTTGCTGTTTCACCTGATTTGGATTCAAGTCTTAACTCACCTCCTCTCCTGTCTGTTTTGGACCCAATTTCCCGGCTCATCTTCTTGTTTGACCCTCCGTGTTTCCACCTTCCCTGCCACTCCATTGAAAAGTGCTAGCCTGACTGGGCTCCATCAGATTCATGTTTTTGTTTTTTTTTTTTCATTTTTTTGACAGGCAGAGTGGACAGTGAGAGAGAGAGACAGAGAGAAAGGTCTTCCTTTGCTGTTGGTTCACCCTCCAATGGCCGCTGCGGCTGGCGCGCTGCACTGATCCGATGGCAGGAGCCAGGAGCCAGGTGCTTTTCCTGGTCTCCCATGGGGTGCAGGGCCCAAGCACCTGGGCCATCCTCCACTGCACTCCCTGGCCACAGCAGAGGGCTGGCCTGGAAGAGGGGCAACTGGGACAGAATCCGGCGCCCCGACCGGGACTAGAACCCGGTGTGCCGGCGCCGCTAGGCGGAGGATTAGCCTAGTGAGCCACGGCGCCGGCCCATCAGATTCATGTTTAACATGAACCCTAATGCTCAGTAGCTTTTCAAGATTCCAACCCTGATCTCACACACAGCAGTCTCACTCCTGGCTGTTCATGGGCAGACTTCCACCCCTGCCTATTTGTCTCCCCAAACACTGTAGCTAAACCTAGCTTCCTTTGCCTATGTCCTGGCCATATACTAGAGGATCTCTGAAGAGCTCGTGCAGAAGTGGGCCTTAAGCTTGCCCATGACATTGCAGTAGTTTTTCAATAGGTAAAAAAGAAAAGAAGACGGCATTTCAGCTGCATGGAACAGAAAGAGCAAAGACTTAGAACCTGAAAATAACACCAGGGCCGTGTGAGGATGACTAGTGTTCAGCCTAGTAAGGAAAAATAGGCCATCCTTGTATGCGGCAATGAGGGCGATTTTTTTTCGCAGTGCTTTTAGATTTACAGCAAAATTGAGCTGCAAGTGCAGAGTTCCTGTATCCCTTCTGCTCACAAACATGTACAACCTCCCCCACTATTGACATTACCTACCACACTAGTGTTACCTGTTATAGTAGATGAACTTACATTGACATGTTATCACCCAAAGTCTATACTTTACATTAGAATTCACTCCTAGTATTGTGTACTTTATGGCTTTTGACAAATGTATAGTGACATGTATCCAACATTGCAATGTCAAAAAAATTTTTCATGAAAAATTAATTTAAAAATATATTTTATGAAAAAATGCATAGATTCCAAAAAATTTTTACAACAAAATAAACTTATGATTTAATTCTGTTTTCCATCATCATTTTAAAATATCCTCATATATATGTTTTAATTCTTTAAATATTTTTATTTATATAAGGGAAAAACTCACATATTTCACATGTACAATATTAAGAACATAATGATATTTCCCACCCTACCCTGCGTCCCTCCCCCCACCACCCTTCTTCCTTTCTTTCTTCTTTTAATTTTTGCAATGGCATACTTTCAATTTTCTTTATAATCACAACCAATACTAAGAGCCAACCTGTTTTAGTAGACACCATGTCCAGAAACATGGTAGCCAAACTGTGGACACTCATAAATTATCAACTAGTGGCCAAGAGCCAGACGTCTCTCCCCCTGCATTACATTTACCTCTGTCCAGACCCTAACAGCCAGTCCCCATTGTCCAGCAGCTACTAACATTAAAACAAAAGCACCCAAATGTTTATTTTAGACAGCCTGCCCCAAACTCCGAATAGAGACAGTGATGGGTGGGGAGAGAGTATAAAATTTTACAAGCAACTAGGAACCACAATGTAGCTGAGAAAGGCTCAAATTCACTCCCCCACTGTCACTTCTGGGGGTCACAGTCCAGCTTTCTCAAACTCCTGGCTGTCTCACCAATATGCCATGAGCAAGGGGTGCATTAATCTCACTGCAGGTTCTTGCTTGCACAAAGAAAAGCATTAAAGTGCAGATACATATAAGGTGTGCAAGGTTATAACAATTTATTCCAAAGATAAGAAATTGAGCACAAACTCATGAGCCTGGGTTGCTCATGCAAAGGGAAATACCCATCATGAGAGAGCAGTGGGCCAGAGGGTTGTCTGAAGAGGGAGGTGTGGGGGAGGAGAGAGAGAGAGGGCCCTGTGTAACACCTCCAGCTGGGGTCCCAGGCAAAAGAGAGAGCCCCTTCCAATTGCTGGTCTTTTCTGTAAGGTGGGGGGTGGTGCCTGTACAGGCATGAAGCCATCTGTGAATTATGTGGTTCCTTCCCAAGTTCCACTTGGAGCTTAATATACATATTTTCATGGTGTACGCCATTAGGTCCAGGAGGAAACAGGTGCATCCTTAGAAAGGGAGCATTTTGTTTGACTAGTAGGGGGATAGAATTACATATGGGGCCTTGAGACTTCCAGCTCAGCAGGTGTTACCTAACTACCTGCCTATTTATCACATATCAGTTTGATATGTGACATTCTCTGGAGGGGCATTCTCAGTCATTATTGTTTCAAATATTTCTTATATTTCCTTCTTCTCCTTCTGTTTTTATTTCAGTCTTTGGTCTTTTTACTTTTCAGTCCTGAAGGTTTCTGGTGGTGCATCAGCAAGCTCAGAGCTGCTTTGCTTAGCTACATGTAGTCTACTATTAAGTTCATCAAAGGCAGTCTTCATTTTTATTGCACTGATTTTTTTTCTTAATCTTTCTGGCATTTCCTTTTTAGTTCTTAGGATTGCCATCTCTTTCTGCTTACATTGTCCATCTGCTCTTTTTTTTTTTTTTTTTTTTTTGACAGGCAGAGTGGACAGTGAGAGAGAGAGACACAGAGAAAGGTCTTCCTTTGCCGTTGGTTCACCCTCCAATGGCCGCTGCGGCCGGCGCGCTGCGGCCGGCGCACCGCGCTGATCCGATGGCAGGAGCCAGGAGCCAGGTGCTTTTCCTGGTCTCCCATGGGGTGCAGGGCCCAAGCACTTGGGCCATCCTCCACTGCACTCCCTGGCCACAGCAGAGAGCTGGCCTGGAAGAGGGGCAACCGGGTCAGAACCCGGTGTGCCGGCGCCGCTAGGCGGAGGATTAGCCTAGTGAGCCGCGGCGCCGGCCTTCCATCTGCTCTTGCCAGCTGCCAACTTCATTTGTTAGAATCTGTAGCATATTAATTGTAGTTATTTTAAATTTCTTCTCTAATAATTCTAACTTCCCTAGCTTGTCTGGTTCTGGTGCTCACTCTATCTCTTCAAACTGTGTTTTGTGTGTGTTTTAACATGCCTTGTCCATTTTTCTGGAAAGCCAGACATAAAGGGAACTTGCAGTAAATAGTCAATAAAGAGGAGTAAGGTATGGGGAACAGGGAAGCACGCTCTAGTCCAATGATTAGGTTGCAGCCTTTTGGTGAATCTTTGCCTGTAGGCGTTGAACTTCACCAGTACTTCTCACTCCCCTTCTCCTGTTTCTTGGAAGGGACTTGGGTTGGAAATTTCTGTTCCCAAGTAGGTTAAGTTCTGTCAAAAACTCAGCAGGTTAGGCTCTGCTAAAACAGTTTCTACGGAGAGCAACCTTGTTAGGAACAGAGAGCTCTGGATCATTTTTAAATGATTCCTTTTGCCTCCGCCTACTGGATGCAGAAGAGGATTTTCCTCCAACATGGTATTCACTGTAAAGACCTGGTAGACTTCCTGGAGGTGAAACATAAAAGCATGACCCCGTCCCCCTCCCACTCTTGTCTCCTATAACTAGTCCCTTTTGAGTTTTTAATTCTGGTACTTGTCTACATTGAGCCTCCAGCAATTCAGATGTAGTTAAGATTTTCCTATGAGGGGATGGGGACAGCATTATGGTGTACCAGGTTAAGTTGCCACCTGAGATGCCAGCAATCCCAGATTAGTGCCAGTTCTAGTTCTGGCTGCTCCACTTCCAACCCAACTCCCTGTTACCACATCTGGGAAGGCAGCAGAGGATGGCCTGAGTACTTGGGTCCCTCCACTCATGTGGGAGACCTGGATGGAGTTCTGGGCTCCTGTTTTTACCTGGCCCAGCCCCAGCCATTGTGGACATTTGTTGAGTGAACCAGTAGATGGAAGATGTCCCTGTCTCTGTCATCTCTCCCTCTCCCTGTATAACTCTGCCTTTCAAATGAATGGATAAATATTTTTTAAAAGATTTTCCTAACCTCATACTGGCTGGTTCCGAAGAAGTTTCTACTCGTAGAGTTCTGTTCCAGGAGGTTATGTTGCTCTGTGTCTTCAGTTTTGAGGGCATCAGTTTGTCTATGACTCTGTAATATGATTTTTCAGTTGGCTTGACTGTTTACTTGTTAGGATAAAGTAGTAACCTCTAAGCTCCTTACATGCTAGGCCAGAAACTTGTAGGACTGAGCAGTAATTTTAAATATAGAGATTTGGGCCAAGTTGTATAGACTCACAAAAACTATAATATAAAACTTAAACTACTAAAGCATGCAAGAGGACACTAGAAGTTTGTGAGTTGAAAGAGATTTAATGAAAGCAATGCTTTGTTGAAGAAATACCATTGAAGCCAGTGAATGAATAGGAGTTAGCTAGATGCTGATAAGGGAAGAATCATACATGAGATGGAAACTGTCAAAGGTATGAATATTTCAGGGAGACTTAAAAGTTAAAGATATTTGACAAAGAGAGAAGTGGACACAGAGACATCTTCCATCTGCTGATTTGTTCACCAAATTCCTGCATCAGCCAGGCAGTCAGGGGTGCCCCAGGTCAAAGTCAGGAGCCTGGAACTAGGTTGTGTCTCCCATATGGATGGCAGGGATCCAAGTAATAGAACATCAAATGCTACTCCTGGAGTGTGCAACAGCAGGAAGCTGGGACAATGAGTGGAACGGGACTTGGAACCAGGCACCCTGATGTGGGATGCAGGTATCCCAAGAGGCATCTCCACTACTGTGCCAAATGCCCACAAACCCTTCTCTCCATATTTTGCTGTTTTGTTTTGTTTTGCTAGAGTGAGAGGAAAGGGAATTGTAGATGGTTGTCCAAGCTAATTTACAGCCAGTGGATCCTGTCACTTTTCCATAGGATCATGTGACCTTGAGAAGCCACTGAAAAGTTTTTTAGCAAGGATATGAAAAGATGAGATTTACATCTTAAAAAACATAGATTGAGTGAACCAAGAACAAGGAATAGATATTAGTTGGGAGGTAGTTATGGCCTTAACAAGGGTGGAGGTGGCAGTAAATATATATTCTAGAGATATTTATATTTGTTGCTGGGCCAGTTATAAAGATAGAACAAAGTGCCAGGATGCCTTCCAGGTTCTGGTTTTAGAATTCCCTGGATCGTGATATCTTTTACTGATTTAGGGAACAATGAAAGTGGACTATGTTTGGAGGGAAAGATAGGTTTCCAATTTGGAAAACACTGAAGTTTGGGATGATGTGTAGAGGTGCTTAGTGAGATGTTGGAGATATAGATAGGGAGCTCAGAGACAGTATTTGACCCAGAAACATAATCCTGGGAACCCTTAACTTACAGATAGTAAGTGAAACCATTGAGAAGGGGAAAACACCCAAGATAAAGTGTTAAGGCTCATTTGGACACTAGGTCAATGAGGAGGACCCAGAGATACTACAAAGGAGTAGCCAGAAAGGAAGGAGAAAAATGGAAGAGGTGATATCACAAACGCCAAGAGAAGAAACTGTTTTCAGTAATAGAAAGTGTCAACAGTGTAAAAATACTGTTAAGGGGTTAGTAAGAGGAATTGAAAAATGGCAGCTAGATTCAGTGACATAGAGGCATTTTGTGAACACTGGTTTTTATTGTCAAAGGATTCATCATTTGCTACATTTGAATAAGGTGGAAAACAATTTAAACAATAAATACATTATTTTATCACAAGAATATTTTACATGGCTTCAATTTTCAAATATTTAATATGTTCAGTGCTATTTCTTTGCTTATAAAGCAAAGTGATTTTTTAAAATTTATTTATTTGACAGGTAGAGTTATAGAGAGAGAGAGGAGACAGAGAGAAAAAGGTGTTCCTTTCGTTGGTTCACTCCCCAAATGGCCGCTACAGCCAGCACGCTGCGTCAATCCAAAGCCAGGAGCCAGACACTTCCTCCCGGTCTCCCATGTGGGTGCAGGGCCCAAGCACTTGGGCCATCCTCCACTGCACTCCCGGGCCACAGCAGAGAGCTGGCCTGGAAGAGGAGCAACCGGGACTAGAACTGGCACCCATATGGGATGCCAACGCCGCAGGCAGAGGATTAACCTAGTGTGCCATGGTGCCGGCCCCTGCAAAGTGAGATTTTAATAGTCAGACATCCTGAGTTAGATATATGCAGGGTTACCTAAATTAATGTTTCTAGTAGCTATATAGGAGATTTTATGTGATACAGTACTAGGCACTGTGGTTGGATACCATAAAGGTAAAGGTTTTATGACGGTTAGTCCTTTGGTCACAGAAGTCATCATTCATCCACTCTAGGCCCAACACCCCTGCACCTGGCTGCACAGGCCTGTTCCTTAGAGACAACCATCTGTCTGCTCTGCTTCAAAGCTGACTACACACTTTCTGAAAAGAGAGGCTGGATGCCGATTCACTTTGCTGCCTTCTACGACAATATCTGCATTGTCATTGCTCTCTGCAGGAAGGAGCCTAGTTTGCTGGAAGCCGAGACAACAGCTGAGTAAGTTAAGAAGCACTGACAAGAATATGAATTTCTGCTTTGCATCGCTTGCCCCTCAAACTGACACTAAAATGCATTATTGATACGGATGATTTGAAAAACGTGTAAAGCTTTCTCTGCTGTTGTTTCTTTTTTTCTTTTTTGAAACTCTTTTTTCTCCTTTTTTAAAAAATGTTTTATTTATTTAAAGGGAACAAACTTCCTACCACTTGTCTTTAGAATTTATAAGAGTTCTTTCAACTTGTACATGTTTTTCATAAGAATAAGAAGCAAGCCCTAGGGATTTTGATCTAACCTTATCCCAGTTATATGGTTCCACAGATTGGTTTATCAGGTTACCTAGTTAGTTCCAAGAAAGAAACCTGATAGTAGGGAGGAAAATATTGCTCTAAATTGGACCCTATACAGTAGCAGGCAGCCCCTAGAGCTCTAGACCCAAGTGGATAGGCCTGGGATGGCAGAAATATGGATTGGTATTCAGAAGAAGAAAAATGCACTAAAAAGAATAAAATAACTTTACAATTTTTTAAAAAAAAAATCCCGAACAGTCATTTTGTTCACAACTTAGCTGGCGATCAACCTATAGGGTGGACCTGTGATGTCTCCTGTTGGTGTACTCTTGACCTGAAAGCTAAAGACCAACTTACTATATTTTTAAATTTCTGAACCTGATTTAGACCTAGTTTTAAGTAGGTCTTCAAGTAGCCTGTCCACTGTTATTCAGTGGTCTGTGAGTGCATAATGGTTTGAAGGTGTGAAGGACACTGGCTTCATCTTATTGTTCCTTAATCTTTTTTTTTTTTTTTTTTTTTTTTTTTGACAGGCAGAGTGGACAGTGAGAGAGAGAGAGACAGAGATAAAGGTCTTCCTTTGCCATTGGTTCACCCTCCAATGGCCGCCGCGGCCGGCGCGCTGCGGCCGACGCACCACACTGATCTAATGGCAGGAGCCAGGTACTTATCCTGGTCTCCCATGGAGTGCAGGGCCCAAGGACTTGGGCCATCCTCCACTGCACTCCCGGGCCACAACAGAGAGCTGGCCTGGAAGAGGGGCAACCGGGACAGAATCCAGCGCCCCGACCGGGACTAGAACCCGGGGGGCCAGAGCCACAAGGTGGAGGATTAGCCTAGTGAGCCGTGGTGCCGGCCGTTCCTTAATCTAAGGCTTCCATTGTCATCATCCTGAATGCTGATTTCTGTTTCCATTATCATCCCTGAATTGAGCCATGAGAACAGAAAGAGAGTAAAAGCATTAACATACTCCTTTCTTTTTAGGGAGCTACCTGTGTACCTTCCATCCTGTTTTCTAAACTTAGTTGAATGGCAATATCTGTCTATAAGGGAAGGTGGAAAATGTTATATTGGGTGGTATGACCCTATACCCAACCCAAAGGTCTTCAGTATCTAAAAGGCAGTTGGTAGTTGTTTGAGAAAAAAAAAATGTTTGTTTCTGCCACAGTGAGGAAGCTAGGATTTGAAAATTGAACATGAAAGAAATGGATTTGACTACTACTTGAACCACAGTTTCATCATTTCTAAATGGGCTGATAACATTTGCCTTTTTTTTTTTCTTCAGCCATATTATTGTTAAAAGGATTAAATAGGATAGAGTACACCAAGAATTTTGTGCATCATCTACATCTAAACAAAATATAAGTCATGACAGTTAAGTTGGGAGGAAAGGTAGAAACCAGTACTAAAGACGGCACAAAACCTATTCACATGTGGAACATACAAGGCAAGAATTCAAAAGGAAAATATGATGTAGAAATCATACCATCCTCCAACAGTTTGAAGAGTTTTACAATGAGTAAATGTGACTGTATATTTGTACCCTATTATAATATGTTCCTTGATTTTTAGGAATCAGTGTACTCCATTGTTACTTGCTGCCACTTCAGGAGCACTGGACACCATTCAGTACCTATTTTCTCTTGGTGCTAACTGGAGAAAAATGGATGCCAAGGGAAATAATATTATTCACTTATCAGTGCTAACCTTTCACACAGAGGTTCTCAAACATATAATAGAGCTAGATATTCCTGAACTCCCAGTTTGGAAAACTTTGGTAGGTGAGTATAGAACATATGATTTCTTCTAAAATAAATGTCTGATTAATATTGGATTTAAGTATTGGTACCCTGAAATAGAGCACATAAAATATATGCATCATATTTTAAACACTTAAAATGATGAAATTGGAGTGGGCATTTGGAACAGCAGTTCTGACACTATTTGGGATGCCTGCATTCCATACTGCAGTGCCAGAGTTCGAGTCCCAGCTTCACTTCTGACTCTAGCTTCCTGTTGGTGTACACCCTGGGAGGCACCAGGTGATGATGGTTCAAGTAATCGGGTTCCTGCCACATACCTGGACGACCTGGATTGAGGTCCAGGCCTCGGACTGTGATGTGGTCCAGCCTGGGCTGTTGGTAGCATTGGGGAGTGAACCAGTGAATGGAAGATCTCTTTCCATTTCTGTCTCTTGCTCTCTCTCTCTCATTCTGCCTTTAAAATAAATAAATACACATTTAAAAGCTAGAAAAAAAAAGCAACAAAGGACTCTAATTCTTTGTGTGCAAAAGTAGTCGTTTTATTTCTAAGTTAAAGATCTGTGACCCAGACTATATTTTACAGCATTATAATTATTTTTACTTCCCAACTTTCTTCAAAAGCCTAACCATCCTTTCCTCCATAAAAAAAGAATTATAACAAAAGAAAGAAGGAAGAAATTAAATTGGAAAACATTTCCTCCAGTTTATGCATTGTGCTTAATATTGGAGAGAAATTCAGCAAAATCTTTCCTCAATATTTGGATTATTTTGTGAAAATTCTTCTCCAAACTTGTATTTTTTTCTCCAAACTTATATTCAGTCTAGGCAGAAATACTATAAGAATATGAATTACCAAGCCAGCTGAATGTACACATCTAATTTTATTCCTTCCCAAGACCTTTATAGTTATATGGAAATAATTTTAAATAAATAAAACAATTACAATAATTATATAAAATATAATTACATAAAATATAAAATAATTATTAGTAATGAAACAGAAGAAAAGTATTCAAGGGAAACCATGAAAGTATATAATAGCAATAGAATATTAGAAGAGGGAAACCAGTAAGTTTTAGGACTTAGCTGGGCAGAGACAATCACTTCAAGCCAACAGTGGAAAGGCTGGAAACCTCCTAGACTGAGAGCATCATAAAATCTCAAAAGGCTTGAGAACTGACAGAGCCAATCAGGAGTGCTCTCTGCAAAGACTAACCAGTAAGGGACTAAAGATACCAAGCCTGTATTTCTGCCCAACAAACAAAACAGAGAGAGAGAGACACACACAGACAGACAGACACACCCAGGAATAGGGGGTGTGACCCAAAAGGAAAGCAAAGGGAATATACAGAACTGTACAACCAGTCTGTCAGTGGAGGATGGGAGGAATTATCAATAGATATAAAGAAAATTAAGCAGATGAAATACAATGAAATTATTATGTCCATAAAAAACAAAAGTGAAATGTGATATAACTATAGTACATTACAGTGCTCAGCTGTGAATAACATGAATAGGCATCGTAACAGAGGTACTAAGTATTGATTTAACTAAAAATCCTAGGGGAAAGGGAAGCAAGAGGAAAATGACAGAACCACCCTGAAGGAGCTGGTTTTCCATAACATGAAGTTGATTAGTGATGTCTAAAATTAATATGGCAAACATAGCAGTGTATGTAATTATGGAAAAACAGGGAGATACGTAAATCACAGAAGATATAGGAAAGAATCCAAAATGTTTAGATCTGGAGAGATGGATCCAAACGAGTAGGGGATGGTAGGGGCCAGAAACCATGACTTTGATAAAATAAAAACAAAGTAAAAAAGAAAGAAATTGGAGAATGAGAACTGATTTTCTCCAGTGATGCATTTAGGATAGGATAAGATGTACTTAATATTTTCAGTCCCACTCTCCTAATTCAAAAAGTTTGAATATTTAGTGTGTGTTTTTTTTCTTTTTTGACAGAGTTAGAGAGAGAGAGACAGAGAGAAAGGTCTTCCTTTGCCGTTGGTTCACCCTCCAAATGGCTGCCATGGCTGGTATGCTGCGGCCCGTGCGCTGCGCCGATCCAAAGCCAGGAGCCAGGTGCTTCTCCTGGTCTCCCATGGGGTGCAGGGCCCAAGGACTTGGGCCATCCTCCACTGCACTCCCTGGCCACAGCAGAGAGCTGGCCTGGAAGAGGGGCAACTGGGACAGAATCCGGCGCCCCGACTGGGACTAGAACCCGGTGTGCCGGTGCCGCAAGGCAGAGGATTAGCCTAGTGAGCCGCGGCGCCAGCAGAATATTTAGTTTTAATAATTGGCTCAATACCAGTCTTGGAATTTTCTTAGAACTGGATACATATTTCAAGTATACCACCCCCAATATATATTGGAAAGTGTTTTCAATGTCTGATTGCATGCATATACAACATTGTATCTTTGTCTTTTTAGGATCAAGTGAGAGGACCATCCTATTATTTCAACAGAATAAACCACTGCAAATTCCTAGCTTGCTATTGGGAAAGTCTGGCCCCTAACAGGAATAGCCTCGTGATACAGAAAACTGATGACCACTTCTTCCTACAGCGTTAGATAGGAAGTTCTGATAATGGTTAGAACAGAATACACAAGCCAGCAGCTGGCTGATGCCTCTTTGCCGTGCACCCTGGATTAGCTCCCCCTCCTCACACTGCCCATTTCCACTCTGGGTAAACTAAGAATGAGTTGGATTATTTGAATTCTGCAGGGCCAGCTCTTGGAGTGGAAGCTGAGTTTTAAGGGAGAGTCCCTTGGATTGACCCAGCCAAGGGAGGGGTAGGACATTTTAAGTAGCAGAGTGGCTGGAATCAGAATGAGGAAAGCATATTTCTGTGTGGTTTTGCTCACACACCACAGACTTGTTTAGAAGTGTGTGTATTTGTATTGTTTTCAGTCTGGAATACAAGTTCATTGAAGGTTTTTTTAAAGGTATGTTTGTCACACTTGAGATGTATAAAGCCTCATATCGAATGGATATTGAATTTTTATTGAGGATAATGCAATTTACTTTACCATTCTTGAAAACCCATACTCAAATTTTATTCAACAACTAATATTAAGCAACTGAGAGATGTACTGTTTTCCAAATGAATTTGAACTATGTGATCAGTTAGTCCAACTCATTTGGATAAAAAATAATGAATGATGTTTAAGATTTTTTTTTCCCCACTAATTATATGGGCTTTAATGCTTGCAGTTGATGGTAATGGTGCTAATCTCAACCTCTGGGTTCACTTGGCTGCTACAGAAACAGAACCAACCATTCCACAGCCTCTTATTTAAATTACAGTTTGTGTTTCTCTGCTGATTACTTACTAGAAATGCTGCAGTGTGAAAGCTATAAACGAAGGATGATGGCAGTCATGTCCTTAGAAGTAATTTGCTTAGCGAATGAACGATACTGGAAATGTATTTTGGATGCAGGTGAAGCAAAATCTACTATCTTCTTCTTACACTGTTCTATGTAGAATCATTTTATATTCAGGTCGATCACTTTACTGAGAATGAAATTTTTAATTGATTTTAAGTTTTTCTTTTCTAACTGAAAGCACTTTATGTATTTTTTCCACATGAAGCCTGAACTTAAGAACAACTAGTAAATTCTATTTCTCTAAAAGTTTGCAATTTGATGTTAAATTATATTATCATACTACTTTTATATTTAATTTAGAAATTATTCCTATTCTGAATTCGCATGATATGTTTTTTTAAGTTAAAAAAGCAGATGAAGTATTAGGCCTGGTTTTTGACTACCTCTGGTTTCAGAATTGAAGCTAATTGCTCAGCCTCTGTACTCAGGTATCCTCCTTAATAGCATGTTTCTACCTTATAAGGTTGTTGTCATTATATCACTGTACAACATAACTCTCTGAAATGATGGAAAAGTTCCATCTTTACCATCCAATATGGTAACACTACCCTAATGTGGATATTGAGTATTCACAAGATGGCCCATAAATACTGTTGAATGAATAAATTAAAATGTTTTTGATAACAGGATATCCTGATGTGTCCCTTAAAATATGTACAAAAAAATTCTGTGTCCAAAAATGAGCCTTAGACTTAAGTCATGAAGAATGTTTCACTTTAGTTAGCTAAATGAATAAATAAGAAAAGCCATAATTATAACTGGTATTTTTCTAGAATTTGTGTGTAGTCTATAATTTACTTTCTTTTAACTTCACATTGTATAACAAATATCCAACTGAAGCCAGATTTTCTATTTTTAACCATGTCCAACGAATACAAAGAATTTATCAATGATCTTAAGCCAGCATTCAGTATTTCAAAGATCACATAAAGTTACTAATATAAAATATATGATTGTGTGCTATGTGAAAATCAAATGTAGGAACACAGAGAACTGCGTGCACCATAGACAACACAGAAAAGTATATTCATATAATTTTAAATGATTACTTTGTAAATATCTCATAAAATTACTTGTTAATTTTATATTGTAATACGCATAGGGTTATTTAAATCTTATGATGATTAATTGGCTACAAATGGTTATGAATAATTCATGATCTATTTATTTTCCTTCCTTCCCACCTCCTTCTCTCTCTCTCCCTTTTTCTTTCTTTCTCTCTCTCTCTCTTTCTTTCTTTCTTTCTTCATTTCAGGCACCATTCCTGCATTAATCAATCTACTAAAATGTCCCAAAATAAAATTACAGTGCAAAACTGTTGGGTTATTGAGTAATATCTCAACCCATAACAGTGTAGTGCATGCTTTGGTCGAGTCAGGAGGCATTCCAGCTGTGATCAACCTCTTGGCATCTGATGAACCTGAGCTGCACTCTCGCTGTGCTGTCATTCTCTACGATATTGCTCAGTGTGAAAACAAGGATGTTGTTGCCAAATATGTAAGTTCTTTTCCTAAAGCATGATTTTTTTAACTGACAGTGTTCTGCCATGTAGAAACTGGGAAAGTGGAGACTTACGTTGTACAGTAGCAAAATTCTGAGAGGAATAAACAGGCAAGGGGGAGATAGGGAGCCTGGTGCAAAATACTTCACTAAGAAGTTTGCATTCAAGTATAGTCCAGAAATAGATGTTGGAGCATTTTTCATATGTTAGTGTATGTTGTTTCTTTTAAGGAGGTATTAGGAGAAACCCTACCATTCTGGCTGTTTTTCTTCCTGTTCAGAAATGTTGTCTAATTGTACGCTACAAGATAATAAAACTATGCTTGATGAAAGCCAGGTAATTTTTTTTATTAATACAAAGAGAAAAGAATTCATGTAGTTCATAGATACAGTTCTAAGAATATAATGATACTTCCCTCCACTTTCTTTTCTTTCTTTTTAAATTCTTATGATAAAATTTTTAATTTACTTCACAGTCACAGGCTTAATGCTTCACCAAATAAAGAGTTCAGCAAGTAAAAAGTAGAAATCTCATAGTTCTGCAGGACTGTAGATAAAGATTATTAATAATAATCAAATTCCAAGATGTCAGTTTCACTCATATACATTGAAAATTTTTGTACTTTTTACATTAACTACCACAAATCAGAGAAAACATGTGATATTTGTCTTTTTGGGTTGGAATGCTTATTTCACTAAGCATTAGTCTCAAAATGTGTCCATTTTCTTGCAAAAGACTGGATTTCATTCTTTTTAATGGCTGACTAGTATTCCATTGTGCATTATTACCAAATTTTCATTATTTTTTAAACTTTAATAATAAAACCAAATTTCCTAAGTACAGCTTTTGGATTACAATAGCTCCCCCCCCATAACTTCCCTCCCACCCACAATCCTCCCATCTCCCGCTTCCTCTCCCATTCCATTCACATCAAGATTCATTTTTAATTGTCTTTATATACAGAAGATCAATTTAGTATATATTAAGTAAAGATTTCAACAGTTTGCACCCACACAGAAACACAAGGTATAAAGTACTGTTTGAGTACTAGTTATAGCATTAATTCACATTGTATAACACATTAAGGACAGAGATCCTACATGGGGAGTAAGTGCACACTGACTCCTGTCGTTGACTTAACAATTGACACTCTTGTTTATGGCATCAGTAATCACCCTAGGCTCTTGTCATGAGTTGCCAAGACTATGGAAGCCCTTTGAGTTCACCAACTCTAATCTTATTTAGACAAGGTCATAGTCAAAGTGGAAGTTCTCTCCTCCCTTAAGAGAAAGGTACCTCCTTCTTTGATGGCCCGTTCTTTCCACTGGGATCTCACTCCCAGAGATCTTTCATTTAGGTCATTTTTTTTTTTTTTTTGCCAGAGTGTCTTGGCTTTCCATGCCTAAAATACTCTCAAGGGCTCTGCAGCCAGATCCCAATGCCTTAAGGCTGATTCTGAGGCCAGAGTGCTGTTTAGCGCATCTACCATTCTATGAGTCTGCTGTGTATCCTACGTCCCATGTTGGATCATTCGCTCCTTCTTAATTCTATCAGTTAGTATTAGCAGACACTAGTCTTGTTTATGTGATCCCTTTGACTCTTAATCCTATCATTATGATCAATTGTGAACTGAAACTGATCACTTTGACTAGTGAGATGGCATTGGTATCATGCCACCTTGACAGGATTGAATTGGAATCCCCTGGCATGTTTCTAACTCCACCATTTGGGACAAGTCCGATTGAGCATGTCCCAAATTGTACATCTCCTCCTTCTCTTATTCCCACTCTTATATTTAACAGGGATCACTTTTCAGTTAAATTTAAACACCTAAGAATAATTGTGTGTTAATTAAAGAGTTCAACCAATAGTATTAAGTAGAACAAAAAATACTAAAAGGGATAAAGTATTAAGTTGTTCAACGACAGTCAGGACAAGGGCTGATCAAGTCATTGTTTCTCATAGTGTCCATTTCCCTTCAACAGGTTTCCTTTTTGGTGCTTGGTTAGTTGTCACTGATCAGGGAGAACATATGATATTTTGTTCCTTTGGGACTGGCTTATTTCACTCAGCATGATGTTTTCCAGATTCCTCCATTTTGTTGCAAATGACCGGATTTCATTGTTTTTGACTGCTGTATTGTATTCTATAGAGTACATGTCCCATAATTTCTTTATCCAGTCTACTGTTGATGGGCATTTGGGTTGGTTCCAGGTCTTAGCTATTGTGTATTGAGCTGCAATAAGCATTAAGGTGCAGACAGCTTTTTTATTTGCCAATTTAATATCTTTGGGTAAATTCCAAGGAGTGGGATGACTGGGTTGTATGGTAGGGTTATATTCAGGTTTCTGAGGAATCTCCAGACTGCTTCCATAGTGGCTTTACCAGTGTGCATTCCCACCAACAGTAGGTTAGTGTCCCTTTTTCCCCACATCCTCGCCAGCATCTGTTGTTAGTAGATTTCTGTATGTAAGCCATTCTAACCGGGGTGAGATGAAACCTCATTGTGGTTTTGATTTGCATTTCCCTGATACCACATTTTCTTTATCCAATCATCTCTTGATGGACATCTAAGTTGGTTCTATACTTTAGCTATTGTGAATTGAGCTGCTATAAACATGGGGGTACAGATCACTCTTTCAACAAACTGATTTCATTTCCTTTGTATATATTCCCAGGAGTGGGATAACTGGGTCATATGGTAAATCTGTTTTCCATTTTCTGAGGAATTTCATACTGTCTTCCATAATGTTTTACCAGTTTACATTCCCATCAAAAGCATATTAGGGTACTGCTTTCTTACATTCTCACCAGCTTTTGTTATTTTTTGAGTTTTCAATGATAGTCATTCTGACTGGGATGAGGTGATTCCTCATTGTGTTTTTTTTTTGCATTTTCCTGGTGGCTAGTGATCCTGAGCATTTTTTTCATGTGACTGTTGGCTATTTGTATTTCATCCTCAGAAAAATTCCTGTTTATATACTTTACCCATTTCTTAACTGGATTATTTGTTTTTTTTTGTTGTTGTTGTTGTTGAGTTTCTCGAGCTTCTTATATATTCTGATCATTAATTCTTTATTGGAAGCAGATCTTTTCTCCCATTCTATCAGTTGCATCTTCACTTTGTTGATTATTTCCTTTGCTGTGCAGAAGTTTATTAGTTTGATGTAATCCCATTAGTCTATTTTTGTTTTTATTGCCTGTGCTTTCATGGTATATATATATATATATACATATATATATATTTGACAGGCAGAGTAGACAGTGAGAGAGAGAGAGAAACAGAGAGAAAGGTCTTCCTTTTCTGTTGGTTCACCCTCCAAGTGGCCGCTATGGCCCGCGTGCTACACCAATCCGAAGCCAGGAGCCAGGTGCTTCCTCCTGGTCTCCCATGTGGGTGCAGGGCCCAAGCACTTGGGCCATCCTCCACTGCCTTCCCGGGCCACAGCAGAGAGCTGGACTGGAAGAGGAGCAACTGGGACAGAACCAGCGCCCCAACTGGGACTAGAACCTGGGGTGCCGGTGCCACAGGCAGAGGATTAGCCTAGTGAGCAGTGACACCGGCCTCTTCCATGGTCTTTTACCAGAAATCTTTGTCATGCCAATGTCTTGCAGTGTTTCCCGCATGTTTTCCTCTAATGTTTTAATGCTTTCCACTCTTAGGTTTAGATCATTGCTCCATTGTGAGTTGATTTTTATGTAACAATGGAATCTTTGTCATGCTATATTTCTTCAAATAAAATCCACATTATTATGCTTGCTAATGTTTTATGTAAGCCCTCTATGTAGCTATTTATAAGTGAGTATTTAATAGTTTTTTTTCAGATTTTTCTTCTTCATTAAGGGTTGAATAATTTAGGATTATAAGATATACCTTTTTAAAAAGTCAATTTTTATATTTTACCTTGAATTCTATCTTAGCCAAAAGTGTTTGTGTTGTTTTCTTTGTGTTCTCATATTTAATTTGTCTTAGATCATCCTTTTCTTTTTAGCTTTTTTTTTTTTTTTTAGACAGGCAGAGTCAGACAGTTAGAGAGACAGAGAGAAAAGTCTTCCTTCCGTTGGTTCACCCCCCGATGGCTGCTACGGCCGGCGTGCTGCACCGATCTGAAGCCAGGAGCCAGGTGCTTCCTCCTGGTCTCCCATGTAGGTGCAGGGCCCAAGCACTTGGGCCATCCTCCACTGCCTTCCCGGGCCACAGCAGAGAGCTGGACTGGAAGAGGAGCAACCAGGACAGTATCCGACACCCCGACTGGGACTAGAACCCGGAGTACCGGCACTGCAGGTGGAGGATTAGCCTAGTGAGCTGTGTTGCCGGCCTCTTTTTAGCTTTTTAAAACACATTAATTTATTTGAAAGGCAGAAATACAGACAGCCGGCGCCGCGGCTCACTAGGCTAATCCTCCGCCTAGCGGCGCCGGCACACCGGGTTCTAGTCCCGGTCGGGGCGCCGGATTCTGTCCCGGTTGCCCCTCTTCCAGGCCAGCCCTCTGCTGTGGCCAGGGAGTGCAGTGGAGGATGGCCCAGGTGCTTGGGCCCTGCACCCCATGGGAGACCAGGAAAAGCACCTGGCTCCTGGCTCCTGCCATCGGATCAGCGCGGTGCGCCGGCCGCAGCGCGCCGGCCGCGGCGGCCATTGGAGGGTGAACCAACGGCAAAAAGGAAGACGTTTCTCTCTGTCTCTCTCTCTCACTGTCCACTCTGCCTGTCAAAAAAAAAAAAAAAAAAAAAAAAAAAAAGAAATACAGACAGAAAATTAGAGGCAGAGAGATCTTCCATCCACTGGTTCACTCCTCAAATGGTCACAACACGTGGGGCAGGGCCAGGCCAAATCTAGGAGCCTGGAACTCCATCCCGGTCTCCAACATGGGAGGCAGGGGCCCAAGAATTTGGGCCATTCTCTGCTGCTTTCCCAGACACAATAGCAAGGAGCTGAATCAAAAGCGGAACAGCTAGGACTAAAACTTTTGCTTGAATGGGATGCTAGTGTCACAGGTGACAGCTCAACCCACTGCACCGCAATGCCAGGCCCACCTTTAACATTTTTCTGGGTCATGTAATGTTGTATTTGTTAATAATCATTTAGAAATGGCCGGCGCCGTGGCTCACTTGGCTAATCCTCCACCTGCAGCACCGGCACCCTGGGTTCTATTCCCGGTCTGGGCACCAGTTCTGTCCTGGTTGCTCCTCTTCCAGTCCAGCTCTCTTCTGTGGCCCAGGAGTGCAGTGGAGGATGGCCCAGGTCCTTGGGCCCTGCACCCACATGGGAGACCAGGAGGAAGTACCTGGTTTCTGGCTTCGGATCGGTGCAGTGTGCGGGCCGTAGTGGCCACTTGGGGGGTGAACCAACGGAAAAGGAAGACCTTTCTCTCTGTTTCTCTCTCTCTCTCACTGTCAGACTCTGCCTGTCAAAAAAAAAAATCATTTAGAAAATATATTACAAATAAAGACACATGCGGGCCTACCTCTACAGTTGCTTAATTAGTCTTATCTATTTAGACCTTATAATGCTCAGAGATGCAAATAAGTAGCCAGAGTTAAGATAAATGTGTTCCTCCTATGCATATCAGCATTTTATCACTTATTTTTCTTTTTCAAATTTTATTAATGTAAAGAGAACAGATCTCATGTATTTCATAAGTACAGTTCTAAGAAGATAGCCATACTTCCTTCCCTTCCCTTTTCCTTCCCTCAATCCACCTCCTTCCTTCCTTCCTTCCTTTTTTCTTTTATTTTTGCAAGGACATAATTTTAATCCAATCTATAACCACAATCTTAATTCACAACATTAAAAAGCAGGAAGAACACAGTTCCACAAGAGCATAAATAAGGCCTAAAAATGACAAATCACAAGATGTCTGTTTTACTCTTATATAGTTACTATGCTATATTAACTGCCACATATCAGAGAAAACATATCAGTCTTTTCAGGACTGTCTTATTTCACTAAGCATAATGGTTCCCAGTCACATCATTTTATTGCACAAGACAGGATTTCATTCTTTTTTTATGACTGAGTGACTGAGTAGTATTCCATAGTATATGTGTGTGTGTGTGTGTGTGTGTGTGTGTGTAGGTAGATATAGATAGATATACATTCCAAATTTATTTTTCCAAATTGAGTTAACTCATTTACATTTAATGATATACATGTTCAGTCTTAGTTCTGACAGAATGCTGTATTTTATTCCTTGTGTTCCAAAAATGTATTTGTGCAAGCACAAATTATTTATGTGGCCCCACTCAAAATAAGAGGAAGCCAAAAGTGCAGATTGTATGTCAAAGAGAAAAAAGATGTTGAAGAATACATAGCTACTCTCTCACACAGGATTTATTGTGTCACGTGATTTCTCCAGTACCTGCTGAGGTGTGATTTTAGCAAAGGGTTTTTCCACATACAGTATATTTTTGTGATTTTCTGTCTGTAATTTTGTGGACATTTGTTTAAGTTTTTCTTGTGGTAAAAGTTTTTCTACTTCACTACATTCGCAGGGTTTTTCATCTGCATGGGTTGTGCAACAGAGATGAATTATGGTAGAAAGTTCTGAGTCCCTCAATGTGTGCTGAAGACTGACTGCTGGCAAAAAGATTTTTACATTCATTTTATAGATAGGGATTTTGGGTTTTTGTGTTGTTCCATCATGTGTATTTTGTTGTCTATTGAGGTCCAACTTCTGGTTAGAGGTTTTTTTCACATTCATTATGTTCAAAAGGTTTTCTCTGTGAATTCTCTGACGCTTAATCAGGGTTGACCTCTGAAGAAAGGCTTTTCCACATTCGTAACATTTTAAGGTTTCTTCCATGCGTGACTTCTCTGATGTGTTAATGAGGTATGACTTCTAGCAAAACACCTTACACTCATTACATTCATAAGGTTTCTCCCTTGTGTGAATTGTCCAATTTCTAATGAGATCTGACTTCTGATAAGTGTTTATTCCACATTCAGTGCGTACCTGGGGCTTTTCCCCTTTGTGGATTGTGTACTGGTTGGTATGGCAGGATTCAGCCAGGCTGGTCTGGGAAAGAGTCAGCCTCCAGCCCTCATACCCATTCCTGCTGTTCCAGACAGAGACTTGTGTTTCTTCTTCTGCACTCAAGGTGGAGACACTTAATTTGTAAAACTGCGCCCTGCCAGCCTTTTCTGCAGTCAACGGCCATGGTGATCTCTCTCCTCCTGATTGACAGCTCACACACATTTATTAAGTCTCCTACCTGTATTGTACTCCTTCCTCTTTTCCTTGATATTCTTGCATTATTTCTGTTGGTTGGGTGAAATTTCCTTATTCAAAATAAGGAAATTATATTTACATTTTAGAATAATATTTGGTAATGCACAAAAGCAATTGCCATTTACTAGTACAGTGTCCAAAATGGTGCATGTTTCCGAATGGGGCAGTGTCTTTAATTGGTTGATTTCCCTCAGTTGCTTCACTTGTTGGCTATTTACTAAATGTTTCAGTGAATGTAAAGCCTGAAATTATTTTGGAGGCTATTTTAAAATGTATTTATTGAATGTTTACCTTAATGTTAAAGTATAAGATTTGTTCAAAATTGTATTAGTTGTCATTTAATGTCATATCAGTAGACACATTTGTTTCTAGGCAATTGTTATCCCTTGAAGTAAGCGCATTTTTACATTTTATGATTGGAAACTTGTGTTTCTAAATAAAGATTGAATGTATCCTCAAAAAATTCAAATGCAATTACCTTTTTATCTATTTTTAGAATGGAATACCAGCTCTGATAAATCTCTTGACATTAAACATAGAAAATGTGCTAGTAAATGTAATGAATTGTATCCGGGTATTGTGTATAAAAAATGAAATCAACCAAAGAGCAGTGAGAGACCACAATGGGATCCAACATCTTATCAGATTTCTGAGTTCTGATTCAGGTGAGCCTCTGTCTCGGTATTATTTCAAAGTAAGCAGATATATGCAGTGAAGCAAATAAAGGTTGGGGCTTATCCTATCTGAACAGACATCCTGGATTTGTCTTCAAATGGTCTAGACATATGTAACATAACTTAAATGTCTGGAACACTTAAATTTTTTTAAAGATTTATTTATTTATTTGAAAGGCAGAGTTACAGAGAGGCAGAGGCAGAGAAAGAGAAGTCTTCCATCTGCTGGTTCACTCCCCAGATGGCCACAATGGCCAGAGCTACATCAGTCTGAACCGAGGAGCCAGGAGCATCTTCTGAGTTTCCCATGAAGGTGAAGGGGCCCAAGGACTTGGACCAAGGTCTTCTACTGCTTTCCCAGGCCATAGCAGAGAGCTGGATTGGAAGTGGAGCAGCCAGGACATGAACCGGTGCCCACATGGGATGCTGGCAATGAGGCAGTAGCTTTACCCACTACACCACAGCGCCAGCCCCTGGAACACTTAAAATTAAACTGCTGAATTTATAATAGGAATTGACTCTCAAAAGCAAAAAGTTGTTTGAAAAATATTTAATGAGACATGTTTATAAATGGAAATATTGGCATGAATAATGAAGGGAATGCAAATCTGCCCAGGGTAGATGTCTTCTTGTATGAACAGTGTTCAGATCTGTCATTTGTAGCTATTATTGCAACTTACAACAAGGACTTCAGATTTGCTATTACATATTTGATATCAAGATTCAAGGACATCAGGCCAATTCTTAGTTTCCGAAGTATGTCTCAGTACCAAGAACATTGAAAACCACAAGGCAGTTCTTGCAGCTATTTGCAAATGGTCTGTTTGATTTTGTAAGAATAATCTCATTCCAGGGAGTGTACCTGACAGTGTGAACTTCTAATCTTTGTTTTCCTCAAATCTGGAGAGAGAAAAACTTGAGTAAAAGTCTGTCACTTTCTCTTCCTGCTCAGTTTATCATCTGTCTGTGCCAACTCACTAGGAATAAAAAGAACTTCAAATTTAAAAAAGTGTCATCTTCTGAGAACTTCTATTATGTGGTAAAATTATTTGAAAGCCTCTTGCTCCATAAAAAATTCCTTAAGCTCTCTGCTCTAAGTCCTTTCTCACTATCTTTTACTTCATTATTTAAGAATAGCAGTTAGCTAATTCTCCGCCTGCGGTGCCGGCACCCCAGGTTCTAGTCCTGGTTGGGGCACTGGTTTTGTCCTGGTTGCTCCTCTTCCAGTCCAGCTCTCTGCTGTGGCCCGGGAGTGCAGTGGAGGATGGCCCAAGTGCTTGGGCCTTTACCCGCATGGAAGAAGCACCTGGCTCCTGGCTTCAGATTGTCTAGCGCGCCAGCCATGGCGGCCATTTTGGGGGTGAACCAACAGAAGGAAGACCTTTCTCTCTGTGTCTGTCTCTGTCTCTCACTGTCTAACTCTGCCTGTCCAAAAAAAAAAAAAAATTCTGATTGTGGAAGGGTAAAAGGCCGTTATTAGTTTTGAAATTAAATTTACCATGATGTTCTGGCTTATTCCAGTAATTCCTGAGACTCTATTAAAGGTAAAAATATATATAAATATACCCTGGAAGGAAATACCTAATTCCAATTTCTCTTGGAATTGTTTAAAATAGTGAAAAGAGTGTATATTTCCAAACTGTGAGTGGAGAAGGAAATTTAATACACACATTAATGGAATATTTAGAAGACACTGATGTTCATAAAAACAAGGGACAAGGTTTTATTGTTCAATAAAAAATGCAGGATATTGTTTCCATAGTACAACTATATAGTTATCTAAATCTGTCTTCATAGGATAAGAATGCTATTGAACCACTAGTTATATTATGTTTAGGTGGTGAATCGAGACCCTTACTTGTTTTTTTCCATATTTTCTATAAATTTAATTTTATAATATGGGTAACTAATATGCTGTATTTGCTATTAAAACTTTTAAAAGATTATCTAAACTGTCCTTAAATTCATTTAAGATGTGTTGAAAGCCGTATCTTCTGCTACAATTGCTGAGGTTGGGCGTGACAATAAGGAAATTCAGAATGCTATCATCATGGAAGGCGCCATCAATCCTCTGGTAGCTCTTTTTAAAGGCACACAACTTAGTGTCCAAGTGAAAGGTGCAGAGGCCGTGGAATCATTGGCAAGTTTCAACCCTCTCATACAGAAAGCATTTCTGGAAAGAAAATTAACGAAATATCTTCTGAAACTCCTAAAGGTAGGAATTACGTGTTCACTGGTCATTTTGCTTAGACGGTTATTCCACTGTGAATTTTGTCAGTAAATATGTGGAAAACTAAAACAAAGTCTTGAATAAATATTTTGTAAAACATCCATCCCTAAAATATTCAGTAAACATTCACTGAATGAATGGATTTTGTTCTTTTTCAATAGGCCTTTCAAATAGATGTCAAAGAACAAGGAGCAATGACCCTTTGGGCCTTGGCTGGGCAGTCACTGAAACAGCAAAAGCACATGGCCGAGCAGATTGGGTACAACTTTATAATCAGTATGCTTCTGTCTTCATCAGCTAAAATGCAGTATGTGGGTAAGTTGTTTCCTGTACACTAATCTGTACAAGGGAGAACAAGGCACTAATGGATCATATATGCATCTCTTGCTTTTCTCTACCAGGAGGTGAAGCAGTAATAGCTCTAAGTAAGGACAGCAGGCTGCATCAAAATCAAATATGTGAAGGCAATGGAATTGCACCATTGGTTCGCTTACTAAAAATTAGTAGATTAACTGAAGGCACACTTCTCAGTGTCATCAGAGCAGTGGGATCCATGTGTATTGGTTTGTATACTTATTCTCAGTTTCTTAAATATCTATGAGAAAGAGGACACAAGTAGAGAAGTAGAGTTAATCTCTTTCTCTGTATCTCCACTTTTGGAACTCCTTGCCATATTTAATCTATAAAGGGTTATCATAGTTTTTGAAAAAACTGTCTCCAAGACCTTGCTGAATAAAAGTTATGTATGTGTCAATATAGCATTGCTATTAGTAATTTCCCACTCATATTATTTTACAATATTTTGTCAGCCAAAAATATCAAGCTACAGTTGCCATTTATTGGTGGAAAAACACCATTACCTCATTGGCGTGTGCACTTTTACAGGTGTAGCCCACACAAGCAATCCTGTTAGTCAGCAGTTTATTGTGGAGGAAGATGCCCTTCCAGTACTTATCCAGCTGCTAAGAAATCACCCTTCTCCTAACATTAAGGTACATAGAAAGGTTTACATTTTTTTTGATACAGTAGCATTAAAAGAAATAATCCCTTTTTAAAAATTTGTAAACATTAGTGTATGTGCTGCTAAAGTGAGCACAAATTTGTAAACATTAAAAGAAAAAGGAAGGGGGGGGAACATGGGAGGGAGGGAGGGTAGAGTAGAAAGTATCATTGTGCTGCTAAATCCACATGTATGAAATACATGAAATGTGTTCAGCTTATATCAATAAAATTATATATAAAAAAGACTTTGTATCATTATGCAAGCTCACAGGCATAAAAAAAATAAGCTTTTAAACAAAGCCTTTAAGAGTTTTAAACAAAAAAAAAAGCTTGCTACAAGCCACAAGATAGTTGTGGGCTTTATTAAAGTATCATTTCTCTAAATATAACAAAGTCTCTGCAAGGAAGTTTTATTCTCAGATATTTGATAACTTATTTACAGACCCCCCCCCACCCCCGCCATTTCTTCAAACCTTGATTGTTAAGTGTGAGTGGGGTTTTGGGGATGTGTCACTTAAGTGACAATATTTCTTAAAGATAAGTGAATCCTGCCAGTACTGCACCATCAAAGCAGCCCTCCCTTCCTCCACGCAGCACGTGTGGGCTGGCAGCACTGCTCTTCTCAAGAGTGGACATTGTAGAGGATTTCTGTGAGTGGTTGCGGAGTACTTCACTCATCCATTTACTTCTAGTAACTGAGATGAATGAAATCAAATTCACATCCATTCAAATCATTTTACCAAGGCCTTACACATTGAGGAAATCTGTAGTTGGCTAGGTATGAAACTGTAAGAAAAGAAATGCATTTTCTTCTCAAAATTTGGTATAGGCTGTGTTGGAAATGGGGAGATCAAAATAACACGGAAGAAAAATAAGAAGTAAACAGCGTTATTCCTTTTAATATGTGTGTGTGTTATCAGAACAGATGTGAAAGAAACTATTTTATTATAGGAGTTGCTTAGAGATACAAAAGGAAGATGCATATGCTAGCAATCTTTGAGCTTAAATTATGAATAAAAACTACACTGACTTTTGAATTACAAGTGAATTTGATAAGACTATAGAAAACGTCACATAAAATAGGCTTTTAAATGTATTTGATAGTTTGAAAGGCACAGTTACAGAGAAAAAGAGACAGAGAGATCTCCCATCTGCTGGTTCATTCCCCAAAAGGCTGCAATGGCCAGGGCAGGGCCAGGCTGAAGACAGGAGACTGGAATTCTATCCCAATCTCCCACGTGGGTGGCTGGGGCCCAAGTCTTGGACCATTTTCCGCTGCTTCCCCAGGCACCTTAGCAGGGATCTGGATCGGAAGTGGAGCAGCCAGGACTGAAATGGGTGCTCATATAGGATACCAGTGTCCCAGTAACAGCTTAATCCATACCACAATGCCAGCCCACTATTTTATATTTAAAAATGATTATTTTTACTTACTTTTATTTGAAAGAGGAAGAGTGACATCTTCCAGCTTTATTTCAGTATATATTTCATGTTTTGAAACATTACAAAAGACCCATAGGGGCTGGTGTTGAAGTGTAGTCGGTTAAACCGCCACCTACACAGGCATCCCATATGGGTGCCGGTTCAAGTCCCAGCTGTTCCTCTTCTGATGCAGCTCTCTGCTGATATGCCTAGGAAAGCAGCAGAACAGGCCCTAAGTGCTTGGGCCCCTGCACTCATGTAGGAGACCTGGAAGAAGTTCCTATTTCCTGGCTTGGTATCTATCCAGCTCTGGCTGTTGCGGCTATTTGGGGGAGTGAACCAGCAGGTGGAAGATCTCTCTGTCTGTCTCTGCTTCTCTGTAACTTTGCCTGTAAACAAATAAATAATCTTTTTAAAAAATCAGAATATAAATATGTTTTAATAAATTTCCCCAAAATAAGATTCTTTAAAAATGCAACTTTTTGCAATAATTTCATAGTCATGCTTTTCAAATTTCTAACGGTTTTCCTAGAAATGCACAGGGTAATTTAAGAACGTCAGGAGCCTCTTCCAGGTTTCTCATGTGGGTGGAGGGGCCCAAGTACATTGGCCATCCTCTGCTGCTTTCCCAGGTGCATTAGCAGAGAGCAGAATGGAAGTGGAGCAGCCAGAACATGAACCAGCGCCCACAGTGGGATGCCTGTGTTGTAGGTGGCAGCTTAACCTGCTACACCAAGCACCAGCCTCACAGGGTAGCACTTTAAAATTTACCTATTGAGTTCCAATAATATAAAAAAAAATCCTCCTAGTGGGCTGAAGAATATGCACTAAATGACTCCAGGACTAGAATTAGAAAGAGTTAAAAACTGTGCTAAATTGCATGTTAGCTATTGATCATTGGCTTGCAAGTTTTAATGAAATGCCTACTAACTGAAGCAAAGCTTTGTGGAGTCGCACAAAAGAATGATTAACATGCAATTTAGCACAGTTTTAACCCTCCCCAGAAAATTTGAAAAACATTTAGATATGGAAAGGATCTAACTATGCAATTTAGGTAATTCCTCCTGACATGTCCCGTTGGCCCAGCTTCCTCTCTCCACCCCTCATGGCCTCACGTGGAGCTCCGTGGATGTCTCAGTACAGAGAAGGAAGAGTGTTTTCCCAGCTGTTGAAATTAAAGGGGCATTCTTCTGGAAATTGTTAGTGCCACTCTTGAAGTACTAGTTGGAGAATTAGAATAAATAAATTTTAGACTATTTTTCTACAATGTATCCTATATAAATGTTTGTATGATGAAATATGTCATTTGGTAAAGCATGAGTGAAACATAACTTCTGAACACTACATATTTAGGTGGAAGTGGCATTTTCCTTGGCATGCATTGTCCTAAGGAATGAGGTACTACAGAATGAATTGCTTGACAATGAAGGATTTAAGTATTCTGATGTCCTTCATCTTCTTCACTCAACAGATAAGGTAATACCTTTACAAAATATTATAGCTCATTGAATAAAATTCTTTGGATCACATTCTCAAATTACCAAGTCTTCTTCTTGGCAGTAATTCAAAATGTATTATTAAAGAAAGAAATTTACAAGATCTCTTTGTAGCCATTTGATTGTGATGATATAATAATTCAGCTCTGCATTTCTCATAGTCACATTTCATCTTTGAAATGCTGCAATTTTGCCGGCGCCGCGGCTCACTAGGCTAATCCTCCGCCTTGCGGTGCCGGCACACCGGGTTCTAGTCCCAGTCGGGGTGCCGGATTCTGTCCCGGTTGCCTCTCTTCCAGGCCAGGCTGTGGCCAGGGAGTGCAATGGAGGATGGCCCAAGTGCTTGGGCCCTGCACCCTATGGGAGACCAGGATAAGTACCTGGCTCCTGCCATCGGATCAGCGCGGTGTGCCGGCTGCGCGCGCCGGCCGTGGTGACCATTGGAGGGTGAACCAACGGCAAAAGGAAGACATTTCTCTCTGTCTCTCTCTCTCTCTCACTGTCCATTCTGTCAAAAAAAAAAAAAAAAAAAAGAGCCGGCGCCGCGGCTCACTAGGCTAATCCTCCGCCTAGCGGCGCCGGCACACCAGGTTCTAGTTCCGGTCGGGGCGCCGGATTCTGTCCCGGTTGCCCCTCTTCCAGGCCAGCTCTCTGCTGTGGCCCGGGAGTGCAGTGGAGGATGGCCAAAGTGCTTGGGCCCTGCACCCCATGGGAGACCAGGAAAAGCACCTGGCTCCTGGCTCCTGCCATCGGATCAGCGTGGTGTGCCGGCCGCGGCGGCCATTGGAGGGTGAACCAACGGAAAAGGAAGACCTTTCTCTCTGTCTCTCTCTCTCACTGTCCACTCTGCCTGTCAAAAAAAAAAAAAAAAATGCTGCAATTTTAATGTTTGGTGATTAGCTTAAAGACAAACCTCTTCTGTCTTGGGTCAAACCTTTGACCTAATTTCATGACTTTTCTACCCTGAGTCATCAGTTCTTACCTAATACTATTTTTTTTTCCTGTCTACACTGCTCCTTTTTAAAATTTATTTATTTTACTTGAAAGTCAGGGTTACATAGAGGGGGAGAGGCAGAGAGAGAGAGAGAGAGAGTCTTCCATTCACTGGTTCACTCCCCAATTGGCCGCAATGGCCAGAGCTGCACCAATCCGAAGCCAGGAGCCAGGAGCTTCCTCTGGGTCTCCCACTCGGGTGCAGGAGCCCAAGGACCTGGGCCATCCTCTACTGCTTTCCCAGCCCGAAGCAGAGAGCTGGATTGGAAGTAGAGCAGCCGGGTCTCAAACCGGCGCCCATATGGGATGCCGGCACTGCAGGCAACGGCTTTACCAGCTACGCCACAGCACCAGCCCCACCTAATACTTTTTCTTTTTTTAATTTATATATTATTTAAAAGTCAGAGTATGAGAGGGAGAGACAGAGGAAAAGAGAAAGGTCTTTCAACCACTGGTTCACCCTCCATATGGCCACAACAACTAGGACTGAGCCAGGCTGAAATCAGGAACCAGGAGCTTCTTCTGGGTCTTTGGCATGGGTTCAGGGGCCCAAGCACTTGGCCTGTCCTTTGCTGCTTTCTCAGGTGCATTAGCAGAGAACTGGATTAGAAGTGGAGCAGCCGGGGCTCGAACCAGTACCCATATAGATGCCAGTGCTACAGAAGGCAGCTTAACCTGCTGCGCCACAGTGCTGGCCCATACCCAATACTGTTAAGTGGTGCTTCTGAAAATATCTGTGATGAACAAATAGCTTTTTCTCAGAAATCTGTTAAGGAATTTTTTTAAAAAAATTTAACAAATGTTTAAATAAACTTAGACTTTCCAAAAATTTACAAAAATAGTACTGAGTATTCTGATATATTTTTCATCTAGCTTCCCAGTTGTCAACCAGAACATTAACATTGCTACAGTACCATTACACATTTTGCAGTTTTGTGTAACTTTTGCCAGTGTTCTCATGGATGTCCATTTTCTGTTCCAGAACCCCATCCAGGATCCCACACTACATGTAGTTGTCATGGTTCTTTAGTCTCCAGTTTGTGAATCTCAGGTCTTCCTTGTCTTATATGATTTCATAGATTCCATAGTTTATACTTTTTAATGAGCCCAGACCAGTTGTTTTAGAGATTGTCCTTCAGTTTGACTTTATCTGTTGATATTTTCTCCATAATTAAGTTGAGGTTTTTTTTTGGCAAGAATATTACAGTAGTGATGTGGTCTTCTTCATATCCCTTTCTCGTGGCATCATATCAAGGGTGTATAATATTGTTATGTATGTCTTATACTGGCAGTGTGAACTTAGATTATTTGGTTACACTGCTTCCTGCTATGCATCTCCACCGTAAAGTCACTATTTTTTCTTTTGTAATTAACAAGTGTCTTAAGGTGAGACAACTTGAAGTTATGTAAATATTCTGTTTTGCATTAGACTTTCGTTCACCAGTTTTAGCATCCAGTGATGCAGAAATTAAGTGGTATTTGGCCTAATGTGATTTTTGATAAATCCTCCTTTTCCTTGTACACTGATCAACTGATATCAGTTTTTAAGGAAGGGCTGTCCCTTTTAATGCTTTTCTTCTCAATTTCTAATCCCTGTTGTCAACAATTTTGTGGGCTGTCACGAGTCTGTGGGTGGCACTTTGAATCCCACTGCTCCAGAGAAATGAGCGTTGTTGTTATCTACAGTGCACTTAGCACTCAGGGGAGAAAACTGTCAGCTGCATCTCTCTCAGGTCTGTGAGCTTTTATGAAGAAGGACTGGTGAGGAGGGGGAAAGTTGTGATATTTAAAAAAAATATATAAAGCTTTACTGGATGGAAAGAGAAGCGCTGCTATAAAACGCCTGGGTGACGATCAGCTGAGGACACTGAGCTCCTGACTGGCTGGCCGTCTTCGATGCCTTTCTGCCCTGTACTCTGCTCCTTCCAAGGCTTACTCTCACTACCGGTCCTCCTGTGCCTCCTTTTCCTCCCTGTCGTTTCTACATTTCACTCTCGTTCTCCCCTCCCTACCAGCCTGTTAACGCCTGCTTCACTCTAAACCTATGCTTGCATATCAAATGTATCCTAGGAAATCAGTTCCATAGATATGAAGGATGTTAGAGAACTGGAAGGCTTAAAGAAAAGTCAGTGGATTTACCTGGTCTTGGCCAGGTGACTACTCATCTCAATGGTGAAGTAGAAGTATTAAGTGTCTTTCTCAGTACCTGCCCCGCTGGGGCCCATTAGTAATCTTAAGGTTGTAGAGGAAGCACGAAGCTACTGTGGTCCTTAATTAAACCTATACTGGGAGACTTGTAGAAATGGGAGGGATGTTTAGCAACTAATTATGTTACTGAATGAATAAACATTTCACATGAGTACTGACAGGAACGAAATAAAAATTAAGCCCGCTAACCCAGATTCTGGAGCCCCCATTCACACTGACCTTGTCTACATGGATATGCAATATGTCACATGATCTTTTTTCAAAAATTATTTTTTCTCGGCCGGCGCCACAGCTCACTTGGCTAATCCTCCGCCTGCAGCGCCGGCACCCCAGTTCTAGTCCCAGTTGGGGAGCTGGATTCTGTCCTGGTTGCTCCTCTTCCAGTCTAGCTCTCTGCTGTGGCCCGGGAGTGCAGTGGAGGATGGCCCAAGTGCTTGGGCCCTGCACCTGCATGGGAGACCAGGAGGAAGCACCTGGCTCCTGGCTTTGGATCAGTGCAGTGCACCGGCCATGGCGGCCATTGAGGGGGTGAACCAACAAAAGGAAGACCTTTCTCTCTGTCTCTCTCTCTCACTAACTCTGCCTGTCCAAAAAAACAAAAAAAATTTTTTTCTCATGCTGTGAAACTAGAGTAAGTTATGTGAAATATACTAGTGAGGATGATTTTCACAAGCCACATAAAATTAGCCTTATTATTTTAGCTACTATTACTTTCTCTTATTTTTTTAAAAGATTTACTTATTTATTTGAAAGAGTTACACAGAGAGAGAAGGAGAGGCAGAGAGAGAGTGTGTGTCTTCCATCCATTGGTTTACTCCCCAGCTGGCCACAACGGCCGGAGCTGCACCGATCCAAAGCCAGGAGCCAAAGATCTTCTTCTGGGTCTCTGGGTCTCCCACACGAGTGCAGGGGCCCAAAGACTTGGGCCAGCTTCAACTGCTTTCCCAGACCATAGCAGAGAGCTGGATTGTAAGTGGAGCAGCTGGGTCTCGAACTGGCGCCCATATGGGATGCTAGCACTGCAGGTGGCAGCCTAACCCGCTATGCCACAGTGCTGGTCCCTACTTTCTCTTATTTAATTAAAGATATACCTAGTTAACTATTCATGTGCCTTTGAAAAGGTGTTAGCATAAACAATGGGAACTCATCTGCCAATGATGAATCACAGTCGATGTTAAGGGCAAATAAGCCCCCAGGGTGTTTAATCACCTTTGGGAATTACATAAAGGAAAGGATCTGTGAAGTAGAGGTTGTTAAGACAGTTTACATTCAGGAAACATATGTGTAAAAATACGTCTTTCCTCATGGATTGATTTTTAGGGGGTTCTGGACTGGGAGTAACCAACTTGGTTCTTGTCCTGTATCTGATACAAGTGAGCATGGTGGGAGTAGTCAAACTGTGGGATTCATTTTGAAGCAGAATCGGACACTTTGTAAACCACCTAAATATAGACTCCCACAGTGGAAATAGGTCAAATTCTGGCATACTTTCCTCGCTTCCTTCAACTTGACCTTACTACACAATGCATACCCTTTTGGCCCATTTCCTAGCACCTTTGTTTCCTACTGGGCTCGAGGCTCTATTCTGCTATCTGTTCATCTACCCGTTGTCTAGGACTGAGACCCAGTTCCTTATCCCTCTGATGGTACCTAATACCTTTCTTCTTGCCCATGGCTAGGTGACCACTTTTTGTGTATGTGCATCTGTAATTTTTATTATGGAAAATTTTAAACACGTATTGAACAAGAGAGCAGCATAATGGAAAACACCATCAGCAATTATTAACTCATGGCAATCCTACTTCACCTCTATATCCATTTACTCTCCCTGTATATTTCTTAAGGAAAACTCAAGTATCATATCATTTTTATAAATACATCAATATGTTACACAGAATTTTTATGTCATAATTTTAGTGGCAGAAGAAAATGCACTGTGTGTACACTGTGGTACACTCTCTGTACCACACTGTTGAAGTATTACAATTATTTTTATTATTAAAAAATAAGATTTAACAGTAGGATTTTATCTTTTGAGTCTTTATGGAAGATCTGCCATACTTGTCCAGCTCAAGCTGGCTGACTCTAGGGAGAAATTGGTTTTTGCTCTTTTCCCAGCTCCAGAATATTAAAATGCAATTCTTTTTTTTTTTTTAAGATTCATTTATTTTGAAAGTCAGAATTACAGAGGAGAGAGAGAGAGATCTTCCGTCGACTGGTTCACACCCCAGATGGTTGCAATGGCCATTGCTGGGCCAGGTAAAAGCCAGGAGCCAGGAGCTTCATCTAGGTCTCCCACATGGATTGCAGGGGTCCAAGCACCTGGGCCATTTTCTGCTACTTCTCCAGGCCAAAAGCACAGGGCTGGATGGGACATGAACTGGTGCCCATGTGGGATGCCAGCATTGCAGGTGATGGCTTTACCCCTAAAGTGTGATTCTTAAAAGTAAATTATTGGGATGGGGCCGGCACTGTGGCATAGCAGGTAGGGCCACCGCTTGTGGTGCCGGCATCCCATATGGGCTCCAGTTCGTGTCCTGTGTGCTCCACTTGCAATCCAGTTCCCTGCTGGTGGCTTGGGAAAGTAGCAGGGGATGGCCTGAGTGTTTGGGCCTCTGCACCCTTGTGGGAGACCCAGGGGAGGTTCCTGGCTCCTGACTTTGGTTTGACCCAGTGCTGGCCATTGCACCATCTGGGCAGTGAAGGAGCAAATGGAAGCATATTCTCTCTCTCTCATGAAAAATAAATAAATAAGTATTTTTCTTAAGAAAATAAATTATTTGCACCTATTTTCCCTTAAATGTAGTAGAATAGAATTTTACAATGCACTTATTTTAAAAGATGATACAGATAATTCAGAATGAAATGTAATATATAGCATGGTAAACAGTGGAAATTTTGACTTATGAACTCTATTTTGAAATGTTGAAATGAAAATAAAAATATATTAAAACATAAAGTTGAGTTATATGAAATTATTGAGTTTCTCAGTTGTTTGATCAGTAATTAACTGTTAAAATATTTTCTCCTTTCTTCTTCCTGTTACCAAAACCTAGTGCTGTATTTTATCTGTCCAATAACATTCTGCATTTACTAACAATGTCATATTTTACTCCCAGTGACAATATTGCAACATAATTTAATGGGCAAGAATCCAAGTTGTTACATTCAGTAACATGATAAATGAAGTATGTTAAAGATGATGCATGTTTCTCCTATTTCCAGGATATTTGCTTAAGAGCAGGCTATGCATTAAGCCTTTTTGCCTTCAATAATCGCTTCCAACAATACTTAATATTGGAAAGTGGAATAATGACCATATCTATTTTTGAACCTTTTCTTGAATCGGCAGTTGAAACTGAGAGAGCAATGGCAGCATTTCAGGTATACAATGTATACAATGAGAGGCTAACACTTCAAATCAATCATGTCTTTTTAGTAAAAACTTGAAAATTACAAAACCTTGGGGGTCCAGTAAAATATTTACTGAATACTTTACATAATAGCCACCTGTACCACATAAAAAATCTCTTATCTAAAGAGAATTTCTTCACTTATATAGAATTTTTACATGTTCCAAGGAGTGTTTGCCTTTATTCGTTATCTGATGCTTATCACAACCCTGTGAGGTTGACAGGCAGATATTATTTTCATCTCCTTCATATTACCAGGAACTGGATGAAGAAACTAGCTAGTATCCCTGACAGGTTTTCTGTGCATCTTTAGCTGATCAACCAGTTCTTGAGCCCTGTAACAACTTTACATATCTAGGTTCTTTTTAGTCTTTTTCTCTTTCTTCATTTTGTATCCTGTGACCTTTTGGGAGAAGTACTTTCTGTGTACTACCAGGATATAAAAGTTGTAAACATTGTAAGAAGAATAATATGATCTATTATGATCACCGTGGTGACCAGATAGAAACAAGTCCTCTAACCAACCCTACCACCACTTACTTTTCTTTTACCAAATATCCCTTGTATCCTCCTGAGAAATAAAAAAAAAGACAAACAAAAATGCTTAGAGAAGCTGTGTACAAAATGTCCAACGATTCTATGTTCTTTTTTTGTTTTAGATTATTGTATTATCTAAAGTCATTGTAGATGTGGACCATATTACTTTGACTGCAAGAGGTGTTACTATTTTAGTTGATAGCCTGTATTCAGTTCAGCCCGCTACGCTTGTCTTGACAGGTAAGAAATGACAATAATAAACAATACTGAACAATAGTAAAATCATAAGCATCATATTCTGTTACAGTTTGATGAGTAAACTAGTGAACTCATGTTAATATACATGGAACTCCATAGTAGGTCTTTCAGGACTCACAGGAGTATTAACTTTGAACACAGCCTTATTGCTTTCTTATTGCTTTCTTAATTATTTTTTCAAAATTCTATTTTTTTCAGTAATATAAAATGATAATTCAGTTATGAATTATCAACAACAAAATTTACATATTCATTTATAATAGGGGAATATTTACACAGATGTACTTCTGATTTCCTTCTGAGAATTGCACATGTTTTGCTAACATTTAAGGATTCTTTGTATTGCTATGTAATATAGCAAAGCAAAACAGTCCAATAGAGTTCTTGGTATACTTCATGCTTCTTGTGTAACTAGATCTACTCCAACCCTCTAGCTTAACTGACTTGATAGATTACTGTGAAAGCAACATAAAACAGTGTCAGGATGACAATGATGTACAGTGATATGTAAGGTATTTTAAAAAATGAAATGGATCACTGAAGGCATCAAAAGAAACTCCATCTGTCATAGCACAGAATTATGTTCTTATGGAGTGCATGAGTTATCTTTACAGCAAGCAGGGAAAAACCAAGCAAATGAAAATTTCTGATAGAAACTAACTAGGAAAAAGCATCTTTTTAAAAAGTGTTGAAATATATTTTCATCTAAATAACATCAATACAGTGTCAAGTAATTCTGAGAGAAACAATTGTAGTGGGTTTGAATTTTATTCCACAAATTCCTGTGTGCAAGATAATATACTAGCTTTCAAATATTAGTTTTACTAGGCTGAGAATTGACTCTCAAAAATTATTACTGTTTCGCTACTTCACTAACGGATTCATATGCATCTTATCACAGGCACAGCAGGACATGTAGGCCCAGGTACACTGTAAACTGATGTGTTCAGTATCCAAGGCGACATGGTTCCTAGAAGAGGCTGCAAAGGCTCATAAACTTTGCAGAGTGAAATTTCAATTGCCAAGTATCAAGTTTTCCTACAAGTGTTCCACTTAGCTATTTTCCACTCAAAAGTTGCTACTGCTATCCCTATAGCAACAAAAAGCTAATGTAAAATAATTTTTAAAACTCTAAAAAAATCTCAAAACATATTCTGAAGGTGTGGGAGAAAGGCAACCTCTGATTTAAAACATTCCCTCTCCTACACAAACCTACTTACCTTTTACTGTTTGTGACAGAAAACCAAACCATAATTTTAGGGAAAGTTTTTCCTATATTTATACATACTTTTTTTCTCAGCCCTTCTTCATTAACAGAGATATCTTGTGAATTACACTTTTTAAAATGCCATTTACAAATGAACAAAAGGGCAGTATATTAGTTTCTGTAACAGTTCTTTTTTTCATTATTGTCTAATTTATAGGGAATTTAATAGCCAGCCTGGCTCATTCTAGAGCTGGCATTCCAGAAGCATTCACCTCATTAGGAACAATCCAGCGGCTCTGCTACCATTTGCACTCAGTAAGAGAAGAGGTAAAAGAAAAAAAAATCCCAAAACTGAGTATGTTCAAGATAACTCACTGTCTCTCACTCTGTGGGATAATTTCTATTTAAAATTTTTGTTAACATGTAATGTTTGTACATTTTTGTGGGGTATAGTGCAAACTGATACTTTAATTTCACTAGACTAGAAAAAATATATACACAGCTAAACTAACCAAGACAGGCAATGGCCTTTCCATTTCTTTTGTATTTGTATCCTACCAGCTCCTCTTTTCCAGACATACTTGTGAGCGCTAGTACACTAAAACTGGTGACTTCTGTGTTTTGGTACTTGTTATCCAACCTCCTTTGATCTGAAGTGCTGGGCTTCAGTCTGTCACTATAATAGGGGATGTGGTTGTCCCATGTGATAGCTTAACTTGCTGCACCACACTTCCCTTGGTTATCCACTGGCTTAGATATCTTAAGAATAAAGTCTATTGGTTGAGACAGAATTCTTTCTTCATTTAGGTCCGCACAGCTTGCTCCTGTGCTCTTGGCTACTTAACTTACAACGCAAATGCTTTCCGCATCCTATTAAAAGAATGCAGGAATAAACCCAATCAGTTCCTTCGCTTAACAAATAATATCAACAGAGATGCAAGTATTAACCCAGCATTTTTAAAGGAATTTCAAATGCAACAAACAGTGGGACTTCCTTCCTTGAGGTACTGTGCCTATAACTTAAGTTGTAGTTGTGGAAACACTGATAGGAGAGATTTTTAAGGAAGTCAAAGAAGAACAAAGTGTGCAAGTTGGGCTATGATATGAATATATCCTCTGTATACTGGAAGATAAACTGAATTCTAAATGTCCATTGTCAAAGCCTATTTTAATTCCAACTCAGCACCCCAATTGTGGATGCAGATGAGAAACATTCAGATCCTGTGGATCCTGTCTGGCCAGAATTATTCAAGCTTTAGAAATGTTTTTGGGAGATTAGGTGCCTCCACCTCTGATCCAGGAAACCATTTTTGAGTAGACTGGGTACATTTGAGAATTCTAAGCCAGCCAGGAAATACCACCAAGGCCTTAACATCAGATAGGTCTTCTGAACTTGATACAAGGCTAGGCCAACCCTACCCCTACCCTGGAGGGAAATAGGGTTAACCCAGACCCAGTGGTTGGAGTTAGGGTGAAGTTTGCCAGGTGTTTACTCAGAGGATTTTGCCTCAATGTTATAGATTCATCATGAAGTTGTCCCAGAAAAAAAGGGTGGAGAGCAGAATCTCCTTACTGTGGCTTTACTCTTCTTTTTCTGTGGATGTAAATCAATTACAATTCTTCTCTTCAAGTAGCAAAATCCATATATAAATAACACAACTACTCAAGGTACATTATTAACTCTGTAATATTGGAAAAGGACCCAGGATTGTATTACGGCTTTATAAATCAATTTAAGTATAGAGAAAGATGGATCCATCTTTAGAGTCAGTTTAATTCTTTGAAAAATTGAAAATCCAAGCTGATGACCTCACTTTATATGACAGGGAATCTAATTTTTAATTGTTTTCATTGACAATGTTAAGTAATAATTTTCATTGACTAAAAAAGCAATTTGGGATAAACAATGTAAGTAACATTGGTCATTCTCATAGCCAGTTCATATTTGCAACTGTGGGATTTAGAAAAATGTGTTCCTTTCTCAGATCTACTTTTTTCAAAATTTTGTTGAAGTATCTTCTCTTCCCATCATTTCAAACAGATTTAAAGTTCCAAATATTTGTAGTAAATGAGTGACTGAACAAAAACACCTACAGGTAACATGTATAATTATTGTACATGTAACATGTATGAAACAGACCACTAGGCATGGAGCATGTCACCTGAAATAAGTCTTCATGTATTTATTTTCTCTGGGTATACTATGTCTTCATTTATTTTATTATTTGATTAACATGTTTCTCTTTTAGTCTGGAAAAGAATGGAGGACCATCCATAATTCCTGTCTTTAAGAAAGGTAATTAATTTTTATTTCTGAGATGTCTTCTAGCCCTGGTGCTTTTTAATTCTGTGTTCCATCTCTACAAGTTTGAAACATAGAGGCTACGAAGATGGTTTATCTGCAAACTCTTCTTTTGTAATCCCATATACCTAAAACATGTTCCCAGTTTCAAGGCTACATTAACCACTTTTTCTTAAGGATCACTTAATAGAGATCCTTTTTTATGTTGTCTTTTTTCTAGCCATGCACAGAAATCACAGTATATAATGGGGACTTAAAATGTGATCATGCTGTTGTTCTGTTTCATTATAACTTATCTATCTATAAATTCGGAGGGCAGGAATATTTTTTCATTAACATTCTACACAGTTTTTCACATGGTTGGTAGATGAGAATTGAGTGGCCTAGGTCTGAGACCAGAGTTTATATTACTTATTCTTTCCTATCATACATGCAATAGGGAACATAAATTCTCATTAATTTCATATATTTGCTTAGTACTTGTTCATGGGTGTTTACAGTAGGACCAAATATTGTCAGAATCAAGGAGAGAACCATTTAAAGTCAAGAGCAGTTTGCTGATGTCACAAACAAAAAGGAGAACAGGGAGAGACCGTAAAAGGCAGGAAACAATTTTATTTATTCAGAGAACCTGAGGGAAGCTAGGGAGGAGTATGAGTGGAGGCTATACAAAGGTAATTAAAAAAGTTCTTGGACTATGGAATTAAAGGATAAGTTGCGCCAAAAAAAAAAAAAAAACTATCTTCTAATTCCATTTTTCCATGAACCTTTTGTAGTACCTTCATATTTCTGAATATCATGGAGAGGATATCCTGTTTTTCTATAGCTTCTTTGATGTAAGAGTTATTTAAACAAATGAATAAAGTCAGTCCCACTTTTTCTTCATTTCTTCACTGCTTTCTAAACAACAGACTGTACCCAGTAATGGTATGCTGACGTTTTCACAGGCCTGTGGGAACCTAAGGAAGAAATAAGGATAATATAGCAAGTTCTTGATAAAATTAATTTCATTCAATGTCAAGTCTCTCATTTTGAAAGAATGTTTTTCACATTTTCTTTTGGTATTAAGATATGTTTTACTTTACAGAATGATGTTTAAAGTAGTTGATACTTGTTCTTTTATTAGTGTCAATTTGGCATAGTAAAAAGTTGGCAAATTATATATTGGTCCTCACAAGTTTTTCTTATCTGACACTACAAAGTCTGGAAGTTAACTGATCTGTTTTTTGTTTTTTGTGTTTTTTTTCTGGTATGTTTTAGTTGTGTAAAGAAAACAGAACTAGAAGTAATGAAATTATACTTAAGGTAGTCAGCTTAAGGGACATTCAATTGTGCCTCTCTAATTTTTAGGAAAAGAGCACCGAAGAAAAGCAAAACCTAAAATTCAACCAAGAGATTCTTTGACTTTAATACCTCCTGTAACTAACTTCATGGGACTCTTCAAAACAACAGAAAATACTGATGTTCCTGTTAATCTGTTTTCTTTTTCCTCTGCACTTTCATCGGATATCATAAATATATCAAGACCAAGAATAGTGTGCTTGAACCAACTTGGGAAACATGTACAGAAAGCGAACTCAGAGCCTTCTGAAGGCTAATAAAAGCGCTTTTGTATGAAAGCAATCTTTTACAAATTTTTTATTTTGGTAAAATACAGATAACCAAGCAATCTTTTTGAATGGCAGCTTTTGATATCAATATTAGAGTTTCTTTAAAATGTCTACTGGAATTTACCATCAGGTCAGAATTAATGGCTTCAAAAAATAAGATTTCTGTAATAGAATGCCTCCACTTAAGCTTATTAAAATTCATCCAATGGAGCAGGCATTTGGCCTATGAGTCCTGACTCTGGTTAGGACACCCACGTCCCACTCCAGGGTACCTTGAGTCAGATACAGCTCTCTGGCTCTCGACTCCAGCTTCGTGTTAATGCAGAGAAGACCTCTGGAGTTGGTGTGATGGCTCAAGTAACTGGGTCCCTGAAACCCAAATGGGAGACCTAGTCTGAGTTCCTGGTTCTCAGCTTTGGTATCAGCCTAACCCTGGCCGTTGTAGGCATTTGGGAGAGAGAACCAACAGATGGGAGCTCTTTGTTTATCTATCAAATAAATTCTATTTTTTAAAAAGAGAAAAACATAAAATTTATCAACTGACACAAATTGTATTACTAGCATATCCATCAAGTGTTAGAAACATTTTTAAGTTGGTAGACTGAGCTAAAGGATGATTCAAAGTGGCTCATATGTTACATTCATTGTAATACCTTGTGATGTTTAATGATAAAGTAATACAAATACATGAGCCTTCTAAAACCTGAAATACATATGTTAAAAACATCTCATTAAAAAAATCTGAAACCATTGCTCATCAAGTATACAAGTATAGCTAAAAATGGATCCATGTGTGTTTACCATTCTCCATTTTTATAGAGTGCCTTTGGTTTGCAGTTGGAGAAGGTGATAATCTTTGGCTTAGAATCACATGATGTCTTTGCTAAAGAGCACTGTATCCAGCTGGTGTAGTTTTGGTGCATGTCTGCTGCCCTTTTTCTCCACCCACTGCAATTCAGTCTGTGAGTCTGCAGCAAGCATTAAACATACGTGTAACTAGTAGTTATTTTCTCCCAACATGCCTTAACACAATAATGGTGATGATAGCCCCTATGTATACTTGGGCTTTCCTTGTGGTAGAGTCTACAGCCTGTGTTCTTTGCCACTGAAAAATAAGAGACCTCCTTAATCTTCAAAGTTGTTTTATAGTACAGCTGAGAGGCAGGAAAATTGTTGAAATCCTGCCTCTCAACTGTACTATAAAACAGCTTCATTCTTTTCTTTTCCCTTCCTTATGTCTAAGTACTGAAAGGCTAATGAAATGGAAGGCTTCCAGAATCTGCTCATGTTCTTTATCTGTAAGTTTCCCTTATTTATGTCATGAACTCAGTTTTGATATGCATGATTGTTGAACCTGGAACAGCTCTGAAACTTTAAGAACTCAGGTTATAGATTTTCCTGATTTATAATATTGTTATAATGTGAAGAAACTTTGATGTTTTCTTCTAAACTTTGAATGTATTCTGGTTTTTAGTGCTATAGGAAATAATTCCACTTCTCTGTGAATTCAGATTCACAGGCACACAATGTACATCCAAATGTAAAATGTGAAATTAACAACTAATAGTTTCTTTTAAGTGATATTGATTAACCAATTCTGTCATATCCATATAGTAATTTAATATCAAATAATGCAAGCCATTGTAAATATTGAGTGTTTCTGAATGTTTCCCCATATACAATTAAATCATCCATTTCTAGGCTAAAATGGATAGTTATAAAGTAATACTCCATGACCACAATTCTAAGAAAATAGTTACTTGAAGAACTTCCCAACAGGGAAGTCACTTTAAGGCAGTATTTATTTTAAAAGTTATTTATTTGAGGGGCTGGTGCTGTGGTGCCACGGGTTAAAGCCCCAGCCTGCAGTGCTGGCATTCCATATGGGCACCAGTTCAAGTCTCAGCTGCTCCACTTCTGATCCAGCTCTCTGCTGTGGCCTGGGAAAGCAGTAGAAGATGGCCCAAGTGCTTGGGCACCTATGCCCATGTGGAACACTGGAAGAAACTCCTGGCTTTGGATCAGCTCAGCTCAGGCCATTGCGGTCATCTGGGGAGTGAACCAGTGGATAGAAGACCTTTCTCTCTGTGTCTTTAGCTCTCTAACTTTTTCAAATGAATAAAATATATCTTTAAAAAAATTTTTTTTTAAAGTTATTTATTTTAAAGGCAGAGTTACAGGGAGAAAGGGATGGATACACACACAGAGAGACATCTTCCATTCACTAGTTCACCCCTACATTATGGCAAATGGCCAGGGCTAGGCCAAGCCAAAGCCAGGAGCCTGGAAATCCAACCAGGCCTCCCACGTGGATGGTAAGGACCCAAGTACTTGGAACCATCTTCCACTGCTTTCTCAGGTGCATTAGCAGGAAGCTGGATCAAAGTGGAGCAGCTGGAACTCCAACTGGTACTCGTATGGGATGCCAGGTCACAGGTGGTGGTTTAACCTGGCTGTACCACAACATGGGTCCATAAGGCAGGATTTAAATAATGTTTCCGTTCTAGATTTTTATCTTTAACCCCCCAGCTTCTCAATAAGCAAGTCACTCATCAGAAAGCTAATAGCTTTGTTCATTGTAGATGATGTAATATAACCCTTTACTGATTAAAAATAAATCCCTCGGGCTGGCGCTGAGGCTCACTTGGTTAATGCTCCGCCTGAGGCGCCGGCATCCCATATGGGCGCTGGTTCTAGTCCCGGTTGCTCCTCTTCCAGTCCAGCTCTCTGCTGTGGCCCAGGAAGGCAGTGGAGGATGGCCCACGTGCTTGGGCCCTGCACCCACATGGGAGACCAGGAGGAAGTACCTGGCTCCTGGCTTCGGATCGGTGTAGCGTAGCGGCCATTTGAGGGGTGAACCAATGGAAGGAAGACCTTTCTCTCTGTCTCACTGTCTAACTCTGCCTGTCAAAAATAAAAAATAAATAAATAAATCCATCCCTCAAAAGACACTATATAATCAATAGGCCTATCCTTATGTTCAAAGGACAGTACATTCAGTTTCTTTAATGTTGGCCCCCCAAAGTGATACATTTATCATATCTGTAATACAAAATTTCAGATTTAACCAAAACTATCCCCCAAAAAACCTTTTATATCTCATTTACTTTCATCTGGCTAAATATTTCTAAAATAATGGATTCAATGACTGTATATGGTCAGTTAAAGAGTTCAATGCATACTTGAGAGATCACCTGCATGCCAAATTTTTAAAACCTGAAATGGATTTGAACAAACATACAGATACCCACTTACTCCAGAGAGGATACCTAATATATATTTTATTTTAATAACCTTCTATTAGAGAAAGTCAGTTTTTGTCTTGATTTGGAGTTTTCTGTTTTGCCATGATCTTGACCTAGCTGCTTTTCTAAAATTGGTCTCTCTTTATATAACTCAGGCTCATGTCAGTAGAAGTCAAAAAATAGCTTCTATAATCCTGATTTAAGAAAGGGGAGAAAAGATTTAGACATGGATGATTAGGGCCAAAATCTAGCAGAAGCACAGTTATCATTTTAAGGTTTTCTTTCTATTTCCCAGTGTCAATATATCCTTTCCCCATTAGATGTTTGACTTTGAGGCTTTTATAAAATGTTTATTTTTCATTTACTTGAAAGGCGGAGTGACAGAGAAATCCTCCATTGCTGGTTTACTCCCCAAATTCCCACAACAAGCAGCTGGGCCAAGTCAAACCAGGAGTCCAGAACTCCACCTGGTCTCCCATGTGGGTGGCAGGGTCCCAAAGCAACTTGAGACATCATCTGCTGCCTCCTAGGAAGCTGGATTAGAAGTGGAGGAACTAAGGGGTGGTGTTGTGGCACAACTTGTAATGCTTGTTCAAGTCCTGGCTGCTCGGCTTTCATTCCAGTTTCCTGCTAATGTGCCTGGGAAGGCAGCAGAAAATGGCTCAAATACCTGGGCCCCTGCTATCTGAGAGCAAGGATGGAATTCCTGGCTCCAGGCTTTGGCCTGGCCCAGCACTGGCTATTGTGGCCATTTGGATAGTGAACAAGTGGATGGAAGATCTCTGTTTCTCCCTTTCTGATGCTCTCTGCCTTTTAAATAAATAAATAATCAATCTATCAATCTACTTTAAAAAGCCAGGGCCAAGACTTGAACAAGTACTCATATATGGGATGTGGGCATCCCATGCAGTGGCTTTATCCACTTCACCACAATGCCTGTCCCTACTTTGATTTTTGCTAATAAAAGTTATGTTTTCTTATATGAACATATGAGGCTAAGAACAGCAGGTTAAAAATCAAATGTAAGAAAAAGAATAACAAAAGAAAGTTTTGATGAGTAGTATACTTCTACAATTTGACACACATAAAATCAAAACCTAATTGTAATGCTGAAATACTACCTTTATGGATGTTTCTGAAAAGCAAAATTCAAATCTTCATTTTTAATCGTGGTACTTTTATAGCAGCTTCTCCAACTTCTTCTGATATATCTACTCCAAGAGGGCATCTGCAATGTAGACAAATCTTATTATTTCCAAATTTGCTTCATGAGCCATCAATAGTTCTGCAGGCTATGCGCTTAGAATGTTGACAAAAAGCATGAGCATCTATTATATAATTCATCACATGTGGTGATGGTTCTTAAATACATTCAAATATAGTGGGATCTCAAGTCAGAATAATGAAGGCCAGTCTCATTCAATAAAAAAACCTAAATTTTGATATGCTTTTGAAAAAAATAGGTCTACTTTCAAATACTATAAATGTTAAAAACTTAAAGAAATAAGTTTACAAAACTAAAAACTGAAACTATATAGCTAAAATCCAACCTGTACCCCCTGACATTTTAGAAATTCCCCTAGTTTCTATCTGTTCCTCTTAGAGGTTTCAAAAGCTGACTTGCCCCTTTTCTACTTTCCTTTGCCGCTGCTGGCAGGAAAGTCTTTAGCTCCTACCCTCTTCTCTGTTCTTCCTCAGTCAGTAATTTCAACCTCAGGTTTTTGCCTGGAAAAACCACCATCTCCAGCTTCAATACTGCCTCAAGAAGGCACAGCTGGATTAGATGATTAACTCTATCTAAGGTTAGGGCATCAATGTAAAGGAGTCCTTCTGATACGGCTCTGTTCAGTCATGATCAGTTTAATAGTTTGTGATTCCTGTAATGGGTGTGGACATCCGGCCCGTGGGCCACATGAGGTCCACAAAATCATTTGTTCTGACCCTGCCAAGGTAACTGCAGGTGGGACTCAAAATTCAATAAATTTATTTAGCAGGCTAATTTTTAAGTTGGTAATTTTGTATGGCCTATAAATAATGTTAAAAATATCCAAATGGCCCTTGGCAGAAAACAGGTTCCCCATTCCTGGTTAGCACAAGTGTCTAGTTACAGATTATAATGCTGACAATTTCCAAACCAGAATTATGTTAGCTTGTAAAACATAACTATCTTTTCTTAGTCCAGAATTAACTTGGACTAGAAATTTACTTGATGGTAAATTGAAAAACCGTGCAATATGTTGGAATGTTGGTTTGAGAGAGGAAATCAGCTATGTCTTGACCAATTCTCCACTGCCTGTGTCGGAGCATAATCATAGCCCTCTCACCTGAATGCTTTCTGCATGTTTCCCAGCCTTCCAGCTGGTCCTCAGATTTTCTTGACACTGCAAAAGTCCAGGCCATGGATATGGTTTCCTTTCTGGTCCCAAATGAAGGAATCTGACACCCCTATCCATGGCCTGTTTATTACTCATTATGATTTGTCAAATTTTTTTAATTTGATACTACAGCACAAATCTTTCTTATGAAGTGTCAAACTCAACTAGTTTCATGAAAGAAATGAATGCTAACTTCAAGTACCACTAGCATATAAATGAAAAGCTCATACATGAAAGCAAACTCCAGGCTTCAATTTCTATAATGTATCTTTTATAAAGATTAGAAATGCTACCACGTACTTTGGTTCATAGCGGATGCCTTCTACGTCATGTAAAATGCCCAAGCCAGCACGTAATCTTTCAATACCATTCCTAAAGAAGAATCATTAAAATAAAATCAATAGCCCCCAAATGTAAAGACCATTCAGTACAATGCAATGACAATGAAATCATTAGTATGATGACTTGGTAATGAATATTTACATGATTATGAGTGAAGCACAAATACCCTGTGGCTTACCATGCAATCATAATGCCATTATCAGTGCACAGTCTGGGAGGAGGACACAACAGAGTGCACTGTGTTGCGTCTGTTACAATTTCCAGAGCTTTTCTGATATATAAGTTACTTGCAACACCACCAGATACAACCTGAAGGAAGAGAGAAGACTAAAATTAACAAGTACCAACTATCTAGGAAGCACTCTGCCAGCTTTATACAATAAGAAAGATGGGTAATGGGTAAGTGATGTTATCTGTATAATAAAGATTTAGAGAAGAATACTAACAATTTTAATAACAGTATAATCACTATTATCACTTTTGTACTTTTTCCTAACTTCTTAAAAAATTCGAAACTTTTTTCTAAATATTTCTTTAACATAACTGCAACCATACTATGCCAGTATTTTAGTCTCTGCAATTTTTAGTTATAAGAAATTTTTAACATTTCATTAACATAAAGAGAACTGACTTCATAAGTACAAGTCCAAGAACATAACCATACTTCCCTCATTTCCCCTTTGCCTCCTTCAATTCCCCTCCTTCCTTCGTTCCTTCTTGTTTAACTTTTGCAAAAACATAATTTCAATCCATTCTATAATCACAGGCTTAATGTACCACTAACCATAATATTCAACAACTAAAAGGAGAAAGACCACAGTTCCACAGGAATATAAACAAGAGCTAAAAACAATAAACAAATCAGAAGATATCCATTTCTTTCCTATACATGTTTTGTATTCTATATTAACTACCACATATTAGCATTTTCTCATTTTACTGTGGAACTGTTAAAAAAACTATTATCTTTGATATTCACATAATATTCCATTTTGAGAATCACCATTATTTAAACATTCTCTACTTAAGTTTATAATTTTCAAGAAAATAAGGTTTAAGATACACATTTATCAAGCCTGCTAAGCATACTTAAAGGGATTTCATCAAAGAATGGAGGACATCAGCTTACTTTTCTAAAAATAGTACAGCACTTATAGTTATTTACAATTTATTATAAATAGTATTTATTGCCTACATATGATGTCAAACTTTTTCAATTTGATACTGTAGCACAAATCCTTCTTATGAAACACATATATAATTTATTATTATAAATATAAATCCTGTTTTCAATGAGAAAATGTGGTCTCACATTTTTTGTCACCCAGGCTGTATGGATGTCCTATAAAGTTGCCATGTCTATACATGAAAGAGCTGTTAGTAAATCTATTCTGCATAATTTCACACTGTACAGGATTAGCATGTGGCAAATAGACCTGTTCATCCTATGGATAAAGTCAAGTAAGGTCTTGAGAAAAAAGCAACATGCTGTGAAAAGTTACAATGAGAAGAGATAACAAAACATACCAGGGCTGCATTATTTTCAGGTAACAAGTGTCTCTGCTTGCAAAAAAGGATAGCACGATGTGTTCTTTTTGCAATGTGGCACGCTGTCGTGTGCTGTACTGCAGCAGCGATGTCTGCAGCAGAAGACAGTATCTGTCCCTTCTCAATTCCTGCAAAACGAGCAGTTATTATCCTGCAGAGAATCTGGGAATATGTATCTTTTCAAACTTACTAATTAGAAATATACCTTCTTCTTTTTCCTTTTGTGTTATTATTTTATTAACATTATGCTGAAGTCCAGAAAAAGAAAAATTACAATTTTTAGTACGTTGCATGGGCGCTGTGATATCAAAATGGAGTCTGTTTCCTTGTTTGGCCAAGTGCTCTATAGCTTTCCCACCACTCATGGAGGAGCAATCTGGATGTTTTACTAGAGAAAGTCTTCTTGCCACCTATCAAGAGCAAAAGCATGTATTTCTAAATGAGTCATAAGGTTACACATTTTGAGACCAATGAATTATTACCTTAAAAACTATGAATGCATAAAATATGGTATGCTTTGACAAATAACGATTATAGCTAATGCTTATTAAAGCAGTGAAAACCTGATCAGTCATGGCCAATTGTTCTTCCATTGGGGTTGGAAAATAGGTTTGAAGTTGACAAAGACTGCTATTTGATGAACTTCAAAAATGAGAGCCTGCCCTGTTGGCTTCAGTGTTGTCCTTGCATACAGCACCAGGCTCTGTGGTATTGTGCTAAATCGGTATTCTACTTGTCAGCAATTGTGACGCAGCCACAGAACCCTGTGCATCTTTAATGTCCCTATGTTAATCTTTATATGTCCTCTTAGTTTACATTTTTGTAATGACAGTTTACAGAGCACTTTCTTCCACTTCATATATCTGATTAAATACCTGTTACCTGCAAACTATTCTAGTCATTCTGTACTGATATAAACCTCTTACTAGTTTATTAGGAAGGGGTAAGAATTATATATTACAAAATTATGTATGCCATTCTTTTTCTTTCTTCTTACTGCACATGAATTTTCCATCTAATAAGATATCCATCAATATTTATATGAATGGTGGTAGCACATTTATCATCATTTAATTGAAAGAGACACCAGAACAAAAAAGAATAAAGAAATTAATTCTTAAAATAATTACCTTGTCAAGCATGTCACCTGGTGCTATGTCCAGAGACTTTCCAAGAAGCAGGAAATCTGAAACTCCTTGAACTAATGCCAAAAGACAATGACCTCCAGAAATCAAAAGAACTAAAAAAGGAAATTCTACTTTATTGGTTAACCTAATAGTAAGTGCATGGGCCTCCATGTGATGAATGGGAATGAATGGTTTTTTTAACTGGCTTACCAGCTGCAAGCTAAATGATAAGCCTACGCCCAGGCTCAAAGCGAGACCTGGTTTTATGGTTGTTGCAATTGCTGAGAGTTCACTTGGAGAGATTCTACTGGCAGAAAGAGCTTCTTGCACTATGCGTTGAATATTTTCTCTGTGAAGCTGTTGAGCTACAGGAGGAATAATCCCACCTGTTCTAAAAGAAACAGAAAGCTTTTTATAATTTTAAGATTATAAAGCCAAAAGTAGAAAAATATAATTGAAGTCATGTTTTCAAATTAATTATATAGCTGAAAGTATTAGTCAAATACTGTCAAATTATGTGCCTTATGACATCTTGCACACAACAAGCACCCAGTGTTAAAGAAGTCACCAAAATAACTGTGAGACGCTTTCTAAGGAAGTCTTGACAAGGGAACGATAGGATAAGATTGCATATTAGGCAAATTAAGCTCCCTGTTGAAAAGGAAATTTTTAAAGAGGTTACTGCAAAAATATTTGTGTAAAGTGATCATGTTGTAAATTGACTGATGGGCAGCAATGGAAAGAAAGGGACAGAGAGCTTCAAAAACTAATAACTAAACAATATAAGGGGACTGGGGGAGCAAGGCCTCAAAGATGATTCAGATATTCAGCTGGAATGACTTGGAGAAAGGAAATACTAACAGAAACATGGAGATAGTTTTGTGAAGAAGACAAGTTTATTTTTAAACACACTGCACTGGAGGTCATGGCAGGACAGTAGATTGCCTGCAATCCTGAAATAAAGTTTGGGAACCAGTGCTCAGAGTTGGCAATTTAGATCTGTGGTCCTTGTATGGCAATGGACAGCCACTCCAAATGTCAAGTAAAGAATTAGGAGGCAAATTTGCTAGCAGCAAATATGCTAGCCTATGACTCTTATAAACAGTACAATGAAATACAGAGCACATTTCATCTCAACCACTTGGGTTTCAAGGTTCATCTCTGCCTCTTTTCTTCCCCTCACTCTCCAGTTATCACCACCTCCACTGCTACTATCAAGTTTACAAAACCCTCACTATGTCAGTCTCTTCAACAGTCTTCTGACTGCACTTCCCTAACTATGCCCTCTGATCCCTGGAGTGCATCCTATATCATCAGACCAGAGAGTACTCCAGAGTGGTGACCCTGCGACTTTCTACTCAAATCTTTATTTATGTGGGGTTTGGGAGACCTTAAATCTGAATCTTCTCCTTCCCACTCATTTCTTCCTTTTTTGCTTTTTTTTTTTTTTGAAAGGATTTATTTATTTGATTTATTTGAAAGAGAATGACAGAATGACAGGGATAGAGTTCTTCCATCCACTGGTTCACTTCCCAGATGGCCACAAAAGCCAGGTCTGGGCCAGGCTGAATCTAGTAGCCAGGAACTCCATCCAGGTCTCCCAGGTGATTGGCAGGTTCCACGTATTTGGGACATTTTCCACTACCTTCCCAGGCATGTTAGCAGAGAGCCACCTCGGCAGCAGAGCAGCTGGGACTTGAACTGGCACTTTGATATGGGATGCAGGTGTGCCAAGTGGGCAGCTTAACCTGCTGTACTTCAAGATCTGCCTCTCATTCCTTCCTTCTTTGTTTTGCCTCCCTCCTTTCCTTTTTGTGGCTCTTCTTTTTATCCTCCAGGAATTATACTAAGCATTAGGAATAAGCCCATGGGCTTATTCTCAAAGAACTAATATGAGAATCTATTTGTCTTTCTATAATTTGTAAATAATATGGAATGACTAGGGACCTAAGCTAATAAAGAAGCAGGCAAACCAGTTAGCCCCCAGGTTATAGCCAAGAGTCCAAACAAGAGACAATAAGGGATTGAAGTGAACTGATAGGAAGGGAGTTTCAAGAAAGATTCGGGAAACAGATTTACAAGGACTGGCTGACTGATTTGGATGTGGAGTGCGGAGAGAGAAGAGAAGGATGTCCATCAGGTTTCTGGCTTGAAAAGTCTTCTCTGCCAACCAATACTGCTTTGGCACTTTCCACATTGCTGTACAATAAGCCCTTTGCCATCTGTCTTCTTCACTTAATGATAGTAGTAACAGGAGTACCACTGTCACTCACAGCTAGCTTATATTGAACTTTGCCCCTTGTCAAGAACTGCACTAAATGCTTTAAAAGAATTCACATTTAGCCCTTACAGCAATACTCTGAGCTAGCTACATTATCCTGATTTCACAGAGAAGGAAACTGAGGCACAGAAAAATGTGTATGGTCTCAAAGCTAGTAAGAGGCTGAACCACAATATAAACCTGTTCTCCAGCCCATTTGATAATTCAAGCTGCTCAGAGTCAAGGATCATAATGTATCTTATTCCTATTTGTACCCACAGGGCCTGACAATAACAGATTTTCAACAAATGCAAAAAGGAAGAATGTGGATGGTACCGCTGAAGCATATACTTCAGTGACTTATACTCCAGCTAAATGAATATGTGTCTAGGGTCTTCTTACCTCTTTGCCTGTGCTCATTACGCTCAAGCAAATTACAGTATTCTCTCCATCTTCATTCACTGCAGGCCTAACCATCTTTCAAGGCCACTGAGAACCTGTGATGTGCCACTGTGCTGGGTAATAGGCATACTGCAGTGATTAACACAGTCACGGCTGCTGTCACCACAGAGCTTAGAGTCTGTTGGGGGCGGGTAGACTATACATAAGCAAACAAAGGTACAAATTATGAAAAGAATTACAAAGAAAATATGTAGAGTATGATGATACAGAACAAACAGGGTGGGAGTACCTAATTTAGATAGTGATCAGAGCAGGCCTTTCTGTGTAGTTACCATTTATACCATCAAAAGTGCAATGCACTCAGGGAAAAAGTGAAAGGACTGTGGCCTGGCATTGACAGTTACTGTTTGCATCAATTGTTTGATACTGTCTGTATGCTTCCTTGCACTGTTGGCTCTCCTTGTAGGTCCACAGAGGATGTCTCAGTGATTAGGTTAAGCCTCTGGAAGGCAAGACTCTCTAGTACTTCACTGTGCCTCATTAATACCCCATAGTCCTTTTCACACAGTATGCTAGAATTTGTGGCTCACTTTGTCTCTTCATATGTAATGCTTTATTCACCTATTTATTATTTTATTTGAAAGAGTGATGGAGAAAGAGAGACTGAGAAAGAGAGAGATGTTCCATCTGCTGCTACACTTCCCCAAATTCCGCAACAGCTGGGGCTAGGCCAGGTCAAAACGCAGAGCCTGGAGGTCCATTCTGGTTTCCCTCAACAGTGATAGGAGGCCAAGGACTTTGCCATCCTCTGCTGCCTTCTTGGGCACTTTAGCAGGAGCTGGATTGGAAGAGGAGCAGCTGAGACTTGAACCAGCACTTTGATGCAGAATACCAGCCTTGCAAGCTGTGGCTTAACCTGCTATACCACAATGCTGGCCCTATGTATTTTATTTCTAATCCTCTTTTGCAAGTCTGGTCTTTCCTATTTTACTGTTATAAAAACAGAGTCAGAGAGGAGAAGGAACTTGCCTGAACTCAATGAGCCAATATTAAGCACCTGATTCAAGATTCAGACCAGTCCGATTCCAAAGTTTCAGGCTTTTATCCTGGTCAGATGTTGTAAATTGATGGCTTGCAGATATATTTCAACAAATTTTATATTAGTTACTAGTTTTAAAAATCTGGATTTCTAGGGTTGGTATTGTGGCACAGTGGGTTAAGCTGCAGCCTGCAATGCTGGCATCCCACTCAAGTATGGGTACTAGTCCTGGCAGCTCCATTTCTGATCCAAATCTCTGCTAATGTGCCTAGGAAAGCAGCAGCAGATGGCCCATGTGCTTGGAGCCTGTGCCACTGATTGGAAGACCCGGATGGAGTTCTAGGCTCCTGGCTTCGGGTCGGACCAGCCTTGGCAGTTGTGGCCTTTTGCGGAGTGAACCAGTGGACGGAAGGAAGATCCTCCTTTTCCCTCTCTGTCTCTCCCTCTCTCTCTAACTCTGCCTTTCAAATGAATAAATAAATAAAGCTTTTTAAAATTTTTTTAAAGAATTATTTATTTTATTTGAAAGACACAGAGAGAAGGAGAGACAGAGAGTCTTCATCTGCTGGTTCACTCCCCAAATGGCCACAACAGCCGGATCTGGGCTGATCCGAAGCCAGGAGCCTGGAGCTTTTTCCAGGTTTCCCACATGGGTGCAGAGGCCCAAGACTTGGGCCATCTACTGCTTTCCCAGGCCACAGCAGAGCTGGATCAGAAGTGGAGCGCTTGAGACTTGAACAGGCGCCCATGTGGGATGCCGGCAATGCATGCCAGTGGCTTTACGCGCTACGCCACAGCACTGGCCCACTTTTTTGTTTGTTTGTTTTTAAATCTGGATTTTTCTTTTCCTCTTGAAAACTGATGATTTAATAACACAGGTCCTACCTTCCTGCATGGAGAAGCGCCCTGCTCCAGGTATTTCCCACTTCATATTTAGCCCACTTACGTACTTACGTAACCTGCCTGTTAGTCTTCTGCAAACATCTGAGTTTACAAATACAACTGTGTATTATTAAAGTATCAACACAAGTTATATGTACAAATGTGAAGAGGATGTTGTTTTTCCTCACATGAATAACTCAGGCTACAAGTCAGTCATGTTTTCCTAGAATTTCAGTTGAGAACATGAAAAATATGAGGGTATTTTTAAAAGTGCATGGAAAATGAGATATGCTTTTGAAAAAAGATGATATGCTTATAGCAGTTAAGACTCTGGTTAGGAAGCCTGCATCCCATACTAGATTACCTGGGTTCAAGTCCAGCTTCTGCTCCTGATTCTGGCTTCTTGCTAATGTGCACATTGGAGATAGCAGATGATGGCTCAAGTAGTTGGGTTCCTGCCATCCATAGAGAGACTTAGACTGAGTCCCTGGCTTCTAGCTTTGGCCTGTTCCAGCCTTGATTGTTGCAGGTAGCTAGGGAGTGAATCTGTGGATGGGAGCAGTCTCTGCCTCTCTAAATAAATAAATGATAAGCTTATTGTGGTGCAAAAAAATTGCAATGTATGCATATGAGGGATCTTAAAAGTTTGTGAAAAACATGTTTTATGAAAAATTATGCATGGGCCGGCGCCGCAGCTCACTTGGCTAATCCTCCACCTGCGGTGCCGGCACCCCGGATTCTAGTCCCAGTTGGGGCGCCAGATTCTGTCCTGGTTGCTCCTCTTCCAGTCCAGCTCTCTGCTGTGGCCAGGGAAGGCAGTGGAGGATGGCCCAAGTGCTTGGGTCCCTGCACCCTCATGGGAGACCAGCAGGAAGCACCTGGCTCCTGGCTTCGGATCAGCGCAGTGCGCCGGCCGTAGCGGCAATTTAGGGGGTGAACCAACGGAAAAAGGATGACCTTTCTCTCTCTCTCTCACTGTCTAAATCTAACAAAAAAAAAATTATGCATGGATTTCAAAAATTTTTTGTGCCAAAATAAATTTATCTTTTCCATTTTTCCACAAACTTTTTAAATTATCCTTTAACAGGTGGAGAAAACAAGAAATGGCATCATGAAGATAAAATGTTCAATAAATACTAGAGCTGGGGCTGAGCTTAGTTTCTTGTGGCAATTGGGCTAGAGATGAGATGTTTGAAGCTTTTTTTATAGCAGTTTAGAGGCGCTTACACAAAGCAATATGAAATTAGCTACTAAAATTTAATTTTTCTATATAATATACAGAAAAGAATGATTTCATTCTTTTTTAAAGGAGGGAGACACAACTAAGATAATGTCTACTTACTTTAAGTGAACTTCAGTTTGGGAATGTATTGCTTCTCCCAACACATTTCCAGTGTCATCTACCACAGCAGCTGCTGTATCATCACAACTGGTTTCAATTCCCAGGACTAGTTTATGAAGAAATTGTGGTCCAGGATGAAAATTAAAACTTCTTAATAATTCATAAACTTTCCTTTTTGATGGTTTAAAAAAATGTCTTGCTGTCTTATTTAGTATTAGCATACTTAACTTTACAGATAATTCCTGAAAAAGAATTACAGAAACAAAATTGTTATTTGAAACTGTTATCCATAATCCTATTCAGTTAAACAAAATCTGAAACCTGATTTTACTTTTCAATACACAGTTTTATGGAATTTTTGGAAAGGACAAAAGTTACCAAAATTTTATGAAGGCCCTGGAAACCTATGAACCTAAGTAGTTGTATGAATGAATATAATGTTTTAATATTATAGGTTGAGCATCCAAATTTACAAACCTGAAATTTCCAATAGCTCCAAAAGCTGAAACTTTTCAAGTGCCAACCTGACGCCACAGGTAGATAATTCTATACCTGAACTCATTTGATGAATGACCGTGAAAATATAAGCACGTGTACATAAAGCATACATTAATTTCATGTTTAGATTTGGGTTCCATCTCTGAGTGATCTCATATATATGCAAATCTTCCAAAATCTAAAACAATTCTGAGATCCAAGGATTTTAGATAAAGTATACTCCACCGGTACTATTACTCTCATGCTTTTCTTACCACAGTGTTCACTATTCTTTATGGAACAGCTAACATTACAACAGTTTCAAGAATAATACTGTAACAAGTGCAATTCATAGATAGGTAAAATTAAGACAAAATGTATTTTTTAATCAAATAAAGGCAAGTGGAACAGCTAGTTGATACCTTCCACTCAGTGTAACCATTTGGTTCAAAAACCAGAGCTGGCATAAAGCCAGTGCTCACACACAAACACACCCCTGCCCCACAATGTGGGGTAGAAACAGTAGTATTATCAAGCTTATCTTAAGAAACATAACAAGAGCATATAAATCATCGGCCCTTGGGACAGAGCATCAGTGAGCGATCTGTTTGCAAAGCGCATTTGCGAAGAGAGCCCCCAGGAAGACATACCCCAGAGGAAAATTTGCAGTAACTAAATCTGGGCCAGGAGGACGGTGCGAAGCACTTTTTCTTTCGCGTAAGAAGGCTCTCGAGTAGACCCAGATATCCTAGGCAGTGCTGGTCTCCGCTTTAAGAAGGCGAGAGCAAGCTCATCCACCTTCCTCGTGCACGACACTAGCTAGTACTCGTCCCTGCGTCCCCAGCAACCTTGACAGCCCATGGGGCCTCCGGCACCAGAAAGCCGGAGCCCGGCGCCCGGAAGTGACGTCATCCCAGCGTGTCGGCGTCCGCTGGCCAGAGCCCCCGCCCTCCAGGGCGGCGCGGTGCCGTACGTGTGCTGGTGAATTTCTCCCAGATTTGTTAAGCAGCAAGACTTCTACAGGGTCACACAGCTGGTGTGATCCGGAGGACGCTGAGTACAGGTTTGTCCAGCATTAAGTTTCAAACACTACATTTTCTTTTAAGAAGTCTTTTTTACTTTTGGCTGGAATTTGGTTACCGCTGTGAGAAAAGGATGGGGTAGTGTGGCCTGAGATATTGTAATACTTTCGTGAGTGAAAAAGAGCGGAAACTGGGGACCCAAGACCCTGCGCAGGACTCCCAGAGAACGGAAGCGCATCTGGTCGGGCTCAACCGTTACTCCCAAGTCTTTAGGGGTAAAATGGCTGGGGCTGGGTCACTTTTGTATTTAAAAAAGGCCTGGGGCGGGAGGAGGGCGGTGGTAAATACCTTTTAAAAAAATTCCTATTTTCGTGATACATATTGGCAACTTTCACCATCGTTGTATTCTGGTATCCATGGACCTTCCTCAAGTGCTTTATTTGGGGTTCAGGGGGAAGGGGACACATTGCCTTGTGAACTTGTTAGCATTTGAGTGGATTTACTCTGAGTCTCTCCCCTTTCCTGCTAAGATTTAAGGCTTTAGTAAGCAAGGACTTTATTCTGCAAGGTTGGGCAGAGCCGTCATACATATCTGCCTTGCGTGGTGTGATACCGTTGGTATAAAAGACAAGCAAATCACCTGTGCAAATATAGATACAGATAAATGCATTCATAATGACCGGACTATTGTTAAGTTTCTTTAGTTGGAACACGTTTGTCAAAAGTTTTCACGCATGCGTAACAATAACAGGAAAGTGGAATTTAACCAGATACTGTTGGAGATTAAATAATCCTCACGAAGCCCTTGCTGTCCTCATTTTACGGCAGCTGGGCTACAGAGTTTGTGTAATTTGCAAGACACACAGCTGTTAAGTGCAGAGCTAGGATTAGAAGCCAGCACTATCGGGCTCTGGAGTGGATTTTCTTCACTGCCAGAAGATAAAATAACTCAAATTTCCCATTGGGTGCATTGCTGACCCACAAAATACAGAAAAAATTAAGATTAAGGGAAATTTCCCATCCTGTTTGATTACATGATAGGTCAGAGTTGACTTTTTTTTTTTTTTTTTTTTTTTAAAGACTTACTTACTAGAAAAGAGAGGTCTTCCAAACACTAGTTCACTCCCAAATGGCTGCAATGGCCAGGGCAGGGCGAGATGGGAGCCAGGAGCTTCCTCCTGGTCTCCCACATGGCTGCAGGGGCCCAAGCACTTGGATCATCTGCTGCTTTCCCAGGTGCATTAGTAGGAAGCTGGATAGGAAGTGGAGCAGCTGGGACTTGAACCTGTACCCATAATGGATGCCTATGCTGCAGGTAGCAGCTTAACCCACTCTGCCACAACACTGACCCCCAGAGTTTACTTCTGCAATGCAATAGAATCCAGTCTGAACAGAAAACCTTCCAGATGTGGTATTATTTTCCTAGCAATTCAAATTATGTTCAGCAGCTATATCCCAGTGCTCTCTGGTGCTACTAGCATTGGTAGATTTCTAATTTAGGCACTCTTGGCAAGTGTTGAGTTTGAATGCCACATTATATGAAATAGCAGAACTCTGGGGCACATTAAGAAGGAATTTTATTCTTTTTTGGATTGTGTACATATTTAGCAAATGAAGGTATGCCTGTATGCCTTACATGTTTTTTATTGTACCAGTGGAGAGGATTAAGGATAGGTGTATATGCCCACCAGGGCCTGTCTAGACTTTCATACAGATCATATTGCTTATTTGCTACTCAAGAGCATTATCAGCAAAATATGGCCTAACCATTGCACCTTATTAGCTTGAATCAGAGTTTCAGCTGAATCTAAATATGCTTATTTTGTCTTGGCTACTGCCTATCTAGTTTTCCATTTAAAATAAAGACAAATCTTATTTTACCCAATACATCACCTTGCATTTCTGTTTTCATGTATCATATATATATATATATATATGTATGTATATAGGGTTCTTTCCTTTGTGCTAGGAACTTTATTAGCTTTTAGTGATAAAAAAAAGATAAGGTCCGTCCCTGTCCTCAGGATCTCAGCATCTAGCGACAGAACTAGTAGTAAGCAACACAGAATTATGGAGATAGGGATGAGAAGTGTGCATGAGAGAGGAGTTGCTGGAGTTGCTTTGGGAAGGCTGTGTGGTTTGCCCCAGATGTATACATGGCCTGGGAAGTTCATGGTGTGCTCATATGGTTTTAACATTTGATTCTTTTATAGGTTTAAAATTGATTTATCAGATCTGGAAGTGACTGGACTCTGGGGTGCTGAGTCATAAACCACAAACTGCTAAGATACTACTGTCTAAAAGCCATTAATAAATACTAATGTGTTAATTTATAAAAAATGCAACAATGGGGAAGCTAAGGTAGTTGAGTTTGCTAGTTGTCACCATCTTTGTGTTGACCACATTACAATAAAAGCAGAATTCAAATAATCAGCAGAATGCTTGGTCAATATGGTATGGAAGCAATAAAAATAGTTTTGGCACTTTTCTGAAAAGTAGGTGTTTCTTTAAAATATTTTCTTTTGAGGGATAGCGTCATGGCTTAGTGGGTAAAGCCGATGCCTGTAATGCCAGCATCCCGTATGGGCAGTCATTCATGTCCAGGATGCTCCATCTTCAATCCAGCTCCCTGCTAATGGCCTGGGAAAAGCAGCAGAAGATGGCCTAAGTGTTTGGGCCTCTGCCATCCATATGGGAGACCTGGAAGAAGCTGCTGGCTCCTGCTTCTGCCTGGTCCTGCCCTGGCCTTTGCAACTATCTGGGGAGTGAACCAGTGAATATAAGATCTCTGTCTCTGCCTCTTCCTATCTGTAACTCTGCCTTTCAAATAAATCTTAAAAAAAAAAAAAAAAAAATTGAAAGGCAGAGACACATGGTAATTTATACTCTGGGGAACCTCCATACTTAGATGATCTTATTATTTTTTTAAATGTGTGGTTTTAGAAGGAAATAGAGGTGAATCTTTTGTTTTCATAAACCTCTGTTGACTTTCAATGCCATGACAGAAGCATGTGATTTGCTAATTCGTAAGAGGGACAAATACTTAAAAGGATCACAATTTTCCGGGGTACGAGCCAGTAAGTCACTTGGCTTCCGTGGTTCCATCAAAAAAATTTACAAAATGAAGAAATAATATGAGAACTTCAAAATGTTCATGGAAAATGGGATTAAAGGTTTATTTTGGTGCAAATAATTTTTTGAAATCCATGTAGTTTTTTCCTAACATACATTTCCAGTGCACTTTTTATTTTTTTAAAGATTAATTTTATTTATTTGAAAGAGTTACAGAGAGGCAGAGAGAAGGGGAGAGGGAGTGGGAAGTCTTCCATCTGCTGGTTCATTCCCCAGATGGCTGCAATGGCCGGAGCTATGCCGATCTGAAGCCAGGAGCCAGGAGCTTCTGGGTCTCCCATGTGGGTGCAGGGGCCCAAGGACTTGGGCCATTTTCCACTGCTTTCCCAGGCCACAACAGAGAGCTGGATTGGAAGAGGAGCAGCCGGGACTAGAACTGGTGTCCATATGGTATGCCGGCGCTTCAGGCCAGGGCTTTAACCCACTGTGCCACAACGCTGGTCCCTTCAGTGCACTTTAAAAAAAAAAAATTATTTATTTGAAAGGCAGAATTTCAGAGAGAGGAAGAAACAGATCTTCCATCCACTGGTTCACACCTCAAATGGCCGCAATGGCTGGAGCTGGGCTGGTTTGAAGCCAGGAGCTTCTTCTGGGTCTCCCATGTGGGTGCA